GCACCTCCACTACGTCATGTCTCAGGTCCTGCCTCAGACACATCTAGTCCCCCAGCCCGACCTGCGGTTCTTCCCACCGTCAGAATCTTTACCGAACCTCACCACTGCGTCTGCTCTGCTGCGGCCGCCCTGAGCAGCCACTGACCACGCTGACTGCGTCTCTAGTCAAAGCCCAGACCTCCACGGTCTGCAGGGCCCAGTACCCGCTCGCAGCTCTGGTCTCTCTCCTCCTGCTCTCCTGCATGTTCAGCTCCTGCCTCGTTGGCCTTCTTGCTTCTGGCACATGCCAGGGCTGCTGCCAGCTTGTGGCCTCTGTGCCCTCTGCCTGAAAACCTCTTCCTGGCTCCCTGCCTCAGGCCTTTGTGCCAACTGCACCTTTGCTGGAGGACTTTGCTGCCCTTCCCCAGCAGCCCCTGTGCCCCAGACCTGTTTTATTTTCGCGGAGCATGTATCACACTCCACACTGTATTTATCTTATTTGACTCCCTCTGGCGCTCCCATACAAGTGACGGGAAAGCAGGGCTTCTGTCTGCTTTCTCATCGCTGCATCCAGCGCCTGGTGATGGGGGAACAACGCCCGGTGTGCACGAGGCATGGCAGCCACTCCACAAATGCTCGGTGACTCAGCGCATGACCAGGGCCCGCACCAAGTTCCCGAGAAATGGAGTGCAGGCTGGGCAGCAGGGGTGGGCCGCCCCCCCAAGCGGGCCTCTGCACCCTCGCCCGCAGCCCACCTTGCTGAGCTGGATCTCCATGAGGACGTGGTGCTGCCTCCCACTGCCCCCCTGCATACGCCAGGAGTTCTGGGGTCGGTTGGGGCCGAAGCATCGGGAAGGGGAGCCCCTGGGGCCCATGAGGCCAACTCTTGCCCTGGAAGAGGGACAGGGGATAAGCTGACTCAGGGGGACCCCCTTCCTCATGCGCTCCCCTCACAGCGGGCTTTCAGCCTGAGACAGGAGACCCTCTCAGCCCTGGGAGTGGACAAAGAAAGGAAGAACTGAGGCCAGTGAGGTAAGGACATGGTTCAGGGTTCCCCACTGCTGAAGGTCCAAGCTGGACCCCAGCCCTGGTCCCATCTCCTGGGTGGGCAGGCCCTGCTGCCACAGCTGTCACCGCACCCTCCTCCTCACCTGTGGCCAGGGTGGGGGCCAAAGTCTCGACCCCCATAGAGGTGCCAGACGAAGGAGACCTCACGCAGCACCACACGGCTGCTGGGCACTGGGAAGTGGGCAGGTGCCCGCAGCAGGTCCGTGCTGCCCAGCGGCCGTGAGAAGTGCCCGTCCTGAACAATGATGGGGCCTGGATGCAGCTGCGTCACCACGGGCTCCCCATCACGAGGCTGTGGGAGGAGACCAAGTGAATATATGTGGCATATATGTCTTGCTCAGTCTGGCCTCACCTTCTCTCCTGTCCTTATATCTCCCTCCCCATTCTGGACAAAAGGTGACTCGCATGGGCCACCATCCCCAGAACCTGTGCTATGTGACTGCTCTGTCCAGAGGGGCCTGAGTGCCCCTTGCCCATGCCAGCCCTGTCTCCCTGGGAGCTGGGTCTTGTTTGCATGTGACATTCCCACTGGCCCGTGGGGGCCAGGAGGTGAGCACCCAGGCAGCCAATTGACTCTCACCCTCCCAGTGGCCACCCTGTTGCTCTTCCTTCCAGCTCCATGTCCCAGTTCCTCTGCCAGGGACACCAGGACTTCTCTCTTCCTCTGAAAATCCATTTGCTTCTCAAAGCCTGGAGTCCGGGCATGCCTCCCCGGGAGACCTTCCCAGCCTCCCACACCTCTCTCAGCAGGGGCTCCAGAGGGGCACAGGACTGAGCCACCCTCTCCCGCCACTTCTTGGCCTGCCCAACCTGCCCGCCACACACCGGGACTCCTAGGCCAGGAGCATCGAGGATGCAGAACTCATCACTGTCCAGAGTGTCTCCATCCCCCTCCTCTTCCTTTTCATCTTCCTTGGCCTCTGAGGGGGACCCCAGGCTGCCTGTGGGGGCTACCACAGGAGGTGACAGGGGCTGGGCCCCACTCCGTTCACCTGGGAACAGGTAGACTGACACTGGAGAGGCCTGAGGCGGGGGGCCACCTGTGGGAGGGAGAGGCCAGTTTCAGGAGAATGTCTGGCACGGGTGCCTGACCGTGTCCACTGGCCCCAAAGCACCCGCCACCCCACCTGAAGGCTGGGACAGCTCCCGCAGGCTGCGCTCCGTGTCCAGGAGGGCGTCGGCCAAGTCCCGCTGGTTGATGAGGGCTGTCTCCACTGGGGGACACGAGGGCAGGGAGGCAGGGCTCTCGGACAGCTGGGCGGGCGGGTGGGGAGGAGCGGTGAATGAGAGACAGGAGGGAGGGGCGCCCCCCAAGGTCCCCCAGTGCCAGGTCCCTGGGGGGTGTGGCAAGGGAGGGGCCTGGCAGAGCTCTGGTAGCCTGTGTGGCCAGGCCTCACCTGTACCTTCTGGCCGGCGATCTCCGTGGGGCTGGGGGGCCGGGGAGGGGGGTGCAGGTCACCTTCGCTCATTACGTACTGGAGCAGGTTGACTAGCAGGGCGCAGGAGTCGGCGCAGCTGTGCACATGCACCACGTTGTTGGAGCAGCGCAGCTCGAACAGTGGCTGGCTCTGTGGGGGAGGGATGGGGATAGGGATGCGGTGGGGGCGTCAGCAGCCCAGGCTCTGTCCCTGCCACGGTGGCCAGCCTGCCCAACAAGCCCACTCCACAGAGAAGCAAACCAAGCCCGGGGAGTGCAAGGGCTTCGGCAGGGCCACTAGAGGAGGCAGGAGGCACTCCCTGCATGAAGGGCTTTGCTGCCCACTCCTATCTCAGGGAGGCGGAGCCCACGATCTCCATTTTACAGAGGAGGAAACGGGGGACCAACAAGGGCTGTCTGACTCCTGAAGCCCTGCCTTTGCCCCGGCTGCAGCTGCCCTTTGCTGGGGCTCACAGGGAGGGACACCCCAGTAGGCCCGGCCCTTCCTGGGAGGGCCAATAACTGCAGTCCAGCATGAGAAGGGTAGGTGGTGAGCCCAGGCCCAGAGGGCAGAAGACAGTGAGTGGGGAGAGGTGATGCTCTGGAGGCCCCCTGGGCCCTGCATCTGCCCCGGCTCAGGGGACCCTCGGTGGCGGCCACACTCACCAGTTTGCCCGCAGTGTTCCCCTTCCAGGTTTTGATCACCAGCTCCAAGAGGTCGACATCCAAGACGCAGACATAATCTGAATCAGAGGCGGAAGTTCCTATGGCCTCCTCCTACCCAGCCCTCAGCCCGCCGCCAGAGGGGAGAATGTGGGGCTTATCTGGGTGCAGCCCACGTGTATGGGCACTGAGAACCCGGCCAGCAGCTGGGGGAGGGCATCTGGCTGCTCTGGGTGGGGCTGGGGAACACGGACCCGCTGTGGGAAGGGAGCCCGATCCAGGCCCTGCCCACCTCGCCGCAGATCTGGGGTCTCCACCTCACACTTGTCGGACAGGTATAAGGCCGAGTCATCGAGGATGAACCTAGTGGGGAACAGGGCTGAGAAGGGCCCCGGGAGCCGCTGCAGGCGGCAGCTCTACGGGAGCCAGCAGGGGAGGGACTCCTAGAGACAGGCAGAGGAGGCACCCACAGAGGTCCCAAGCCCGCGAGAAACTAGCACAGGACCCTCACTGGCCTCGGTGTTCTTGTCTGTACAATGGGGAGATGGTGCCTGGTCTCTGGGTGAGCCTGCACAGCAGGCGCTCATTCCGGCAATAGTGCTTATGGTTCCCCAGCACTTCCTGCTCCTCCACCTCAGCTGGGCTTTTCAGCAGCCCTGGGAGCAAGTGTCCTGTTCCTCGCTGTAACATTCGTTGTTTATAAGTCCTTATTTTAATGCCAACATAATACAAGCTCCTTTAAGATGCCTAAAACATACAGCAATAAAAAATAATCCCTAACCCTCAATTCTGAGAAAAGCACCATATATAATTTCTTCCCGTCTTTTCTATGAAGCCACATAGAGATGTATATAAATACTCCCTCATAAATCTTCGTTTTTTTTACACATACTTAGTTTTATATCTTTTTTATTTTTTAGGTAAATATTGTACTATGGCATTACCCCATTTTTTCAATGTTATACTTTCCAACTTGACTTTACTGGTTGGATGGGCCATGTTTACTGACTCAAATTGTAATTTGGGGGCACTTAGATTTTAAGTTTTGACTGTTTTGAATTCACTATGAAGCATTTTATTCTACCTTTTTTATCCTTACATTCCTACGACAACCACCAGAAGCAGGATTATCAGGTCAGAGAGCATCAACACCTTCAAGGCTCTGGTTCAGGAGTCTGACTGCTCCATGGAAGGTGGAACCAATTCCCCTTTTTGAGGGAGGGATCAGCACCCAAATTTAAAGAAAGGCTCAGAGAGTGGCCTGGGAACACACAGCAGGTAGGCAGGACTCTGGGGGAACCCCGGACTCAGTTTGGTGGCAGGACGGGGGTGCTGCATACCTCAGCAGGAAGGTGGAGGTGTCCATGATGATGTTGCTGGAGAGGGTGAAGCTCTCAGCGGTGAGGAGGACACGTACAGGGAGGTAGAGGGGCCTGGGGGTCACATTTGCGCTTGGGCAGGCTCCTTGCACGTGAGAGCCTGCCCCCAGCCCCTGGCCCCCAGCCCTCCCAGTCCAGATACCTGTAATCCACGGCGCAGGAGAACAGGTGTGTGTGTAGGACCGTGATGACAGCAGGGGGCAGATAGCCCAGCACCGGGTCATCCAGCACATCCAAGAACTCTGACAGCTTTGGGGGCCAAGGTGGGAGTGGCAGTGAGGATGAGGGGCCTCTTCCCTCCTCTAACACCCCCACCCTAGCGCAGCTCCCCACTTGCTGCCCATCACACCCCCTTGCCCAGGGGCTCCACTAGGATCAGCTCCAGCCTGAGGTCAGCTGGAGCCCAGCCCGTGCCCCTCCCACTGGCCTTCTCTGTCTAGACACCTGCCCGCCTACAGCACCGTTGCTTACCTGGGAGTGCCAGCTCTGTTCTGGCAGGGACATGTAGTGGCGCAAGGTGGCTCTCTGCAGCCGCAGTGTCACCAGGAACTCCTGGGGGTGGGACAGTGAGCGCAATTGGAGCCAGCCCACTGTGCGCCAGAGCAGCAGCCGTCCAGCCAAGTGGGTGGGCCAGAAGCAGGCACCATACCTTGACATTCTTGTGGGGGTCCAGGTGGATACGAACGGCTGTGGACAGCATGTGGGGGCCCCCGCCTTGGCCCTTGTGGCCTGAGGCTCCCCATTCGGTCACTCCTTCCTCCGATGGGTAGATGGTTGGGGCTAGCTGGGCTGGAGGAGCAAAGCTGGGCAGCTCCAGGTGGCTGGGCAGCAGGCAGTCATCCACCACCGCTGAGGAGGCATCGGGTGAGCCCCTTGCCAAGCTGGCCAGTCACCCACTCCACCCAGGGCCCACACCCCTCCTGAAAGCCCTGCCCCTGTCCAGGGACCCTAGAGAGCCCTCGGCGACTGGCCCCCAGCCCTCACACCTCGGTGGAAGAGCGCTGCCTTTTCAGCTTCCAGGCAGAAGTAGCCAAGTCCGGGCTGGCCTCGGTACCGGGAGACGCTGAAGATGGTGCCTTGCTCTACGTCCAGCACCAGCTCCCCATGCACGGCCTCTAGCCGCTTCCCACCCTCATCCTGCCAACAGAGCACGGGGTTTGGCTTTACTGGCTGCACGCAGCCGCCCCCACACCCTCAGGGACAAGGGGGCCTCCTGGAGCCCTGGCCTGATGTGGATCAGCTCTGGCCTTGACCCACTCCACTGGAGACCTGGGCAGCACTGCTCACTATTGCAGAGGAAGTCACCCCTGCCCTGTCTGCTCCAGTACAGATGGTGCCTTGGATCGAGCAGGCACTGGTAAGTGGCTGACAGGGTGCAATGGGGTGGGGACAGTGTGACACGGATGGGTGAGTGGGTGGTGGGTGGGTGCTGCTGGCTGTAGAGGCCACACTCAGTCCCACTGAGGCCTCTGTTTCCCACCTTCCCACAACTTGGAGCTGCTCACACTAGTTTGTTTTCCTGACAATGGGGGCTGGGGAGAGGGGCTCACCTCCCCCAGGCTGCCCTCACCTTGGTCTCACAGAGAGCTGTGATCCGACCCTTCAGCACTGTCACCAGTGTAGAGAAGGTACTCTGGGACTGAGGGCCTGGGGGCTTGGGGGCACGGGGTTGGGGGGTGCCCGATGCCCCTACTGAGAAGAAGTGGGCATCCTCATCGTCCGAGTCTGAGTCTGGGGTGAGACCAAGAAGCCGAGTGGGAAGGAGGCCTGGGAGGGCTACCCCGACCCTGCCCGCTCTGGGGATGCCGGGGGCCCTGCCAGGGGGGCCCCTCCTACCCAGCTTGAAGGCCGACTTGCACATCTTGAAGTTGTCCTGCCAGAAGCCTGAGGGGCCCTGGAAGCTCTGGGGGTGAGCTGTGGGGGCAGGGGGGGGCAGCAGGTCTGCAGGCTCCCACATGAGCAGGTCATTGTTGATCCTGGGATGGGCAGATGCACAGGGTGGTGAGGGTGGCCCGTCCAGGCCCCTGGCCACCCCCCTCTGGCCTGTGTCGTCACCTGTTGTAGAGGCTCTCGTAGACCTCCTTGCTGGGCAGGAAGACATGGGTGCTGGGCAGGAGCACTTCCAGGCTGCAGCGTGACAGTGCGAGGGCCCGGCCCTGGAAGGCCCTCATCTCCTCAGGGTCTCCAGGAATCACCATCTGGGCAGGTGGGAAGACGTGAGGGCCTGCTGGGGCTTGGGGATCAGGCCCAGGTCTGCATTCTGACTTCCTCTCACTCACTCATTCTCATTCATTCATTCACATGAACCCTACTCTGCTGGGACATACGACGGTCATCTGGTGTGAAGCACTGACCCCCGGCCACCCTGCTCTGAGGGCCTCTTGTGTTAACGTCTCTATCCTTACAACACACTGTGAGACAGGTCACTGTGCCCCCTTTCCAGATGAGGAAACTCATCTGTAGTTAACCCTCCAAGGTCAGGCAATCCCCAAGATGGCTCAGCCACTGGGTGGCAGGGTCTGCATCTGAACCAGGCCATTGGACCCAGAGGCCGGGCTCCGCACTGCCTCTCACTCAACCCTCATCACCTTCAGTGAGAGGGTCCTGATGAATGTACGCAGCTGCTGAGTGGCTGATGGGATAGGGTCCTGATCTTCCCAAAAGAGGGCTCAAGCCCCTGGGAGTTGTCCCCACTAGTGTCCTCAATTACGGGCCCTGCAGGCTGGGGTGCTTCTGATCCCATTGACCCAAGATGATGGAAGAATGAAATCCTCGTTGGTCTCCCCAGTCTATACCCGCCAAGTGGCTTCCATGAGACCCAAGGGGTCTGGGATCTCACCTCCTCTGTCTCGTACATGGTCCTCTTGGAGGAGAAGGGCGAGGGCTCGGGCTCCTGCAGCTCGCATGGACTCTCAGCCGACATCTCCAGCTCCTCTCCCTTCTCTGGGGCCACCTCCCACTGTGTGCTGCTGAGCTGGGGGTTCAGGGTCACCACTACCCTGCCGAGGCACAGGCCGGTCATCAACCCCCGACCCCTGATCTAATGGCCTCCGACCACCCTCAGTAGCAAAGCCCTGTCCACAGCTCCACTTACTGGGGCAGAAAGTATTTGTGCCCAGGGCTCTTGGGATCCAGGGCTTTGGAAACCCGTAGGCAGGCAACTGGTGGCTTCTCTCCATCTTCGTAGGAGCCTGGAGGGGGTGAGGAGGGGTGAGGGGTTGTCACTGCTGCCTTTCCCCATTTCTTCCCTGGTGCAAGGTGGGACAGGGGGCTGGAGCCTGTTGTTTCCAGTCTGCAGACTTCAGCCCTCCCTCACGCCCACAGTCTGCAGCAGCCCAGGGGCAAAAGGTCCACTCTGTCCACTGCCCAGAGGAGCCCAGGGGCAGGTAATGCTGGCACCCCACAGAGCTGGTGAGGCCAGGGCCCCTTCCATAGCCTCAAGCCCACCTCTATAGGCCAGAGCCCCCTGAGCCGGGTGTGGTTTCCCAGGGGCTCTCACCATGTAGGTCAGAACAGGTAAGTTCCAAGCGGGTGGGGGCTGGGGGGCCAGGCCCACTGCTCAGCTGCAACTGGAACTGGGGCTCACTCAGCTCCAGCAGCAGATGCTCAGTCCGCACAGCCTGGCCCGCCCAGGGGTCCCGCTCAGGCCGCAGGTCAGCAATGGGGAAGCACAGCTGCAGGGTGGCCCGGGGCGCCGAGAGCTGCACCACTGTCTGCTGCTCAGTTGCTGGTGGGGTCTCTGTCTGTGGGGGTTGGGAGGTTAGATCTGGCGCCAAGGCCCCCCACCTCTGGTTAAAAGCTAGGAGATTCAGGCTCCACACCCTGCCCCAGCTGGGCATCTTACCAGCAGGCCAGCAGGTAGCTCAGGGGAGGGTACGGTGGCCAGGTGTAGCAGGGCAGCAAGCCGGTCCAGGGCCCCTAGCTCCACATCTGCCTGGAAGTCGGCCAGGTCCAGGGCCAGTTCTGAGTGACAGTGGCAGGCAGCTGGGCGACGGGGTCGGCTCTGGGGGCCAGGGGACAGGGTGAAGGCAGGACGGGAGGGGACCCCCTTGAGCAAACAGAACACAGAGCCCTCCTGGGTGGTGGGGAAAAGAACTGGGGAAGGGGACCCAGGAGGGAACAGGGAGACCCTCACTACCCTGCTCAGGCAGACAACCATGCTTGCTTAACAAAAGCCACCCAAATCCTGCCACTCCCAGCTTGGAGGCCAGCAGGGGTTTGCTATGAGGAACTCAGTCAGGCTTAAAGAAGGCAGGTACTGGGCCCAACTACACTTGAGCCTCCCAGATGGGCAGGTGTGCTCTACCCAGAATGCAGGTAAGGAGGGTGGAGGGCAGAAGCAGGGGGCACCAGGGAGGCTGGCACAGGGACATCAAAGCACCATGGCGAACAGCCGGGGACCTGGGGCCTGGAGGATGGGGTTACCTTGGACACACGGCGCAGCGTCTGCGTGTGGCGCAGGTGGGCACAGGGCCGAGCTGAGGCCTGGGAGCCCAGGCTGCTGGGGAAGCTCAGGATCTGGGATGGGCCACAGGAAGTGAAAGGGTCAGGCTGCAGCCCATGCCCATCTGAACCTACAGGCCCGCACCTGCCCTGAGCCTTCACCTCTGTGTACTCAGGCTTGGGAGCACCCCTGGGCCACAGACATTCTAGCACTTCAAGCTGCCCGAAGTGCACTTCTGTGCTGGTGGTCCGCCGGCCCCTGCCTGTTCGCAGCTCCCAGGACACCTGCACGGCTGCGCCCGTTAGCCTGCAGGGGAGAAGTTGGACATCAGAGGGTGCACTCAGGGGCTCCAGGAGTCTCTCCTCAGTCCCCGGCCTCAGCTCGTACCGGACATGGCTGCAGGGGCAGGCCCTCTGGAAGCGTGGTCGCAGATGGTGGAAGTCTCGGGAACCAAAGGGCCCCTCCTTGGTGGCATCAAACTCCGTAAAAAAGTGGGTGGTGAGGTCAGGTGGTCCAGGAGGTGGGGCAGAAGTCTGAAGCAAGGTCAGGGTCACGCCCCCCAAGGTCATCTTCAGCAGCGAGTCAGGACGCAGGGTGTCCGGGAGGGGCATGGGGGCTGTCCTGCCTGGGAGGACAGGAGTTTCACAGGGGGCTCCCTGGAGCTTATGGCACCCCAGGTAGGGTGAAGGTTAGACACCATGCTGGGGGCTGGGAGAAGCTCTGGCCTGGCTGGACTGTGACTCTGGCATGATAGAGGCTGAGTCCGGGCCCAGTCCAACCCTCTCAAGGGGGCCAGAAGGAGCAGAGGTGGTAAAGCCCTCAGCCCGGCACCCAACACACAATCTCTCAGACATCAGTGAAAACATACAGCCTGGTAAGGTCAGATCTTATTATCCCCCTTTTATGGAAGGGGAAACTGAGTCTCCAAGAATTCAAGTGCTTGGCCCCAGATCACTGACTGAAACTAGGCTCTGTACATTGCATCAACAGCCTCCCCTGAAAGCCTGCAGGGAACCGAGTCACCAATGGCAGACCTCCAGGCATCACTGGCACTGTGTAGGTGGCATCACACTGGCACTGAGGCCTCTGCCAGCTATTCCTGCCTCTGCAGCACTCACCGGCTGGGGGGGCCTGGGCAGACGGCCGGCGGGGGGCCACGTCACTGTGCACAGAGGAGCCCAGGTCCACGTTGGAGAGGGACAGCTCAGAGAGGGCAGAGGCCACACTGCTCGTGAGGCCGGCCATGGAGAAGAAGAGGTCTGTGAACCAGGGGTGGGAGGTCAGGGGCAGCAGGGCATGGCCCCAACTCCGCATCCGCACTAGCTGTCCCACCGACTGCTGGGTCTGGCTCCAATACCCACCAGCACTGTCCAGGTTGACAAGAGGGTTGGTAAGGGGGTCTGGGCCAAGAGGCTCAGCCACAGCCCCTGCCTGCAGCTGCTGGTTCAGGTCCTGCTCAATCAGCCACAGGTCTTCAGCACCTAGTGGGCGGCTCTTGTTCAGCTTGTCGACCAGGCCCTGGGGGTCTACAGGGAAGGACACCTTGTGTCAGTCCAGGTTGGCCAGCCTGTCCCCCACCTTCTCACCCCTACACCACCCAGACACCTTACCTGCAAGGCTCATGGCGCTAAGCAGTTCCTGGAGCTGCTGGAGCTGCCGTGGGGTCAGGAGCAGGTGCAGGGAGCCCAGCTGCCCAGCTACCTCCAGCTGGAGGCAGAGGGGGCAACATGGAGCTTATATGCCACCCAGGCCCTGTGAGAGCTGCAACACATCTGCCCTCACCCTGAGGAGGTAGGATGCTGGTTGCCAGGATAAACTCTGTCACCAACTAGCTGTGTGACCCTGGCCACAACTTGACCACTCTGAGCCTCAGTTTCTCCAGCTGCCAAAAAGGCAATAATATCCTCCACTCAATGACCACTCTGTCCTGGGGAAAATCAGCACTGCTGCAGATGCCGCTGAGATGGGACACAGCCCTTCCTCCCCAGGGGCTGGGGACCCACCTTGGGGCCTGGGAAGGCCTCATTCTGCTTCAATTTCACCATCAGCTCCATGTACCCTGAGCAGCTGCCAATCTGTAAGGGTGGCTCTGGGGGTTGTTCCTGGGAGGCGGAAGGACATAGGAGAGGGCATCGAGAAGATGTGGTCTGAGATGATCAGAAGGGATGGGGGACCATGTGGGCCAAGGGCCGGAGGGGACAGGGGTTAGCTGAAAGGGACTGTGGGGAATCAGAGTTGGCCCACCTGTGTAGGGAGCTCCTCGAAGTGCAGGCGGAGCCCCGCTAGCTGCAGCAGCTTGTGCAGGAAGGCAGGAGGCTGGTGCACATCCACTGGAGGGGCCTGGCTTGGGTCCCGCACTGCCTCATCACAGTACTCCAGCCTGGGGAGTGCAAGGTCAGCTCTGGCCTTCCCCTGGCCACCCCAAGCTGGAGCCCCCTTTTCCGCACACTATTTTGTTCTAGGGGTCTGGGGTCAGGGAGTGGCCTGTAGAGTTGCCGCATCATAGCCAGGCCATTCGGGACCTCCAAGGCCAGCGCTAGCGTCTCAGACCCTTCTCCTGCCACTCCAGGCCTGCACCACCTGGCCCTGGACACCACCCCCGACTCACAACACAGCCCGCTTCTCCCCGAGGCAGCACCACCCAGGTCCACCCAGACTTGCCCTCCCTTTCCCAGGAGCTCAGGGGGCAGTGGGGGCAGGGCCAGGGCCATTTGGCAGCCCCACTCCCCCGCTTTCTCATGCCAGCCCACCCCACTCAGCCTGCTCGTACCTCTGCACGTGGACTTCCACCGCCACACCGCGCTCCCCACTGTCTGGTGAGTGCTCCACCCTCACGACAGTGTCCAGGAAGGTCACCTTGATCCTTCGTAGCACTGAGAGGTGGGGAGAGGTCTTAGGTCAGGTGGAACAGCAAGGGGCAGGCAGAGTTTCCCTGTAGAGGCAGCAGGTTGGCCATACTACTGTCCGGGGCCCCTGTCCTGTGGGCCATGGGGGGGCAGGGGGGCAGAGGGGTCAGAAACGTCATGTTTACCAGTCTCGATGGTCTGGGCAAACATCTCCAGTCCCTCCAAGGGCTGTGGTGGCTCAGAGGGCTCAGGCAGCCCATCCCGCAGGCACTCCTGAGCCAGCTGCAGGCTCGTGGTCATGCATGAGGCCCAGCTCTGTGAGTCGGCAGGCCCTGGCCCTTTGAGCAGGAAGGGGGTCTCAGGGCAGGCAGGTCCAGTTACCTCATGGGTGCCCAGGCCTACTCCCACTTGTGCTCTCACCCCCATCCTGGCCTTGTCCTTCCCTCACCTGGGCCCTGGCGGGGCTGCAGGATGAGCTGGAGGCCTGACACATGCACCGTGCAGTGGTCGGTGAGCAGTGCAGCCCAGGGCACGGCCACCTCAATGGAGCCCACGAAGCCTTCCACCAGCTCCAGTGGTGATTCTATGGACTCCAGCACCTCGTTCACAGACTGGAGCAAGCAGGGCACAAAGCCGGCTCAGGCAAACCCAAACGTAGCTGCCGCACTCCTTGTCTGGCTGCCCCACCGTAGAGAGCACCCTCCCTCCTCCCTTCCCCCTGCAGGCTATCTACAGAGCCCTACCTCTGCTCACGCTGACCCCTACTTCTGGCCGGCCCTAGTACTGCATCACCCAAATATAACCAGTCTTTCCAGCCAGAGGAGAGGGAGCTGAAGGATGACCAGGAGGAAAGCAGGTGGAGGGGATGGAAGGTGGTATGTGTCCCAGGCATGAGGACAGTACATGCAGAGGCCCAGGGGAGACCGCAGCAGCTGCACCCCACTCTCATTTTGGGCAAGCATGGAGCTCAAGGCGAGAGTCCAAGAGATGCAGGCGAGGGGGCTGGACTGGGCCAGAGAGGACCCCCCAACTCCTGACACTCTCTCAAGTTTGAGGTCCTGGTTACAAATGGGGGAGCAGCACCCCTGGCCTGGGAGCTCTTTGAGGGCAGGAGCTGACCTGCCTTCTCTGTGTGACCCCAGGCACTCTGTGTGGTGTCACACAGAGAGGGCCTCCTAACCATTTGTTGGATCCATTAATAAAAAAATACAACAGAACTACAAGGCCCATAGAGATCAAGTCTATATTCTTGACCCAGAGATCCAGAGATGGGGGAAACTGTGGCCTAGTAATGGGACTAGTCAAGTCACCCAACGCACTATGGGGACTGAGACTGCGACCCAGGCCTCTCTCCTCATCCCAGGGTCCCCAGGCACTTGGCTTCTTCTGGGGTCTCCAAGGTAGGGGCTGCAGGCAGAGCAGCTGGGAGGAAGGGCCAGCTACTGGGAAGGTACCTGCATTCCACCAGGGCCGAGCTCCTCCCTGGAGGCCATCCGGTCAGCAGCCTAGCTAGAAATCAGTTCAATACCCAACAGGAGGGCAGAGCAGGGCAGGGTGGGAGTGTTTGCAGGGCTGGAAGTAGCAAGAGGCAACCTAGAGGGCTGCCTAGAGGGCCATTTCTTTCAGGTCAGCCTAGAAGGCTGAGGTAGGAGGTCAGAAAAGGCAAGAGGCTACTAGGAGGTGCCCCCAACTCTGGGCTCAGGCGTCTCCTCCTATCCTAACATTTGCTCAGGAAGGCCTGGCCTAACCCTAAAGCCCAGCTCCTCCTGCCCCAAATGCATTGAGGCCAAGCACCCTATTTGGCCATCCAGAAAACCGAGAAGCCCCCACTGCCATGCCCACCCCCGCTGCTCTGGACTGTAGGGTTGACCCTGTGCCAGCACTGGACTGCTGCCTCTAATTGGTGGCTCCTCTGCAACTTCCCAGGTCAGCTGGGCTGTGATCACCGCCCCTCACTGCCCCCAGACTCAGACCTCGGACCCAGACTTTTCTCCCCTCTGCCTCCTCCTCCCTGCCTAAGGCCAGACCTCTCCACCTTTCCTCCAGGGCTTCCCTCCAGTGGGGATGCAGGGCTCTAGGCCCTCCCCAAACACCCTCCAGTCCATCCCACTCTCCCCAAATCAGGAAGTAGGGAGCCGCAGCAGCAGTGACACGAGGTGTTGATCAACACGGGTGCTGACGCGGTTGTTGACATCCACATCCGGAGGCGAACCCCACCCACTGGGCCCAGGACCGAGGGTCAGGAGGTCAGGGCACCTTTCCCGCAGGTTACCTCGGCAGGACTCCGGATCCCTACCAGCCTTCCCCGACCAGATGCAAGGCCCCAACTCTGTCACGCCCTGGCCCGGCCCTAACAGAGACCCTCTTTACCGTCTCCTCAGCCTCTGACACAACGCTGCCCAACTCAGGCCCCAAATGAGGTGTTCTTATCCTAGCATTCTTCAGACAAGTGACATCCCCCTCCCCAGCCTCAGTTCTCTTCCTGCGAAGTGGAGGCAGGGACCCTTCCCATTCCACTTCTGGTTCTGGAGATCAGCCCGGGTTCCTCTGATGTCTGTAAAGGGCCGGGCTCCCATGGCCTCTCCTGGTCCCCCAGTCCGACCCAGTCTCCGAGAGCCCCAGGTCGCTGCGCCCCCTCCCCACGCCCTTTTCTGGGTTCAGACCAGGCTCCTCACCCAGATCTCCAGGTGGATGTCCCGCAGGGCAACGCTGCCCTTGTATAGATCGAGGCTGAGCTGGTCCAGGCTGAGGTGCTCCTGGAAGAAGTGACCCAAGTAGTGGTGCAGCAAGTAGCGGCAGACCCGCTCTTTCACACAGTTCGACCATGGCCACAGCCATCGTGACATCTCGGAGACCGTCGGGCCCGGGCCTCCTCCGCTCGCCGCAAGCCGGCAATCCCCGTTCGGCTGCGCTGTTCACTACAGCCCCCGGCTTGCCCCGCCGCTTCTCTCAGCTCCAGGCCGCGCCCCCGGACGCTCAGTCACGCCCCCACTCACTGCCATTGGTCACTGCAAAGGGAGAGGCCTAGTGATTGGGCGCAGGGGGCGGGGCCTTAGAGCGCCAAAATAGGACTGGGCTGTCTGCACGATATAGTGTTCCCAGTCTGGATTTACGCCTGCGTATAAATTCTGCGCGGGAGGACCTTTAACCTCCCTTACACAGGCTCTAGGAAGGCTGCTGCTTGTGGTCCAGCCCCAAAAAGGACCGCGCATGTGCTGATTTTCCAACTACTAGAGGTAGTTGGGGAGGACTTAAAGGAACAGTGTCCCGTCAAACTTGGTAAAAAGCTTCCCAGAGGAATAGTCGGTGTGAGAGCCCCAGCACACATCTGTAGAAATAATCAAGTGAAAAAAACATTTGCAGTTTACAAAACACTTTACCATCCTTTATCTCATTCAATCCTCATTGGATTGGAGATTATTGTCTTCATTTTACAGATAACAAAACATTAATAGATTGCTGTGAATCATCACTAAGGAGAACTTTTTTTCCCATTCCTCACCTAGGGTGCTTTGCAGAGTCACTGACCCTGCCTTCTCTCTTCAGTTGTTCGGACCTTCAGCCCCTCTCTGGAATAATACAAATAGTTTTACATACCTCTAATCCTAAAATTAATTAAAAATGGACTCTAAATCTCTTGAGCCAGGGGTTTATTGTTTTTGTGCAGCCTGTGAGCTAAGGATGGTTTTTACATTTTAAATAGTTGGAAAAACTCAAAGGAAGAATAGGATTTCATGACACGTGAAAATCAAACAGATTGTCACATGGCAGCATCATAAAGTTTTAGTGGAACACAAGACCTCTTAGTCACGGGTGACTTAAGGGATACCCACAGGTAATTATAATTCTATTTTAGCCTTACTAGGAAGATGGACTCTACCATATTCTAATGCCAAAAGTCAGCTTGAAGCAAGAGCTTCACCCTGGACTGAGGAGCAGAGACTTGGATTCCAGTCCCAGCTCTGTGTGGCCTGAGGCAAACTGCTGCTACTGCTGGAAGCCTGTTTTATCTCCAGTAACTTGTCCCAGTTACTTACCTGGGACAGTTTATTTACCTGGAAGGGACTGACAGGCAGCCTCCAAGAGACTTTTGGAAACATTGCAAAGGCTCCATTCAGAGAGGCAGCTAATAGGAGGGCCACTGAGAAAATGCTTGGGGAATGAACCAAGGGATTTCCCTGTCCCCAGTGACAGGCCAGAGGCAGTGTTGTGTCCACCCAAAGTTTGCTAAATAATTAAGAAAGTGATAAATACCATGAACTGAGCCTGTGTGATGTCCTGGGCCCTTGTCACTTTACATGCATCACCGCATCTGTTCTTTGCCACACCCTCAGTGCGGGGGAATGCTATTAATCCCCTCATTTTCTAGGACAGGAAAACTGAAGCTGTGGAGCAAAAGCCTGTGGAGCAAGTGAATGAGCGAACATCACTTCTTCCAAAGGCAGTGAGAACAGAGGGTGTATTCTGGAGTCTAGGAAAGGTGGTCCTTGTATCCAGACTAGGAGGAGGTAACCATTCCCCTGCAGCATACATGGGGTGTGTCATGAGCAAAGGCTGGGGCCACAGGGCTATTCCCAATACTCAGGTTTCCAATCTGGGGTGGTTGCTTCTTGGGTCAGCTTCCCTCCAGTGAGACTGCACCCACAGCAGTCTCTCATTGTGACTTGCCTGCGAGCCACATCTATTTCTTAGAAGTGGGTGCCTGTAAGTCCACTCCTGAGCCTGATCCCCTCTGTGGCCAGGACACAGTGCAGCATCTGTGCCACAGCAGAGAAATAGACAGGGCTCAGAGGGGCACAAAGTTCCTCCCTGCTGTCTCCCCTAGACAGTGCGCTATGAGCTCCGCAGAAAACCAATTCCCAACATGTAGCTATCCCACAACCTGGCCTAGGCCCTTGGAGTAGAAACTGAATGAGAGAGAGAGAGAAAAAATATTCGCAAGATAAAGAGGACAATATTCCCTTAGGAGGGAAGGTGGTATTGGGGATCCCATAGACGTATTTTTAGGGTAAAGTCCCAGGCCCTGCTTAGGTCAAGCAGCCCCTACAAATACACTGGCCCTGGGCACTGCAGTAGCGAGCTTTTACTGCACAGCTGGTTCACGGAGAACTTGAGGGATCTGGGGTAGGATGAGGCCAAGGCTCCCCCTGGCAGAGAGCAAAGGGGGAGGGCCAGGCTTTGTGGGGTCCTTAGGGCCTCCTCACATTAGATTAGGTGGAAACTCGTGAGGCAAACCATGTGCTCTAGACCTCAGGGGCCCTGGGGGGAGGCTCTCCCTTCCCCAGGCATGGCCCACCCAGAAGAAGCCCCTTAAGGAATTTCCTCAGTAGGATCAGGATAGGTGTGGAAGGGAAGATGGAAGGTAGCCTGGGTGCTGTGGCTTTTGACATGGGCCGTGGTACAGGGTCCGGATTTTGCATTTTGTCTAAATTGTGGAAAAATATATACAACAAATTTTATCATCTTAACCATTTCTAAATATACAATTTTATAGCATTAAGAATATTCACATTGTTGTGCAAGGAATCTCCAGAACTTTTTCATCTTGCAAAACTGAAACTCTATATTCATTAAACAACAATGCCAGAGTGGGTGAATTATACAGTATGTGAATTTTATAGTATAGTAAAGAAGATTTAAAAAAGAATTTTCAACCCTGTACTCCCACATGTGACATTTAATCTATTTTGAGACCCAGTTCAAATGCCACTTCTTGCAGGAAGTCTTGTGTCTGTCCTCCACCATTTGGTCCCCCAATCCTCAAGTAAAGCACACCTTTTTTACAAAACACCAACCTTCCATCATCAGCCTGGCCCTGAGACCCTCAGCGTCCAGGGCACTAGCCCCCAGAGGGCCTGCAGTTGGGGGCTGGAGCTGGTGCCATCCTGACTTAGGCTGGGAGGTGTGGACCTGGCCTGTGGTCCTAGCTTTTGATGACAGACTGTATGATCTTGGGCAACACACTTCCCACTGTACATTGGTGTCCTTTGCTGGCCATAGACAGCTTGGTGGGGTGGCTTTCCCTCAGCTTTTCCTGCAGAGATGTGGAAGAGGCTTCACCTCCGCAGCCTGGGAAATGGGCAAGGAGACTGTGGGTTTCCATTTGATAGATGAGGACACCAAGGTCCAGATGGACAAGGCCTGCTGAAGATATCTGAGCAATAGGGATTCTGGCCAGCTCTCCAGTGGTACAGTCCTGGGTCCCAGCATAGCTAAATTTGGCCTTGCTTTCTGTTGCTCAGCAGGTGGGCACCTCTTGGGCACCCAGACTCCATCTACAGCAGGGAAGATGGCTGGTTCATTCCACTGGGGCACTGAGTGGCCACTAAAGCACAAGGCAGAGTGGAGAAGACTCTGATAAGGGCCCCAACCCCTCCCTGACCTCACTGTCCAGTCTTTTAGCCACTCCTACTGCTCACGTGGACCATTTATTCATCTAGGCAAAAATTCTGGGTGGAGATTTCATAGGGTAGCATAGGGGATGGAGTTCAGGGAATAAAAGGTGTTGGGAGTCTAGGGTCCTAGAAAGGGGGCCCAGGACTGTAGACCAGGAACTTTGGGCTTATATGCTAAACCCATAGAATCCCCACAGCAGGGTTTTGAATCAGAGACCCCACTAACACATCTTGGGACCCAGAGGGCTGGGAGATTCATCCAGGGAGGCTGGCTTGCCTGGGGTGGGGTGGCAACCGGGGAGCACCTCCCGCTCTGATGCTTTGCCACTCCAAGGCTGGCCCTTTAAACCCCAGACCATGATGTCACCATAGACAGCGAGGGACCGGAGGGGGACTGCAGGCCAGAGGACGGACTGCATTTCCCAGCAGCCTGGGCATGCCACACCCCTCCCAGCAGGCACTGAAGACTATTAACCAGTCCAGTGCTGGTTTCCAAGTGGGGGGGGGGGGGGTCTTAAGTCAAGCCATTCTGGGGAGAAGGTGGGGTGCCCATGAGGGTGGGGTGCCCAGGGCACAGATAGAGTAGGCCAATCTTTGGGCCTGACATAGGATTGGGCCTCTTTCCTGTCAGGGTCCTGTGCTGGCATCCTCTACCTTCGTGGTAGAGACTCCTGAGTTCTCCTCTCCCTGTGCGGCCTCCCTTCCAGAACCCAGAAGCCCAGCCCCAGTTGGACCCCATCCCGGCTCTGCTTCAGCCTTATCCCCAGAGCTCTCAGGGGTTACCCTTTCTGACTGGCAGCCTCCTTTAAGCGGTGCGGAGACTACATCTCCCAGAGGCCCCGGGAACTTCCTGACGCAGCCCCCAGCGCCCCCGCCCGCGAGGAGGTGCGGGCTGGGCGTTGGGGGTGGGGGGGCGGAGTGACTTGATGTCATCCTGAGCAGCTGGGCGGCGGGTGCCGGTGCGCTCAGACCCGGGGCTCCTGCAGCGCCGCGCCGCTTCGGGTCCCACGACTTGAGGAGAGGTCCGCGCGCTGCCCGGGCCAGCTCAGAGCCCGCCGGGCGCCCGTGCCCCGACCCGGGGCTGAGCTGGGGGCATGCTCCGGGCCCCCCGGAGCCCGAGAGAGAACCCCGGAGCGCCGCCGCCCAGCGCCAGCGCCTGGAGCGAAACCTCTGCGAAGGAGCCCTGAACCGCTGCCCCCCTCCCCACCCGCAGCCCCTGGGGAAGGGGACCAAAGTCTGGGCTTCTGAGAAGTGAGTGTCCCTCACCAGGGGGCAAATGAGATTTGGGGGGCGAGGAAGGCGCTGAGGTGGGGGAGGGTGCCGGGATCCAGGAGCGGGGTGGCATGGGGCCAGGGCCCCATTCTTGAGGAAGTCCCTGGTAGCCCGGATTAGTGGAGCAGGAATGGGGCCCCGTTCTGTTAGGGGCCAGGGATGAGGCCCCAGGGCCCCATTCCAGGTAGGGGCTGGCTTGGGGGATAGGCCCTATTCCAAACGGGGTTGTTTTGGAGCCTGGGGCCTGGCAGTCTGTGAGAAGGGGGAACATGTTTCCTGTGGGAGGGGACTGTGCCCCTACTTAGGTTCTGGACCAGGGCAGGAGAGAAAAGAGACTTGGGTGCTCAGCTGCTGCCGCACACACCATCTCTCCTCAAAGAACTGACAGGCGCTCTCTTTTTCTTGCCAACCTTTCTGCCTTGACTTCGTTTTCAAAAGAGGGTGGGAACCCTAACTGGACTCTTCAGGACCCCCTGGAAGGACCTGAGGCCTGAGCCATCTTCCTCTCTACCCTGCCTGCCCCCCAGGACTGGGCAGTTGCCGAGGGCCTGGGGGGGGGCAGGCAGGACTGTCATTGTGCCCCCCCCATGCCCCACAGGATGGGCCCAAGTTAGTCAGCTCCACCTCACTCAGCATCCTCCAGGCCCAAAGGGAACCCAGGGGACTCTGAACGCTTGACCTGCTGCCTGGCCACCATGGAGACGAAGCTGCCCCCAGCAAGCACTCCTACCAGCCCCTCTTCCCCGGGGCTGTCACCTGTGCCCCCACCCGACAAGGTAGACGGCTTCTCCCGCCGATCCCTCCGCAGGGCCAGGCCCCGGCGCTCCCATAGCTCCTCTCAGTTCCGCTATCAGAGCAACCAGCAAGAGCTCACTCCACTACCCCTGCTCAAAGGTGAGCCTGGCTGCTGGCTGCCAAGGTGCCTGAGTCCCAGAATGGGCAAGGAAGGCCGTGTGTGTGTGTGTGTGTGTGTGTGTGTGTGTGTGGAGGGGTAGCAAGAAGCAGCTGGCAGCTATCAGAGGGAGTTTGGGTGGCCCCTTCCAGGCGAGGGACTTCACCATTGGCGCTGACCCCCACTCCCAGCCCTCTGCTGACGCATGGCCTGACTAGCCTGTCATTCTTGGAGGTGGGGCATCTGGAAGTGACGCCACCCTGGGGGGCAGACCAGGGCCAAGGGTGGGGCCCACAGCCTGGGTTCCAGGAGGCCCCTAGCAGTCCAGCAGGTACTCAGGCTCTCTGTGATCACCCTATCATCCCCTCACCTCTGGGCCACGGAACTCCACTGGCTGAGCCCGAGGGTACCCTAGAGATCCTTGGCTTTGAACTTCCTCTGCGCTACTAGCTTTTAGAACAGAGTGCCACCCAGGAGAGGCAGGCAGTGGCCGTTTCTGGCACCTGTGGAAAGCCCCACCATCCAGGGTCTGTTACACCTTGCTTTAAAATCAGGCCGTTGTACTCTCTGAGCCTGGATTAGGAGGAAAGATGAAGCTCTTTACCCTGTAAGAATGGAGGACAGGACAGGAGTTGTTTGCTCTCTGCGAGGAGTGGGCGATGGCACAAGAGCATGGGGTCTGAGGCCAGGGGAGGCTGCCTGAGGCAGTAGGAGGGTCCGCCCCCGCCCAGAGCTGTGGCGGCTGGGGCCCAGGCTCAGCCCCATCCCTTCTCCCCAGATGTGCCAGCCTCTGAGCTGCACGAGCTGCTGAGCCGGAAGCTGGCCCAGTGCGGGGTGATGTTTGACTTCTTGGATTGTGTGGCTGACCTGAAGGGGAAGGAGGTGAAGCGAGCAGCGCTCAATGAGCTGGTGGAGTGTGTGGGGAGCACCCGGGGCGTCCTCATTGAGCCTGTCTACCCAGACATCATCCGCATGGTGAGCACCTGGCACCCCACAACCCAGCTCTGGAAAGAACTTAGGGGGTACTGGAACCCAACTGGCTTGCCTGTGAGCTGCTGTGCAGAGAATAAACCCCATCTTCTCCCCTCCCCCAGCCCTGCTGCCTAGCACCCTGCCAGAGGTCATTCAGTACCTCCTTGGCTTGTCCCCCCCCACACTTTCACTTTTGCTCTCCTGAGGCCTGCTATGAATCCCCCCATGTCCCTTATCCCCATGGCCTGTCTCAGGTGCTGCGTCTTCCATGAAGCCTCTCTCAGTGTTCAAGCTAGAAATCTCACTTTTGTGCCTAAAATATCCATAGACCTTATTGCTTTCATTTTTGTCTTCCCTGCTGGACTGTCCCTGGTAGAGGTCAGGGATATGTCCAGTCCGGCCTGAGACCCCCATCCCCTGGCCCAGGGCCTCCATGAACTAGATTTCCAAGGAGCAAACTGCTTGCTGGGGCAGGTGCTAGGAGGCCCGTTAGGGAACCAACCCTGGCTTCTGCCTTCAAAGGCTCTTCCTTAAAGAACCCTGTCTCTGCTTCCCAGATCTCAGTGAATATCTTCCGGACCCTGCCACCCAGTGAGAACCCTGAATTTGACCCTGAAGAGGATGAGCCCAACCTTGAACCTTCGTGGCCACATCTGCAGGTATGAGAGCTGCAGAAGTCAGAGATCTGAGTTTCACAAGAGATCTGAGGAGAGGGGAGAAGGTCTCCTTAGATCCTGGACTGTCGGATGAGGACCACAGGGCAAGGGGACTCAGGGAGGCTGTTTCTGAACTCTCCTTTTTGTCTGTCCCCTCTCCCAGCTGGTATATGAGTTTTTCCTGCGTTTCTTGGAGAGCCCAGACTTCCAGCCCTCTGTGGCCAAGAGATACGTGGATCAAAAGTTTGTCCTGATGGTGAAGTGGGAGCTCAGGCTGGGTGGTGCCATGGGGCAGGGGCAGGTTCTCTGAGGGGAGTAGGGAAAGGACAGAAGCAACCTGGACTTGGCCTCTCACCTGACCCTTGACCCACAGCTCCTGGAGCTATTTGACAGTGAGGACCCCCGGGAGCGTGAGTACCTCAAGACCATCCTGCACCGGGTCTACGGCAAGTTCCTGGGGCTCCGGGCCTACATCCGCAAACAGTGCAGCCACATCTTCCTCCGGTGGGTACCTACTGCCTGTCCAGCTGAGCCCTGGGGAGGGAGGGGGAGAGCTGTGGGAAACCAGCCTGAGGCAGAGGCTCCCAGGCTGGGGGGCCCTATGGAACTCTGATTTACCAAGTTCTTTCTCAGCAACATGTTAATTAATAATGTTTATACAAAGCCTGTGAAGTCAGCAGAGAAAGGGTATTTATTTCCATTTTACAGATAAGAAAATGGAGGCCAAAAGAGATGAAGCGGTTTGAGGGACTAGATCATTTGGGCTCTTAGGATCGAGGTCTTTTGACCCTTATTGCACCAGGACATGAGGATGCAAAGGGAGATTCTTTCTGCAAATGTGTGTTGAGCACCCATGCCCGTGGGCACCAGGGGTCCACATGCCCTTGTTGTTGAGACTGGCTCTGGAGCTAGAGGGCCTGTGTTTGAGTTTGGTTCAAATATTTGGGTTATTTAAGCTGTCTTCTAGTTTGCTCATGTCTAAAATGGAAATGATAGCTCTACTAATCCAGGGTTGGTCATCAAACTGAAATGAGGCAATGCCTCCGAAGCACACAGTACGGCTCCTGGACTAAGGCCAGGACTCTGAAACATGAGCTCTTACATTATCAGCTATAAAACAAGAGAGATATGATCCCTGTCCTACAGGAGCTCGGAGTCCATCCACTTCTTAACTTTGGGGCATGTGTCTTTGAACTGCTGGGCCTCACTGGGTTCACAGGCATAATGGATCTAATAAGCTTGACCTCCCAGGATAATTTTGAGAAGTGCGTAGCACAGAGTAGACAGTGTAAGCGCTTGTCATTCTTTTGGTTGACTGGTATGAAGAGTGAAGGATTGAAGAATGCAGGCTAGGTGTCCACTGATAGGATGGGAACCAGGTAGTGAGGGTTAGGGTTTGGGGAGAGAGGAGATAAAGGAATGCATAGAAGAGGGGTCTGAGCTGGGGTGCAGAGTGGCACCAATGGCTGGCCTAGAAGGGTGATTCAGAGGTGGGCTGGATCTCAGTGGGGACTGGGTTGGGGTGTTGGCAAGGGAGCACAGCCTCTGGGTTGGGAGGGAGTTGGATTAGCGGACAGGGGGATGGCAGTGGCGGGCAGGGCGGCTGAGAGGGGGCTGGGCCTGCCTCTGTTGCTCTGAGCCCCTCTGCATTCTTCTCTTCTTGCAGGTTCATCTATGAACTCGAGCACTTCAATGGTGTGGCTGAGCTGCTGGAGATCTTAGGAAGGTGACTGTCCCTGGGCCTCAGCTGGAGCAACAGGATTCTGGGAGGAAGGACTGAGGCCCAGTCATCTGAACCTTCTCCTCTCTTCTGCCCCCTCCTCAGCATCATCAATGGCTTTGCACTGCCCCTGAAGACTGAGCACAAGCAGTTCCTGGTCCGGGTCCTGATTCCCCTGCACTCTGTCAAGTCACTGTCTGTCTTTCACGCCCAGGTAAGGCCCAGGCCAGGCCCTGCCACCCGGAGAGCTCCCGACCATCAGGACAGCCATCTGGGTCAGCCTGATACAGGAGCTCCAGCCACACTGAGTCATGAACTTAGCATCCTTCTTTTTTTTCTTTACTAATTCTGTTCCATCTACCTTAGAGAGTTCCCATGACCCTTTAACACTGACCTTAATCGGCTCTGTGAAGCTTCCCCAGCCCCTGCCTTAGGAAGGACAGTTCTCTCCCTTCTACATTCCCATAGATCGTGGCACAGATTTTGATTGTAGAACCTTTTGTAAAATTTATAAGGACTAGTTTGCTGATTGTTTCTCCTATGAGATCATGGCTCTGTCCCTGTTATATCCTGGGCAGTTGGTAAATGCTTCCCAAATGAGAGAGGGAACCCAGTGAGTGAGCAAACATCTGGCATCCTGTCCGGGTCCCTGCTGACCTCCATTCTTTCTCTCTCCACTCCAAAGCTGGCATACTGTGTGGTGCAGTTCCTGGAGAAGGACGCCACCTTGACAGAGCACGTGAGTACCTCTGCGGGGAGAGGCGGCCCCACCCCTGCAGGTCTGACTCCTTTCTGCCTCAACTCCCGCAGGTGATCCGGGGGCTGCTCAAATACTGGCCAAAAACCTGCACCCAGAAGGAGGTATGAAGGGCTTTGACGTCCACCAGAGAGGGGTTGGGAGGGCCCAGCTTCTGGAGGGCAGTCCGGAGTGTGCTGAGGGGGATGGCAGCTGCTGCCCCATGTCCCACCCCCAGGTGATGTTTCTTGGGGAAATGGAAGAGATTCTTGATGTCATTGAGCCCTCTCAGTTTGTGAAGATCCAGGAGCCCCTCTTCAAGCAGGTGGCCCGCTGTGTGTCCAGCCCCCATTTCCAGGTACTGGGCAGGGACTGGAGACCATTTGACCTAACATAGCTCCCTCTACCCTCAGTTTCTCCTCTGGATCCTTCTGGATCTGATAATGGGGAGACAGCGTACTAGGGTCAGGAAACCTAGGGTCAAGCCTCAGATCTGCCTCCTACTGACTGCAGGGCCTTGGGCTAGTCATTAACTGAGTCTGAATAAGCTTCCTCCTCTGCAAAGTGGGCCAATCTCTTCACAGGATGGGGATGAGATCATAGTGGAAATGTATTTGGTAAACTGAAATGTGCCCCAGAATGGGCTGTTATCACTTCTCCCCTTTTCTCTGTGCCCTTGGATTTCATTAGTCCCACCTCAGGGCCCAGCTAGGCCTCCCTTCCCATCAGGCCGGTTGTAAACTCTGTCTTCCTGAGTGCAAACAGCGTCTCCTATTCTTAAGAGCCATACATGGTGGAAGTCAGTTCTTCCCCATAGTGACTCTGCTGTTCAAGTTTATTAAACACCTTATGTGATTCTTAAAACAGCCCTGGGAAGATAGTTATTATTAGCCCCATTTCACAAATGAAAACACTGAGGCTGAGAGGGTAAATGCCTCACCTAAGGCCCTGCGGCTAATGTGCAGTGGAGCTAGGATCTGGCCCTGAGCACTGGACTCCAAGTCCAGTCCTCTTTGCTGCCCACCACATTGCTTCTCCCAGGGGGGCCAGATGAGCATGAGGATGGCTGTGTGGAGGGCAGGGCCGCAGGGTTTTGGAGTGGGCGTGGGTAAGGGAAGCCACTGCCAGGTGCTCGCTCTGCCACCTTACTACTGCAGGTTGCAGAGCGGGCTCTGTATTTCTGGAATAATGAGTATATCCTGAGCCTCATTGAGGACAACTGCCACACTGTACTGCCTGCTGTCTTTGGGACCCTCTACCAAGTCTCCAAGGAGCACTGGAATCAGTGAGTGTGCAGGCCTTGACCTCCCCACGGAAGCTGGGCCCAGGACTGGCCAGTCCAGACCTGGGGTTGCTCCTAGCCGAACAGGGTCATGGAAGTTGTCTGAAGACGGAGGGATGGTGAAAGGGGCAGAAAGAGGGCAGAGCTGTGGTGTCCAGGGCTGCACACTTGTGCTGACGGAGGACAGGCAGAGTGCTGAGAGGGAGGTTGGGCCAAACTGAAGTTGCTCTCACCTTCTCACCCCTCTCCCTTGATCCTGCCAAGAACCATTGTATCTCTGATCTACAATGTGCTCAAGACCTTCATGGAGATGAACGGGAAGCTGTTCGATGAGCTCACAGCCTCCTACAAGTTGGAGAAGCAGCAGTGAGTACTGGGGGCCAGGCATAGGGGGAGAGGGGAGAAAAGCCGGAGGAATCACCTGTTCCTGTTGCAGGGAACAGCCCTCACCCCATCTGACTAGACACTTCAGGTTGCTCCGTGAGTGCCTGGCAGGGCCGGGCCTTCGGTGCCCTACTCCCCACTGCATCCTCCCATCGTCCTCCCAATGCCGCTTCTGGATGTGGAGCTTCTGACTCCCTGGAGCCTCCTCCCCTCCGCCAGCCTCTCCGAGCCAGGCTAATCTGCCTGCTCCTGCCTGGAGGGGAGCAGTGGCTCCTCAGGGCTCTTCCCTCCGTGGGAGGCTTCTTGGTCCCTGTGCAGCTGGGTGGCTGGAGCTGGACTGCAGGCGGCCCAGTAGGGGAGCTGCCTCGCCCTCTCTCTCCAGGGAGCAGCAGAAGGCCCAGGAGCGTCAGGAGCTGTGGCAAGGCCTGGAGGAGCTGCGGCTACGACGGTTACAGGGGACCCAGGAGGCCAAGGAGGCCCCCCTCCAGCGGCTTACGCCCCAGGTGGCTGCCAGTGGGGGTCAGAGCTAGAGATACCCCAAAAGGGGAGGAGCTAAACCCAGAGCTGTCAGTCCCTCCATCCCCTCTCCTGCCTGGGGGGCCTAGAACCTACCCCTGGCCTTGCTAGAGTGGGCTTGGAGGGCTCCGTACCTGGCCCAGTGTGGGCAGCTTTCACTGCGGGGAGAGGAGGAGAGACGGTGGCCCTATCAACAGAACTCTCAAGCCCTGTGGCAGGACTTGACTAGGGCCAAGTTGACCAGGAAGCTGCCATTGGGGATCTACCCCTGCCCCACCAAGCTGGGCTCCAGATTGCAGGCAGGGTCCTCACCCTGCTCCTGGCCTAGAGCAGGGGGACTCAGCCCCTTGCCTGCTCTGCCGCGTGCCAGCACGAGGTCCTTCCTCACCCCACCATGGGGTCCATAAGCTATTTATTCCCTACCCCTCCACCCACCCCCAACACAGACACCGTCCTGGGCCTGGAGCACCTCCTTCCCTCTCCGCTCTCACCCTGTACTTCCTTGTCCCCTTTTTATTTATTGGGCAGGGGGAGGGGTGAGGGCACAGGCAGAAGAGATTCCCTATGTCCTGGGGCAAGGTGGGGGTGGTCACAGTCACCATGGTCTGTCCCCCTTCCCCTGGCTGGGGTTAGATTTAATAAAGAGAGAAACTTGAGAACTGCTTGTTTTATTTAGGGGTAGGGACAAGGAAGGAAGGGAAATAGTGAAAGCTGGTTAGGAGGCCTAGCAGAGGTAGAAACATCCCCCTTCTCAGGAGGCAACCACCACGGCTTTCAGGGGTGGGGCTGCTGTCCTCAGGGAGGCTCAGGATATACAGAATAAGCCCCAGCTCAAGCCCTCTGACCACGGGGACAGGGGAAAGATGGGCTAGTAGCGGGAAAGGCGACACATGTCACACTGGCAGGCCCTGGCAGTGAAGATCGCCAGCTCCTCCCTCCGGTCCCCCCAGCACTGCAGCTGCACCTTCACCTGGGGAGGAGGGGTTCCACGTTCCAGGCACCTTCCTCAGGGCCCTCTCTCCCTGGGTTCCCTCACCCCAGCGAACTGCCCCAGGCTGGGCCCCCTCACCTTCCTCAGGCCGCTGATGGTGCAGCACCGAGAGACGGAGGTGATGTTGTGTCGGTAGCCACTGGCCACCAGCACGGAGTACCGGGAAGGGAAGGCACTGGACTCGCAGTGGCCCACACAAGCCTGGGCCACATGGGAGCCCTGGCAGGTGCCTTGGCGGTCACTTCGCACTGTCACATTGAAGGCTAGAAGGAGACAGGCAAGTGGGAGATGGTACCTCTGCGAAGGCTCGTGCGCTCCTGTCACCTGAACCTCAGTGTGGACCCACTGAGGGTGCTGCTGCACCCTGTCCAGTCCATCAGCTCTTTGCTCCCACCCAGCTCTCTGCTCCCAGGGTTACTCACGGTGCAAGTGGCAGCCTGGGCTGGCCACCTGCCGACCCCAGCCTCCAGTGACCGCCAGGACCAGCAGGCAAAGGAGCAGCGTTCGGGGGGACGCCATGGGCACCTAAAACAGTGGGCAGATAGATGTCGCTAGACAGTTTGCAGATGGGAAAGGGAGTTCTTTCAATACCTCATGCCTCCAGGTAAGTGAACCAGGGCTAGGGTGCTCTGACTGGGGTGAGGCGAGCCTGTGAGTAGGGCTCTTGCCCCGTATCTGTCTTTGGGTGCATCTGCCTGGAAGGCGCTCGGCATGGGTGTGCGTGTGAGAGCTGTCTCTGGATGTGACTTGTTAGCACACTGCAGTGATTCTCTGCTGGCACCTCCCCGACTATTTGCAGCACAAACATTTGCCCCACGTTGCCTGCAGGACCCTCAGTTATGGTCCCCACAGGCCCTCCCAGGGTTCCTCCTGCCCCGGGGGCTTACCACTTCCAAGGCCTAGAAACCAAGAGGCTTGCGGAGCTGCTCCTCTGGACTTCCACTGGTCTTCAGCTGGGGCTGGCTCTCTGGATTTTTATTTGCTGGCATTCTGGAGCCACGCCCTCTTGGAGATCAGTTTTCAGGCCTGCCTCCCTGCCAGAAGCCTCAGAGCAACCCCACCGGGAAGATCAGCCCTTCTCTGAGGTGTGGTCCTCAGAGAGCAGTGTCTGCAGCTTTCTGCCTCCCTTCTGTCCTAGAGCTGCCTAAGGCCTATCAACAGATAGGGATACCCACAGGTATCCCTTCCATGGGGGAAGTGAGGTGCAGAGGAAAGCCCAGGAGCTGGTGGAGTGCGTGGCTTGCATGCCCCTGGGGAGAGAGGGCTCGAGACTGAGCTGAGTTGTGGCCACCTGGTTCTCTTCTTTGCTATGTGACCTTGAGCGGGACACTGCACTGTTCAGGGCCTTGCCACCCCAGCCTGAAAGCTACTAACTCAGCTGTGCCTGTCTCTTTCATCCGCTGCTGAGAAGAGGCATTGGGGAGGAAATTCTGAGGGACAAGGGAATGACTGCACTTGGTGGCAAAGCCAATGGGGTATGAAGGGTTCTGAGTCCCTTTCAGAGACTTACTTTCACGTCAAGTGGATGACTTCTCATGCTGGGGGTCAGTCAGAGTGGAGCTCCCCCTAGTCCCTGGAATAAAGGGCCTGACTTCTGGAAGAGCCTGCAGCTGCCAACCCCCACAGATGTAAAACCACGGCTCTGGTTTTACAGGTGAGGCAACTAAGGCTCAGAGAAGGAAAGTTACTAAAGATCATAAAGCTCATTAATGTCAGGGCTGATCTGGAAGGCGAATCTGCCATCTGTGCATGGTGCTCAGTTACCCTTGGGGCAGGACTGTGGCAAGCTGGGAGCAGACCCCCTAGCTGGCAGTAGCTGCAGAAGCTGGGGCAGGGTGGAGGTCAGAAGGAAGCCTGTGGTGATTTGGCCCCCTGACATCCCAGCGCCACCGCCTCGCTGACCTGCTCAGAAAGGCTGAGCCAGCCACACAGACTGCCAGAGCTGGAAGGAACTTGAGAGCTCGTGTAATCCCGCCCTTTTATGTTCCAGATGAGAAAATAAGAACCAGAGAGGAAAGCAACTTTGCCAAGGCTTCAGTGTAAGCCAGTCAGTCCGAATGGCACTCAGATCTCCAGATTCTGGAGTTGAGCCTCTCAACAGCTTTGGAAAGCAGGCCGTGTTTGGGACAGTCAGGCAAAGGCTGTAAATGCAGCTTGTCCACAGTCCTCCAGTCCTTGTGCTGGTGGCTTCCCCTTTTGCCCTCCTCCTTGCAGGTCGAGGCCCTTTGCAGTGAGTGGCCCACCTCCTCTTTTCTCTCCACCCACAGTAAAGGCAATGACCCAAGGGGACACCAGGGAACCTCAGCCATCCAGCCTCAACTCCCACTCATCACAGGAACCTTCCAGCATCTGACAGATAGCTCTAAAAATGAGGGATGACAAGAGCTCATTACCGCAAAAGGTGGCCCATTCTAACACTGGGTGTATCTAACAAAAAGTGATTCCTGTGTTCTGAGCTACAGTGAGTTTCCCTAAATCCCTTCTGTTATTTTGATCATCTGTCCCAGATCAGCTTTAAGTGACATGAAGACAGATCTCTCAGGTCTTAGGTGACCTGGTCTTCTCCAGGAGCCCTAACCTAGACTGGCGTCCACTTAATCCAATAAACTAATCTGCATTACTGTCAGAAGCCACAGGTACAGGCAGGTGGGAAGTGTTTGTCTACTGAGAGGCTGGGTCCCAAACTGGGTGGATTAGGGAGACAAGATTTCTTGAGGGTCAGCAAGGCTCAGATAATGAGTCTTGCAAGACCCCATTCCCTTGCCTCGCTCAGGGGAGTTTAAGGTTTGAGGTCAGGTTCAGACCTCACCAACCCAAAGCACCCTGCCAACAATAACCAGTAGACCCAGGGGAGATTCCAAGCATTGCTTCCCTGTATCTTGAGGCAAGAGTCTGCATTCTCTCACTCTACTTCACTAAATTCAGTCAATAACCCTTTATAAATAGTTTATTGTCATTAGGATCCTAAGTGCTAGAGATCAAAGACCTAAACTGGCCCTCAGACGAAAGCATTTTACAAAGTCCCATCCTTTTCTTAGTACTTTAAATTTAAAACAAAACAAACCCGTCCATTGTAAAGAGGCAAAGGGTAGGATAAACCCACAAGAGGACTCAGGGAGTTTGGGGCCCTCATTTCCCGGGACTAGAATGTCAACAAGCAGAGGATGGAGGGGGAGTAGACACCTCCCACCGCTGTGGGAAGTGTCACTGTGAGAAGACACCTCCCACTGCTGTTTTCCGAAAGCTCACTGGCTGCTCTTCCTGAAGAAATACCTAAACGGGAAGAGAGAGCTGCAGGAAGGAGAGCAGAGCAGGTTGAGACTCTAGGGGTCCCTTCCCCTCCCAGGTCCCATTAGGGCCCCATTAGCTAGGGCATTTTTGCTCTGGAGGGAAAAGCAAGTCTAGATCAGCATTTGAAAAGGTACCCAAATTAGATTATGCTCAGGAGGGGGAAATAAAGGAGAACCGCAATGGGCTGGCTGAGCTCTTGATAGATAAGGGGATTTGCTAATGTCTTCTGCAAAAAGGACTCTGAAGACATATCCTAGATTCAGAGGGGAGAATGGGAGCAGTTTGGTAACCAAATCATATGAATGACCCAAGCAGCATTTAGAAACCAGGCTCAAAGCTGGACATGTTGGGGTGGAATGGATTGTGTAAAAACGAACAAGATACAGTCTTTATTAAATTCACAGTTAGGGCCCTTGTGCTTAATCTCATGTCCATCATCTGCCCTGGACAAAATGAGAGTATGCAGGCATTCCACTTCCTTCTCTGCTCTGACTTCCCTGAGAGACTCCGTGAGGCAGTCTCCGGAGCAGAGCTCCCCGGGTCTGTTTGGGGGCAGAAGAGAGTGTCTTACCTGAGAAACCCGAAGAAGCCGCTGGATCCCAGCTCTGTGGGTCCTGTAGGTGGAGGCAGATTGTTCTGTGGTGATGGTAGGACAGGCTGCCCTGCTGGGCTGTCCCTCCACTTAGAATCTGCAAGGAAAACACTCAGGCAAGGGAAGGGCTTTGGTTGTTGGGCTGTGGGAAGGCAGGATACCCAGCGTGAGCCCAGTGAAGCCAGGTGAATTGTCTGTGCTGACCTTCCCAATTTAATCTCAGCTCAGTAAAACACTATCTGACCTTGGAGTATTTTCAAATTGGGCCCCTGAGATTTTTATACTGCTCCAGTCCCGGTCACCCGCCACCGCTGGTGTGTCTTACAGGGAATGACATCTTGTTGAAGCACTCGCTCACATCCCCCACCCCTGCATGTGATAACTACAGTCCATCTGAATCCTCATGCTGCGTAAAAGAGCAAGTTGGAGGAGCAACACCCTGACACGCACTCCCTGCCCCTGCTGAGCCTCCACTGCACCTTCCATATTAACGCGAATGCCCCAAAGAAAAGGAGAGAGAGCTTCTCAGAGATGGTTCTCCAATGAGACAGCAAAGTGGAACACATCCCTCTCAACTTTTCTGTAAAACCCATAGGACCCACATGAAGCATCAGAAGCATCATTTTCGCAGTCAGAAGCGCAGGAAGGATGTGCACTGCCTCCCTTCACGGGAGCTGGTGGGGCACTGAGTACCCGCGGGCAGGCCCGCGCCCTGACGAGGGATGCACAGCTCTCCTGAGCGGCTCAGACTCAGCACACTGCTGCTCTGCTCATCGGAGAACCAGAGGCGACAGGACAGTTACTAAGGAGAAGAAGGAGGAATTTCCCAGATCCTACCCTGTTCCTGGACATCGGTGACATCAAACGCTGGGGTCTCCTGCCATTCCTGCTGGGTTTTTCTTTCCCTGTTCTGGTAAAAAGAGGACCAAGAAAAGTTTTAAACTTTAATCCTATACAGCTTGGTGATCTGAATGCTATTTGCTGGTGAATTCATCTCACATCAGTACTGGGGCTTCTGATTTGCCAAGGCAGATCCTGTATTTCTTTCTATAGGACTGTCCTTTTCCCATTTCAGCTTCCTAACCACTGTCCCTCTAAAATTGTAAGATTTAAGAGTCGAAAATAAACCAAACTGGTTTTAACTTACCATTCCATGTTACTGAGTCCCAACTATGTACTAGTAAAGACAGAATATTGAGGTTTCAGAAATCAGAAGGACCTTAACTTTACCTTGGAGAAATGTGTAATCTATGTGGTAAAGCTGATATATAAACCAAGTATTACGAGATAGTGTGCTAGGACTACCCCAGAAGTCTATGCAGTGTTGTGGCTGCTGAGGACAAGAATAGAATGGGTGGCAGTTAGTCAAGGAAGACTTCATAGGGGAAGTGCTATTTGAATGGGTCTTGATGGATGAGCAGGGTTTTTTGGTAATAGGTATGAGGAGATGGTCAGAGAAAGCAGGGCGTTCCAGACAGGGCCATGGTGCACAAAGGTACAGCACCATGAACGAGCAAATGCAGGTAACAGGGCTCGAGCTGGGGCAACAGAAACGTGACTCCAGTGCAAGCAGTCAGCATACCACCGCGCAATCTTATTGTTTCCCCCTGTGCGACTCCTTTACAGAACTTCCTTTATACTTTGAAGGGTCATCCTACAACTTGGCTCTAAGCCCACATTTCCAGTAGACACCTGATAGTCAGAAACATGGCCTATGCATTTTCTTGGAATTCCCACCAACTACCCACTCCTATCACCCAGGCGGAACCTGAGGGCCCAACTACCCAGCAGGGCCAGTCAGCTCCTTGAATTGTTCTGCTGGGAAAGAATTCTATAGCAAGGGGTGCAGACTGTCAAGGTGGGTCTGGGAGGCAGAGGCATGGCAACACCCCAGGAAAGTTGGATGTAGTCTCCATCCTTAGCATAAGCTGCTATTTCTAAGATAAGCTTTTCCACAAAGCCTCAAATCCCAGACCAGGTAGACAGCCACCTGTCACATTCCTATAAAAGTGAAAGGGGACTCCTGGGAGAAAAGGAACTCTTACCTCTTCTAGACAGGGTGAAGATGGAATCTAGAGGGCCCAGCTCTGATTTCTAGCTTAAGGGAATGATTCTTACAGATTTAATGAAATCATGGTTTGGGGCTTAAATCCTGGTGCACTGACCATAATGGAAGCATCTACTAAGGTTGGTAGTGGGGACTCAAAGGGCAAAGGCCCAAAGGCAGAGGTAAAGCCACCTCTGACCAGGGGAGATTTCCCTTACAAGACAGTTTAGCTTTTGTGCTCTCCTGAAATCTTGAGAGGTCTTTCCAGGAAAATGTCCTAAGAGAAGAAAAATACTATAGCCTGAAATAAAACTGAGGATACCATCTGAGACACTCAACAAGACATAATACCCTGAAATCTTGACCCAAGATTGTCCTCTGTATGTTCAGGGCCAAACCTGCTTAGAAGTGCCTCCTGCAAGGCAGTCAGTTCCACTTCCGGACCATTTGTCTGCTCTCCCCCACTTTCTATCCCTCTAAAGTGTTGGTCTCTAGGTCTGGGACCTGAAGTAACAAAGGGTCTGACCTTTCTTCCTTTTCTCCCTAAATACCTCTTAAGGAAACACAGACCCTATTTAGGTGCGTATTGTATTCTAAGCTTTCTCTGCACAGGCTCCCAGGGTGTCCAGACATGCACAGTCCACCTGCACCCTAATTTTCCCCAAAGGGGAGAGAAGCATTGGACCAGAGCAGCAAATTCAATTTTTCCAGCTCACTGAGAGTCACTGTGGTCACTTTAATTTAGGAGAAAGCCTCTCTCTGGGAACAGGGTCTACAACGGAGACCGTCTTTGGGCTTTGAGTCAAAATCAATAAACATGTTCCTTTTTTTTTGCTCAGTGTTTTTTCTAAACCCAGTATCAGGTTGAAGAGGTAATTATGTTGAGTAAGAAACTGTGGGTTCTGTTCTTGAGGGAGATGATGTGTCAAACTAAGAATAGGAAGGCATCAAGGGTGGAGAGTGAGGGAAATGTTCCTTTAATAGTAATTATCTTGGTTGTATAAAGCTTCTTTGTTCTCCAGAGCTTCATGTACTCCTCCTGTACTTTCTCATTTCTTCTGCCAGCTCTAAAAGATGGAAAGGTGGGAGAGGGCAACTATCTGTGTATAATTAGTCCACGGGCCAGTTGGCCATGGCACGACAGGGCCCTGTACCCCTTCCCTGCCCCCAGAGGCAGGCCTGCATCCTGAAGGGTTCACTCTTCCTCCAACCCCACAATAAGCTCCTGGAGGAAACCAGGTTTTACATGTCTGGCTGCACCCCAGCACCTAACACAGTGCCTTGCAAACAGGAAATCGAATAATCATTTGGAAATGAAAATCATTTATACTTAAATATTTGAGGGAATTCCTGTCATCTTGAAGGTGGTCTTCTTTCATGATCCAGCCCGCGCTGACCTCTTCTGAACATTTCTCAGCACTGTTCTCTGCACCCAGGGGCACTGGCCTGCAGTCCCCACAGCACTGCGCCCTTCCTTAGTCCTTCCAGCTACCCTGAGTTGCTCTGGGAACCTTCCCTCACTCCCACCCAGTTTGGGTGAGGTTCTCCTCTGTGGTCCCTTTGCACTCTGTGCTTCCATCCGCCTAGCTCTACAAAGTCGGTGTTTTTAGGGAGAGCATGATATCCCTAGAACTTGATACACAGTAGACAGTTAAAACAAGGTTACTGAATGAATGCATATGTAAATGTTTGCTTGATAACCATTCATGTTATGGGTCTTGGGAACATGAGGGAAGTGGGTTGTGAGTGAGTAGGTACTTCAGGTCACAGCTACTGTGCAGAGAGAGGAAAGAAGTAAGAAAAGGGCCCAATAAGAGCTATTTTGAGAGGGGAGGGAAAGAAAAAGGGCACTACTTTAGAGACTACTATGGAAAAGAAGCCCCAAAATGGAGAAGCAGCAGATATAAAAGTATCTCAATGGGGAATAAGCCTCACAAATGAAACCAAATACGACTGGGGCCAGCCCATCACTGCTCTAAATAACATTTTCTCTTAACACTGTCCTGTGCCGATACCTGCCTAGCTCTCTATAAAAACTCAATATTTCCAGACTCAGACCCCAGCATCGATGAAGGCAAAAGGATTTCTAAAGAGAAAATTCCATACTGGATCCCACCTCAGTTCAACAGATCTATTTTCTTATCTCAGCTGAAGAGTACAAGCAGCAGCTTTTTAAGCTGAGAAAAGAAGACCTTTTAACAAAAGGATTTATCGATGCATGTACTCTGCAGCCACTTTTGGGACAAGTTGTGGCAAGGGCGGAATGGCTGAACATTGTTCTGCAGACAGCGAAACCTGAGAATGTGTTCAGTCAACGTAGTTAGTACTGAGGACCAAGATGTGCTGCTAACAAGAATCCTGACTTGTAACAGAGCAGAAACAGCCACGAGTCTGGAAGCCTCCATTTGGGTACTTACCTTCCTGATTTCCACAGGGGGCTTCTTTTTGCTGGGGCTTTGGCTGGAAGTCCCAATCTCGGCCCTGAGGTGGGGGGGAAGCCCAGGAAATGTTACTGGCAGCAGTGACATCACCACACTTAAGCAAACATGGACCAAATGAATATTTCAGCAGGTTGGCTATTTTTATACCATTCCTGGCCTGCAGAGTAAATTGTGTGGCCAAATTCTCTTTGGGTGCTCCTTTAATTAACAGTAGAATCCCAACTGGTGACATTTAGGGATCTAGGAGTTGAGACAGGGAAAATGTGATTGACAGCAGGTATCAGATTTTGGAAATACCTGACTGCATTAAAACCCAGAGAAAGGCAAGACAAGAGGCATTAACCCCATGGGAAATTCAATCAAATGGAACTGAGTAAAGCTTCACACCTGTAAGTACCTTCACATGCGATCTGGCTGGGAAAGGCGTTTTCTAACCATTCACTGACACGTGCATTTGGAGGGTGGAGGGATCATCTCCTCACGTTTTACTCTTACTGCTCCTGTACTTCTCCAGGCCCCCAGAGCCCCAGGAAAGAGCAGCGGCTCTCTGGGACCCTGGGCTGAAAGCGCTCTGGGCTGGGGGACAAACCACACTTTGGCTTATTCCAGCCCTCTCTGGCTGATAATAAGAACTGAATTGTCTTACTGACTCATTCTGTCCCTTACAGAAAATCAAAACAAAATAAGTAGCCTCCACAATAGCAACCTCAACGTGTTAGGGAGGTGCTCCACATTCCCCCTGACACTGCAGCCCCTCACCCAGTAACTGATCTGTACCCTCTTGCAGACATTTATATTCTAGTCAGGACTGCCTCTTAAGGTAGTGTTCCAAAACTTATTGTTCACTAGGTAAAACAGAATTATATTTTATTTGTTCTTGCTCTGTTGAGGGTTTCTCTATGATCTTGAATAATATTGTGGGACTTCTTAAGCCTCGTGCCTTCTGTGTTTCCTGGTAGTATGACCATACTAAGTACACGCTGAATATGTGTTGGATTCAATTGTGTAAGATCTGATTACATTTCCTCTCAGTCTTGATAAACAGAAGAATCCTACTTTGCTGAGGAACGGACTGTGTTCAAATTACATTACAAATATCAACCTGCTTCCTTCCCTTAGTCCACCTACTGGAATAGGCAGGTACCAATGAGGCCTGGAAGAGAAAATGAATCGCCTAAGGTCAAGACCCACCAACAGCGATGACTGGCAAGGCCAACCAGGAGGCGGGATTTGGACTCTCCCTACACTACTGACCTGTCCAGGCCTGGCCTGCTGGGGGCGCTGGGCACTTGCATGCATTTTCGCTTCCTCATCAAGGCTCCTGCTGCTTCCCTGTCCGGTAGGCCCTGCAGGAAGAAAAGGTCAGCTGACCCTCCTTTGCCAGAGTTGCTCACGGTTCCTAAGGGCACAGTAACAAGGGCTCCCCATTTAAAGTGCCGAAAGGAACTTTAGTAAACTACAGTTTTGCAAGTAAGGATAGACATTGTTAGTGACAGTCCTCAGAAATATGGCCAAGGGGGAAAAAATGGCTTCATGGTCTCATATATTTCTGACTGGACCTGGGCAGCAACTAAGGGGCACAGTAAGAGGAAGAGAAAAGAGCAGGATATTTTGGACAACATGAGGCAATTAAAGCAATTTTCATTTTGTGCAGAAAAGGCAAACTTACCAACCCAAGAGGACTGTGGTTTATTGGTTTCCCTACAATAAGAAATTTGAGTATCATAATGGATCAAGACTCTGTTTCACCTGGATTTTTGGCTACTATTTATTTCTCAGAACTGGTCCTCGACAAGACTTCCATGTATGCCCTCCTCCCTTCTGCCTGGTACCATTTTTCCTAGAAATACGGTGTCTTCAAACTTTCCCCCTCCTCTATTTTAGAATTACTGTCACCTACAAGCTGAAAAGGGTTTGGTTTCCAAGATATTCTAATGATATGCCAGTTAATGGGGATGATCCTTACTATAAAAGAAAAAAGTGGAACTTCAGGCATCAGTGACAAATGAACTGGGTAGATATTTTGAAGCAAGACCTTTGTACCCTTTTTCAGATCAAACTGCAGATGTCTACCTGTCTTTCTATGAGTAAAAACAGTGATGGCCCTCAGAGATGAAAAATTGGGAGAGGTGAAAGTCACTGAATACTCTAAAATGGACGGATTTATGTAAGTTACCTTTTCTTGAGTGATTAGGCTAAGCCAGACTTCATACTTTCCATTCACTGGTATTTATATTTTTAATCCTTTCAACAACTCAGTGAGATAGGTACTATTCCTCTTCACCATTTCACAAAAGAGGCACAGAAATATTAAGTGATTTATTTAAGGTTGCACAGCTATTAAGTGGCAAAGTCACAAGAGTTTGACCAGGACATCTGGCTTGGAGCGCTTGCTTCTGACTCTGCACTGTGCTGGCTGGGGCCCTGTCTGGCTGACCATTTTGCCATATTCAACTGGCACTGCTAACCCATGGACAGTCAACCTTCCCTTTTTTCTTCTCCACCACCCACATGTCCATCACTCTACTTACCAAGTGACAGGTTTTCATGACACCATTTCATCTCCACGTATAAAGTGAAAACAAATGGATAGGGGACCAAGACAATTTCCCCATGTCTGAATTTCAGGTGGGACACTCTTTCCCATTTGCTTTTATCTGGGAAACGGTGCTAAGGAGTGAGGAATGAAGCCAGTAGGAATCCTGAGTACGACCTTCGGGATGAGGCGCTTCCTCCTCTTCCGGACCCACCCTCGGGCTTCCCATAGGTCTACCGCTCCCGTTGGAATCCGCAGTGCGAGCTGTGGCTATCTTCACCCAGACATGAAAGGATACAGGGAAACACAATGAAGTGTTCTGTAGCAAATGGCTGCAGATGGTCCACATTTCCTAAGACCACACGAATAGAATCCTGTAAAAACATTTGAAATGTCTTTGACCCTGTCTAGTTTCAGCCAATTTTTCCATTTATACTTGTCACTGCTTTTCTCAAATTTCACATAGTTTAGCCATGGTCCTTTCTTATATTCCAGGTACGTATTTTTCTTCTCCTTACCGAGAAATCTCCTTGAGGTAGAATATATATATGCCTGATTTATTTTAGTATTCCTTCTATGGTATTTACCACAGTGAATGATGTATAACAAGTTCTCAATAAATATATATTGAATGAGTGAATAATACTGGTATATACGGACAGTACCTAAGTTATAATGATTTGACTTTTGATTTTTTGACTTTATGATGGTGAGAAAGTGATACACATTCAGTAGAAACAGTACATCAAATTTTGAATGTGGGTCTTTTCCGGGGCTAGAGACATGCAATAAGATACTCTCATGATGCAGGTAACAGCAGCAAGCACAGTCACCGGTCAGCCACAATCATGACGGCAAACCACTTATATGTTGGGCACTCTGTGCCCATCCAACCATTTTGTTTTTCACTTTCACTACAATAGTCAATAAATTACATGAGATACTCAACACTTCATTATACAACAGGCCTTGTGTTAGGTGATTTTGCCTAACTGTAGGCTAATACATGTGCTCTGAGCACATGTATAGTAGGCTAGGCTAAGCTATGATGCTTGGTAGGTTAGATAAGTATTAAGTTCATTTTTGACTTAATATTTTCAACTTATGATGAGGGGTTTATCATGATCCCACTGTAATCCCACTGTAAATTGAGAAAGACTTATATACTTGTATATTTGTAAGTTCTTTTGCTTTTAAGTCCAGCCTTTTCTCCTGCTTTTTAAAAATCTTAACTGATTAATCTCTAACTATGCTTTTAGTATACACCAGTTAAACAATTCGGTATCATAAAAGACTACTGGATTTCTCTGGAGAAAAAAATCTGAATTTCAGTCCTAGCTTTGTCATTTCATCTCTCTAAGCCTCACTGCCCTCATATTTGGGTTCACAGAAGGCAGAAACTGTGTCTTATTCATCTTTGTATTCTCTGTTCTAGCATAATATCTAGCTTATAATTTTAAAAACTAATATTTATTGAGTAATCACTTCGGGAAATATCATTGTTTTTATACATACTAATTTAACACTCACATTTTTATTATCCCCATTTTACAGATGAGGAAACTAAGATGGAGAGGTGAAACAACTTATTCAAGGTTACACAGCTAGCAAAGGTGGAGCCAAGATATTACTATGCTGCCTTGAACTTTTCTCTGCCCAAATTAATTGAAGCAAAGTGAAATAAATTCTGCTCTACTTATAATTAAAATAAGCATAAAACTGTCATGGCCCTACATTAAAATAATTGCTATTTATAATGATGTTTCCTGAGGTCCTGCAAGACTCTAATGTATCTTTCAACACTTAGCAAAAGAGCATGCACCTTTAAGGTTACAACTCAAATTTTTGGTTTCATAGAGTTTTGTGTTTGTGTATTAAATTTATTTGAATTATTTGAAATATGGCAGCATGCCTTCATAAATCACAATGGTCATTAATCACTGAGTTGTGAAGTTAGAAGAGAATAAACTAGTTCAGAACTCATTTTGTGAATGAGGCAATTGAGACCCAGAGAGATAAATGATTTGCCAAGGGTTACACAACTAATTAGTGGCTCAGCCAGAGCTGTAATCCGGGGCCAGCCTCTAGAACTCTTAACTCCTTGCCCAATGCTTTCACCAATTTACAGAGTTGTTCATTCTTCTTCCTGTAAGAGAACCTAAAGCTAGAGGAGCTAGGTAGAAAAGGAATGAAAATGAAGCGGGAATAAAGAAATTGCAAATGTTTCCAATTAAAACGAAGACACAGCAGCCTTAACCATGTATTTACAGTTGAGTTTCTTGAACGTCAAGTACCAGGCAGCGGTCGGATGGTGAGGTTTCCCAGAGCCCTGAAAGGCATCAGTCCTCCAGAAGCTCTCTCTGTGCCGGCTGCCACAACAGAGAGCTGCCCACAGCTGAGAACTCTGGTGGAAACAAACTAACTCTCAGCCTCTAAGGTGCTGACACTTCAACTAGGAGAACTGAGAAAGGATACAGGCTTTAATTTCTCTGGAAAACAGTAGTTTCTTTGCAGGGGAAATGTGGCAGGCAGAAGCCAAGTCATCAAGTGGAGATTGTGCCTCAGTTTGTAAGAAATGATTAAAATCTGGATACAGATGCATCCTTGGCTTAAAGAACTTTCCCAGAAGCTGTTTGCTTCTTTCCTACCTCCAGCTCCTGGATGATGACTTCTTTATTTTCTATCTCTTCCTCTCTAGAAGGTAAACAGACAAGAGATAAGCAAGCGAAGAAGGAAAGCTCTGGACACAGTAGACTCTACCATCAGTAGACAGTAGACAGTAAAGTGAAAAAGAACACCTCCATGGAGCTAAAGAAACATGACTAAATAACAATTGTTTGTGCTGACCCAGTGCTCATGAGAGGAAGTGATCACCTGTATGGCATGGTATGAAAATTGGTACAAGGCTGCACCAAAATTATCTTCCCTGTTAATCTGCCAAAGCCTGAAACTCCCACTATGAAAATTAGTAATTTGTTAGACCAGTTGTACTCAAGTGTAGTCTGTGGACCCTAAGAGGTCCTTAAGACCCTTTCAAGGGTTCTCCAAGAGTGAAACTATTTTCATAGTAATACTAAGATACTATTTTTTTCACTGTGCTAACATTTGTAATCATTAGTGAAAAAGCAACGGGGTGGGGTGGAGCACACAAAATTGGTGGTACTTAGCACAAAACTAGCCAGCTGCACTAAACTATACTAGCACTTGTAATCTTTACTGTCACACAGGGGGAAAAATCCAGTTGCATTAGATATTCTTGAGGAAACAGTAAAAAATAAATTTTATAATATCTCAACCCTTGAATACCTGTCTTTTTAATGTATTATGCGATAAAATGGGAAGTATGCATGAAGCACTTCTGTGCAGACTGAACGATGATAGTTGTCTGGAGGAAGAGAACTTGTGCACTGTTGGAGTGGCGAACTCACCCAGCTGATTTTTTCATGCAATGGTATTTTACTTGCAAGATCAGCTGACAGACAAACTGTGGTTGTTATTCAGACTTGGAAATGTGATATTTTTCTCAAAAATGAACAGTGAGCTTATCAATTCAAGGAAAAAAACTGACAGTACTTGCTGACAGTGATAAATTTTGGGGTTCAAGCAAAAAATTTGAATTTAGGAAAGCTTCAATCCACCACTGTGAGGCTGACAGTTTGCAAATACTTAAACACTCTTCTGATAAGGCTGGTGGTGATATTAGCAAATAGGATTTTTTGACATTATATAATGAAATGTGTCAACATTCGGACCATCAGCACAAGTCAGTGAAACAATATTTTCCAAGTGACCAATGAAATGCATCATGTACAAAATCATCCTAAATATAAGGTTCATTCAAAGCACAAGATAGACCAATGCATTTAACGTATCAGGGTTCAGAAAGTTCACTGATCACTGATATGATTTCAGATTCTACATTGCAACTAAGTTTTTAAAACTACCACATTAAAAAAAAAAACACAACTACCACGGGTCAAGTTCTGTTGTAGGGGCAAAGGAGAAAATATACAATGATCTGAGAATATTAACATATTCCTACCTTTCCCAACTACAAATCTGTGTGAGGACAGATTTTTTAAATATAATTCAACCAAAAAAAGTTACAATGGACTGAATGCAGTATATATAGTAATCTAACAGTCTTCTATTAAGTCAGACAAAATGAGATTTGCAGAAATTCAAAATGATGTCTATCCTCCCATTTTTTGTTTTGCAAAATAGTTAATTTTAATAAAAATGAGTTAACATTTAATGGATATGTAATTTTAAAATTAATATATTTTTTAAAATTGTGGTAAAATATATATAACCTAAAATTTGCCATTTTACCTATTTTAAGTACACAATTCAGTGGTATAAATTACATTCACAACCATGGTGTGCAACCATCACCACTATCTATTTCCAAAGCTTATCTCTCCAAACACAAACACTGTACTCTTTAAGCAGTAACCCATCATTCTTCCCTCCACCCAGACCCTGGTGACCTCTAATCTCCTTTCCGTCTCTGAATTTTCCTATTCTAGTATTTCATATAAGTGGAATCATACAGTATTTGTTCTCTCTTTACTGACTTATTTCACTTCGCATAACATTTTCAAGGTTCATCCATGTTGCACATGTATCAGAACTTCATGCCTTTTGTGATTTCTTTTTAGGGCTGAATAATATTCCACTGTGACTATGTATCTCCACGTTGTTCATATATACTATGTATATACCACGTTTTGTTTACCCATTCACCTATCCATAGACACTTGGGTTGTTTCCACCTTCTGGCTATTGTGAATAATGCTGCTATAAACATTGTTGAACAACTATCTGTTTTGAGTCCGTTTTCAATTCTTTTCAGCATATACTTAGAAAAATTTCTGGGTCATGTGGTAGTTCTACGTTTAACTTTTTGAGGAACTGCTAAATTGTTTTCCATAGTGGCTGCACCATTTCATATTACTACCAGCACTGCACAAGGGTTCCAATTTCTCCATATCCTTGCCAATAACTATTATTTTCCATTTTTGTTGTCGTTTTTAGAGTTGCCCTCGTAAATAGGTGTGAAGTGGTATCTCACTATGGTTTTGAATTGCATTTCTTTAGTGCCTAATGATATTAAGCATCTTTCCATGTCATTACTGGCCATTTGTATATTTTCTCTGGAGAACTGTCTATTCAAGTCCCTTGTCCATTTTTTAAATTGGGTTATCTTTTTGTTCTGAGTTATAGTTCTTTATATACTCTGGATATTAAACTCTTATCAGATATATGATTTGCAGATATTTTCTCCCATCTGTGGGTTATCCATTCACTCTGTGGATACTGCCCTTTGACGCATAATCTAAAAGAACTAATGGAGTCCAGTATATCTAATTTGTTGTGTATTTGGTCTTCTGTTTAGAAACCATTGCCAAATTCAAAGTCACAAAGATTTGACCCTATGTTGTTCTAAGAATGTTATAGCTTTAGCTCTTAAATTTAGGTCTTTGATCCATTTTTAGTTAATTTTTGTATATTGTGTAAGGTAAGGGTCTAACTCATTTTTCTGCATGTGGCTAACCAGTCTTCTTAGAACCATTTGTTAAAGAGACTGTTCTTTCTCCATTGGGTGGTCTTGGCATTCTGGTGGAAAATCAATGGATCATAGGTGTGAGGGTTTACTTCTGGGCTCCCAATTCTATTCTACTGGTATTCTATATGTCTGTCCTTATGCCAGCACCGTGCTTTTTGATTACTTGTAGCTTTGTAGTAAGTTTTTTAATTGGGACATATGAGTCCTCCAACCTTGTTCTTTTTCAAGATTCTTTTAGCTATTTGGGGTCCACTCAAAGTCCATATGAGTTTTAGTATGGGTTTGTCCATTTCTGCCAAAAAATTGCATTGGGATTTTTGACAGAGACTGTACTGGATCTGTAGATTGCTTTGAGTACTGCTGTCATCTTACCAATATTAAGTTTCCAATCCATGAACACAGGATCCTGTCTATTTGTTTAGGTCATCTTTCATTTCTTTAAATAATTTTTGTAGTTTTCAATGTGGCAGACTTGCACCTCTATGGTTAAATTTATTGCTAAAGATAGTTAACACTTGAAAAACATGGAAGTGGGGCACCAACCCCCTGCACAGTCAAGTATCTTGTGTATAACTTTGGCTCCCCAAGAACTTAACTACTAATAGTCTGCTGTTGACCAGAGCTTTACTGATAACATAAACAGCCAATGAACACATATTTTGTATGTTATATGTATTATATACTGTATACTTACAATGACCTAGAGAAAAGATATTTTTTTCAAATGGTCACAAAATTTTTTCAAATATATTTATTGAGAAAAAAATCTGCATATAAGTAGACCTGTGCAGTTTAAAGCTATATTGTTCAAGGGTCAACTGTATTGTTTTCTTTTTGATGCTATTTTAAATAGAATTTTCTTAATTTTCTTTTCAGATTGTTTACTATACTGTATACAAATACAACTGATTTTTGCATGTTGATTTTTTTTCTCATGTTGATTTTGTATCCTGCACCTTGGCTGAATTCATTGATCAGGTCTAGCAGTTTTTTTTTGTGTGGATCCTTTAGGGTTTTCTACATATAAGATCGTGTGTTCATTTAAAAGAGACAATTTCACTTCTTCCTTTCCAATTTACATACATTTCATTTCTTTTCCATGACTAACTGCTCTGGGAAGAACTCCACTACTATGTTAAACAGAAATAGTGAAAGTGGGCATCCTTGTGCGGTTCCTGTCTTCAGGGAAAAGCTTTAAGTAGTTTACCATTGAATATGATGTTAGCTGTGGGCTTTTCATACATAGCCTTTATTACATTGAAGAAGTTCCCTCTATTCCTAGTTTATTGAGTGTTTTTATTACTAAAGGGTGCTGTATTTGGTCAAATACTTTTTCTGCATTAATTGAGATGATCATGTGGTTCTCCCCTCCTTCATTCTATTAATGAGGTATCAATTAAGTGATTGACTTTTGTATGGTAAACCATACTTGCACTTCTGGGGGAAATCCTGGGAAAGTAAAAAATACAAATCTTCTCATTAATTAAAAAAATAGTTATTTTAATAAAATGTTATTTGTTAACATTTATGATACATTATTTTTACATTAATAAGTATGTTTTTTGTTTTGGTTTTTATGTGATAAATATTGACAGGTATATAATAACCACATAATCAAAAACTCTTTGGGATCCTCAATAATTTAACAGTATGAAAAGGTCCTGGGATAAGAAGATTTTGAGAACTACTCTCCTAAAGTTATGCCATCACTAATTTAGAAACGTACAATAATATAGGGAATATAAAATAGCTGGGAAGGAGAGTCCTACACGGTGCTACTTCAGCCAGTCTCCTGGACTAAGTGAAGGCACAGAAGGGATGGCCTGTGGGAATGTACTAACCTGTGTGCGCAAAGGCTACATTCATAGCTTTAAAATTACCTGTTGCTGTTGCCATATCTGATTTTGAATTTATATACATTGGGTCCTGCATGAAGAAACCTCGTCTCTGGAAATGGGTAGGTGAAGGGTCTTAAACCCATTGCTTCCAAATAGCCTAAATAAAGTAGAAATATTAGAGAATTATTAAAAAGCTAAAGATGACTCCTTATGTACAGGAAAGAGAGCCTACCTATTCTGCAGCATCTCTTCATGCGTGAAATGCCCAGCACTCGCCACCACTGTCTATGTCCCAGGCTCAGTTCTGATATTAACCATCTGGACCATTCTCCTGCCTTCTTGGGGAGGATACATGATGCTTTGGGATTATCTCTATACTTGAAATCAAAAGGCTTAGGTTTTGTTATTCACTTTACAACCTTGCACAAATCACTTTTCTTACATGAGAGATTTACGACACTAACATCTGCTGATTCGCAGGTAAATATCTCTTGAATCTATTCTCCTCCCTCGTCTCCATTTTCCCTGGAACCCAGGCCAATGTGAAGAAGGCTCAAGCCAAATAATGCAACAGTCCAAATGCACCAATAAATGGCACAGTTAGAAGGCCCCTGCTATTAATTTTCGATGAAGTTAAAGGATGAACACACCTCCCTGCCATAGCTGATGCAGCAATAAGGATGCACACTGATGTTTCCCAGTTACGCCAAGGAACGCTTTACCTCCCCATCTCTCAACCACGCTTCCTCTCCACCACTCGTGAGACTGCCCTGTGCCACAAGAATGCCTACCATCCTCCTAGCCTTACTAGTTTTACTTTTCCTATTTCAGAATCTGTGCCCACTTCAAGTCCTCTCTGAAGAAAACTCAGGAAAAGGGAGAGACAGACAAAGGATGGCATGTCTCTTCAAGAGGGCTTCTGGTACATGCTCGGAGGTAAGAATCAAGCACAGTGGTAAGTGATTTTTTAAGTCACTAGGACTTTTCTGTGCCTCTTTTTATTGGTAGGATAATAAACCCTGTACTTTCAGTCTCTTCATATGGAAATTTAAGTAATAAATAATCAGATTAGACGTCCAGAGTTCCGGAGGATCAAAGCTACCCATATACAATGCAAGGCACACTTATTTCAGAGGCAGCTGAGACAGGGTAGACAAAAGAGGCACAAAGTAAGAATCAGTCAGGTTTGAATCTCAGCTCCAATGTCCCTACTTAGTTTCTGTAGGCCTTGGTTTCCTTATTTATACAATAATAACAACAACTTCTTGTCATGCCTAATTCTAAATGTCTTACATATATTATCTCACTTAATTTTCAAAACAAGCCTATGAGATAAGTAGTCTAAACTGTATAGATGAGGAAACCGAGGCACTGAGAGAAGAAGTAACCTTCCCACACGTATGTTAGAATTGAGATTCAAACTGAGGCAGTACGAATCCAGATTTGGTGGATTCCTAACCACTTTTCCACTCTGCATCCTGGGGTTATTAGGAAGAAAAAATAAGATAATGAATATAAAGCCAATTTGTAAGTACTAAAATATTATATATACATAAAGGACTATTTTCACTATTCTTTCCCCCATATTTCCCTGGTACAGTTTCTATTCAGCAGAGAAAACTTATGTTTGGTGGAGTCAGAAGATGTGCCCAAAGAATGGAATTTCCCACAATTTTCAAAGTTCAAGTCTTGGGCTGCCAGTAAAGAGATATCCCAGTGTTTGATCTCTGGTGCTTGGAATTAGAATGACAGAAGCTTGGAGCCAGAGTCCATGAGACTATTTAGACTAGGATTGCAGTCAAAAGTGAAAAGAAACCGTTGGTGCCAACTGCAAAGTTACTAGAGGGGAAATACTGGTCATATCCTAAAAAAAAAAAAACCTTGCTCATTCCCAATGCCTAAGGCATGGCAGGAACCCAGCCTAGATTTGATGGTGTTTTTGGTACTGGATGATTTTTCTAAGCAGGCAGGGAGCCCACCTGGGGAAACTTAGGTTGCTGCTATGAAAATTTAGCTCTCAATTATTCAGCAGGTTTTTCTAAAATGCAGTCACCTCTCCCCACAGACCAAGGGCTGGGGCATCAGGGTAAAGGAAATGAAGGCCATTTGCCGGAAACGACAATCCAGAGAGGAAACTTCATGGGCGGCACCACAGTTGGCTATCTGAAAGCAAAAACAGTCTCTTCTAGCTGGGGCCTGTTCCTGTTCACGGCTGGCTGCTCACTTCAGAAACAAACCCCACACACTAATCACCTCATTTGAAAATAAGGATTAGACAGCATAATCCAGGACAATCACATAGTAGTGGTGGTTCAAAGATTTTGCAAGGTTATTTTCCTAAATGATTATTACTGCAGTCATGGTGACACTATGGGAGCTTGCAGATGGACAGACTCTCAACCATTTTTAGGTGATTACAAAACATGATGATTTTAAAACAAAAGAAGTTACAGGCAATAGAGGACAGAGGGAAAGATAAATAAGATTTGGAATTGGAGGACCAAGGCCTGAGTCCTTGCTCTGCCTCTTTTTGATCATTTGACCCTGAGCAAGTCACTTAACCTCTTTATTTCCCAGTTTCTACATCTACAAATGTGGATCCCACCCACCCCTGGGACTGTCATTGGGATTAAGTGAGATAATGCTGTAAATAGCACTTCCTAAACTCTAAAGTACTATATAAACATTAGCTGTTTTGAAGTTTCTTCTTAATACTTCATTAGAAAAGCAAATTCAAAAGAGGAAAACTGATTAGTTTTAATCTTAGTGTGAAATCTGACAAATCCCAATCAAGAATCTTTCCTTAAAGTCACCAATAATTAGATTTAAATGACACATAGGCACTGTATCTGAAAGAGGAAGATTTTTCCAGGTTTTAGTCATTTGTTTTGCATAATGAAGCATCTGGGTCAGTGCACAGAACATGAAGCAGGGCTGAATGCTGTATGGGGATAATGATACTGACTAATTGAGGTAGAAGGAAATGATAATGAGGAAATACTGTCACTAAAAATATCTGGTGATACTTGATGGAAAAAAAATCCTCCACAGAGTTAAAGAATAGAAGAGCTTTCATAAGCATTTATTCAAAATACATTTACTGAGCAGATCTAACATGACAGGCTCTGTGAACACTAATAGGTGTGGGCAACAATACAGAGAAATCTCACTGACTATGAACTCAACCCGAGTTTTAGAATTGAGATTGAGAACAGATGACCCAATAGCTTCTTCCACATCCAAAAGTCCTTGGCTGGTCTCAGAGGTCTGCCTCGCTTCACTGAAATAGATTCAGACTCTCTGACGTCTTTATTTCCAACTAGAGATTCGTGGTTGCCTGTAGCTGGAAATGCCCTTTGTTTCACAGGGGAAAAGAGGGAAGTGACTTCATTAAAGGAGGAAATGATTTCCACAAGGTCACATAACTCAGTATGGAATCAGGAGTAGGCCCCCCAAGATTGCTGATACCTTTGGCCTATGCATATTCCCTTATAACAAACACATCACCCATAAATCTTTTTATTAAACTGTAAACCTGATCACTCTCTGCATTTTGGATGATTCAAGGCAAACTCAATCTGGGTACAAAGGCATAAAACCAAAACACAAGATTTTCTCATTAAATGTTCTTAGAAATGTTGACATATATATATATCTTGGGGTATAAAAGGTTACATTCACATTGTTTGTCTTCAGCTATATTTCCAAAGTAACCATTCTCAATTTCCTCACCTTGCAGGGTGATTAGGATGGTTAATGAGATAATGTGCATATAATTGCTTATCGTAGTGCTCTACACAAAAGTCACTCAATAAAAAGTAGCCTTCCTAAAAGCAAAGCAAAACAAAGTGTTAAGATGCTGGAGCTGAGGAGACAGATCTAAGACTCCCTCACTCTCTCGGCTTCTTCCTACTCTTCCTGGTAAGCACAGTCTTTAAAATGCCGTTGGCATTTGTTCAGGAACAGATTTGCCCCTGGAACTCTGTCCCATTTTGTTCGGTTTGATTTGGGAGGGAAGGAGGAACTAAACCTTCTAACAGAGGTAGGAGGTGACCTGAAATGAAATCAAAGGCCTTTGTGCGCAACTCAATGGACAGAAAGGAGTCTGAGTCAAGTCACTCTTTGTTACTCATAAATTACTCTCTGCGAAGCAGTGCCTCTCCCTCTTAAACTTTAACCATCCTAAAAACCAACAAAAAAACTATCTTTGGTCAGGACTACACTCCTTATTCTGAAAAAGCTTAAAAAGCTCTTGTCACCCTGCTCGGCAATTGCAGCTTGTTGCAAGAAGATCAACCTATTAGCATTCACATCGCATTGAATTCACTGCGGCACTCTAAAAATCCTACCAACCCCAGGAGCCCAAAAAGCACTTGGATTTAAAACTGCAGGCAATGAGGGACATTTTATTTTTTGGTTACACCATTGGGTGAGTTGCCCTGAAGCAGTGCATGTAGGGAAGAAGATTAAAACAACAACAACAAAGCAAAAAGCTTTGGCAGTTTCAGAAGGGCAACTGGTGGAGAGAATATACTTAGCTAGAGAGAAGGGAACATCTCTTGGAATTTTGAGCTTTAAACTCCGAGTCCTTGATGTACATAGATCAGGGGTCTTAGTGACAGAAGACATATAGGAAAGGGTGGAAAGCAAGCTTCTAAAATAGACAACTTTGTTCTTGGCATGAAACAAGGGCAAATTCTGAAGAAATTAAGTTAATGAGGAAACTAAATTACTTTTTATATATAGAGAGCAAATTTCATACAGGAAATATGAAATATTTTACTAACTTTAATTCTGGTGAGATATTGGGGAGATAAGAATTGTATTCACTAGATTTACAAAAAGATATACCTGGCTTGAGATGATCATTTACTTTAAACAAGGTCACACACGGAGGGCAAGACTGAAACTCAGATTTATTGCTAAAGCAACACAACACAGCTGAAAGGTGTCAAGAATGTAGTTACCCTAAGCCAGACAAATACCATATGATTTCACTTATCTGTGGAATATAAAAACAAAGCAAAACAGAAGGAACAAAACAGCAGTAGACTTCATAGACACTGGGAAGTGACGCGTGGTTTCCAAGAGGGGAGGGGTTGGGGGGGATGGTGGGTAGGGCCAGGTGGGTAAAGGGGCACAACAGTTCTCAATCACAATATAAGTTGGTCATGGGGACAGTAGTACAGCATGGAGAATATTCTCAGTGATTCTGTAACATCTTTCTAAGGAGATACTAATGGCACTAGAGGGGTGAGCATTTAATAATATGGGTAACTGTTGAACCACTGTGTTGTACATTTGAAATCAACATAAGACTGTATATCAATGATACTTCAATAAAAGAAAAGAATTTAGTTACCTTATGAACTTGCCTAGACTGAATATTAGCCTCAATTCTTTGTATTTTACTGCCTAAGCACAGCTCTAAAATGACAGAATCAGGCATTATTGTTAAGAAACATAAAGCTTTATACTTTGAAAGACCATCAGACTATATAAATCTGATGGTGAAGAGGCCTTAGCAAAAAACCCCAAACCCCTCATATTTATAAAGCACTCAGCTTATATATTTTCCTACCCTACCTCCCAATATCCAAAAATTTTTTATTGAAGTAGTCATGATTGGTGACCTGATGGAGTGAAGGAGAGAGAATGGTCAAGGATGATTCTTAGCAGCTTAAGCAACTAGCTGAAGAAAAAAAAGTGCCACTTCCTGGGAAAAGCAGCCTTAGAAAGCAAGTTTTTAAGGACAAGCTGTTGAATCCCCATTTGGGCATGCTCAACGTTGAGGTGCCCTCCAGAGAGCCAAAGGGAGATTCTGGGTAGGTCTTGGATACTGTGGTAGGCTTACTACCTGCACATGTGCAAGTGAAGGAACTAAAGTTCAGAAAAATTGAGAACGTACAACAAAATACATCTGCTTGAATCTTTCTGTCCACTTTCTGTCATGGCAAGATTCAAGGAGCTGAATAGAGATCTGAGTGCCAGGCCTCAGAAAATTACTTCCTAGGTTCAATAAGGCATTTGAAAGCCAGAAACTCATTCAAATTATTAAGATGTGACGTGACAAGAACTGTTTCAATGGAAGAAGTCTTGTTTTCGTGGTAACGGCTAAGCCTGGGTTAGAGGGGGCTTAGGGACCAGAATGAACACTTCCGTTACCTGCAAAAGCTTTTTTTTAAAGCGGGTTTGGTGAGGAGAGCTGGGGGGGGGGGCCTTAGAAAACTGGATCTCTGCCAGAGGCGCCTGAAGCGGGGGGACCCACGCGGTTCTTGGCATAGCTTGCCTGCTCGGCACAGGCCAGGCACCAGGCCGGGGCCCACGGACGCCTTGCCATCCCTGCCACCCCAGCTCTGCCTCGCACCCTCGCGGCTGCAGCCTGAGCACCAGGCTGGCGGCATAGACCACGACGCCCTGCGGCGGGCACAGCCTGGCCTTCGGGCGCGCTGGGCGTCCGGAGGGGCCCGCGGCTGCAAAGGTTACCTCAGCGGGCTGCAGTAGGGCGGTGGGCCGGCCTGGGCCAGAAATCTCCCTCCGAACAAAAAAGTCAACATGGCAAAGCACCTGGCCTCTGCGGGGTCGTTACCTGCGACCACGGACCTCCTAAACTCGGCCAGGTTCTGTCTCTCACACTGACTGAAGTTCTTCGCGCCTCCCAGGGGCGGTGTCGGCAGAGCACCGAGAAAGGCTCTCTGCAGTGCGCAAGCGCCGACCTCGCACAAGGCCTGGCGGGACCGCTCGTTCTACCGCTCGCCCGCGCCTCGGCATGTGCCCGGCGCTCGCCAGGCCATCTGCGCACGCGCAGCCGCGCTCCCTCCCACCCTCGCCCGGCGGGCACGCATTCCGAGGCTGGGCCGCGATGTGCGCGTGCGCGCCACTGCGACACCGCCCTGGGGTCGCCTGAGGCCACAGCCGGGAGCGGGGGGCGGTCCTACCCGCCTGAGCGTAGTCGCTAGATGCGTTTTAGTGGTCCCGGGGCTGTCCACCCACGATTCATTTTGTGCATCTTACGTGCCTGGATTGGTAGAGTTAGGAGCTATCGACTGTGGAGTTCCTACTGTGTGTCGAGCAACTTGCAAGCACTTTGTGTCTCCTTTAACCCTCATCGCGGTACTATAAAGCATTTATTATTAATATTCCAGTTTTAAAGATGTCTGGAAATGGGAGCAACTGTGGAGGCGTAAGGATTCAAATATGGGTTTATGATTCCAAAGCCCAATACCTTGCCTTTCACTTACTGCTGATCAAATTCTGACCTTACTGAGAATTATTAAGCGATTCGGCTCCACATCTCTGTAGGACTGGGTGGGCTGGGAGCGCTGCATTGCTAAAAATGGGCCTTTCCCTAGGCCGCCATTCATCCCCTCAGTCCTTCTACATTCTCCTGCCTCCATCGCCACTGTTGACGCTGTTCCCTCTGTGTAGAATGCCTCCCCTACCCCACTTTAAAACCCTACTCCACACGCCCAGGTAGTAAACTCCTTGAAGACTAAATCTTGTATATCTTCATATTAAGGGCAACTAAACACCGCTATCACATAGTACACACAAAGACCTGTAAAAGCAAGGCAGGAAAAGAAAGAAGTCAGGGAGGGAGGGGGAGAGAGGAAACTGGAACTCAGTTCCTGGATCTCAAAAACTGCCCCGTCTAAAGAGGGGCATCTGCTATCCAGTCTCCTACTGAAGGGAGGCCTGAGGGAAGTGTAGCCTGGGAATGCTAGATCTGGTTTTCATGGAAAATCTGCTAATTTAAAAATGTTGGCAACTGATTGAAACACTTGAAAACACTGTGTGGACTGAAATGAACGTGTTTTATGGGCAGGCACAGCTATTGAGCCACGCATTTGTGACTCTGATCTTGCTTGACACAGAGTAAAAGTTGACCAAGTAGGTAGGACCTGAGTGCCTTTGCTTTCAGGATGTGCTCCCTGTCAGACTCTTCATCATTTCCACCACTGTTTTTTTCCTGGACCTCCTATTTAACATTTTCCCTTCCTTCTTTCACTAAATAAATATTTACTGACAGCCTGCTGCATGCCAGGCACTGCACTAGGCTCTAGGGTCACAAAATTGGAGAAGCTGGCTAGTTACAGGAGTTTTACATTCTTATAGAGAGATCAACATACAGCAATTTTTTAAATACAGTGCAGTAAGAACACTGATGCACCTGTATCCCAGGCTTTGGGGTACCTAGAAGATGATACTTAAGCAGCCAGGAGTCAGGAGGGCTTCCCAGAGAAGACAGCACCTGAAATTAGTCCTGAAAGATGGGTAGGGGGTGGGTAAGAGACGCGGAGAGGGCATTCCAGGCAGAAAGGACCACATGAAGCAAAGGGCTGGCAATAAGAAACAGCATGCTTGCCTTTACATGTCTATGAGTAGTTCAGTTTTACTGAGATATATAAATGGGGATGTGGTGTGGCAGGATTTGGGGTTGATAAAGGAAATAGGACTGGATCATGGAGGAGCACGTACTGAGGCACTTGAATTTATCCCCGAAAAGCAGTAAGATGCTTTTAAAAGTTAGATTTTGGTTTTAGAAGAATGTTTCTGGTGTCTTCCTTTTCTACTTGTTGATTCTCACTCATCCTTTGAGACCCAGCTCAAAAGCCATCTCCTCTAGGAAGACCTTGCAAATCCCCCTAGCCAGAAAAATTGGCTCCTTCCTGGGGCTCTTTGCCCTGCTTTATACTTACTGGTCAGTCTGCCTGGGACCTGAGAACTATAATTTACCCCACTTTGGGATCCTCATGAGGTTTGACATGGAATCTAGCATACAGAAGGTGCTAATAAATGTTTGACCAATGTGAATGAATTTGTGAATGAAGGAAATTTTCTGGGCAGTCCAGCTCCAGAACCTGTCAAATTATATCAGTGGTTCTCAAATGCATGGGCATCAGAACCACCTAGAGGGCTGTGGATTGCTGGGCCTAGCCCCCAACTTCCTGATTCACAGGTCTGGGGAAGAGAGGGATCTGAGAACTTGCATGTTGAACATGCAAAGTAAGTTCCCAGATGATATGCTGCTGCTGATAGGGACCACACTCAGAGAACCTGCAGTGTGGCCGCATTACAATCAGGGGCTTCTCACAGCCAAGCCCTGGGCTGGGCATTGTCAAGTAACCCTGTGACCACCCTGGCCCTTAAGGGCATTTCCTGGGTCTTGATTCTTATCCCACCTACCTTGCAATGGAGCTGGGAGTTACTGTACCCTCTCCTGGTTCTTTTCTCCCTGGGACTCCCTGGGGCTTCTCAGGAGGGCCCTGCTCACACCGGATCCTTCACTGCCTTCCTTCGGGTCCTTCACTGCCTTCCTTCCCACTGAGTGGTTCCACCGTGGTGGAGCCCCAGAGGGCAGGACAAATCCTGTGCATGACCTGTGAAGAAGCCCGGGATGTAGGAAGGAAGAGCGGCATTCCCACCCCCCACAACTCTCCCCCAACCCCTTCTCCCTGCAAGACTCTCCCTGTGAGGGTCGGAACAGGGGCTTGTCTCCTTTAAGAGCCACTACTCTGGGGCCTCTGCAGCTCCACAGCTCCTGTCCCAGGCCAAGCAAGGAGCTACTTAATCAAAAGCTCCACTTCCTGCAGCACCTGGGGCTCCTCCTCCCCTGAGTCCCCATCACCTCCCTTTGGGCTTCCTAGGCCAATTACCAGCCAGGCATCAGTCCTTAGCCCTCAGCTTTTGGAAGCTGGAGGCCAGAGACTGTCTGCCTGGACTGCAGGGAGAACTGACCCAGCTCAGAGAGTCAGCTCTGGGGGTGAGAGCAAGAGAGGCTTGTAAGCGTGAAGACTATCATCGGATTGGCCAGTTGTCCCTCCCTCTGTGTGTGTTGGGTGTGAAACTGTGTGTGAGCCTTGTAGAGCTCAGGAAGGCAATAGGGCGGACTAGGGCTCATCAAAGAGGCCTCAGAATCCTTCTGGGTTCAGCTTAGGCCTTGGAGGCCTTTGTGCATTTAGACGTGAGAGCTGATTCCTGCAGGTGGTGGCTGCCCCCCTAGGACAATAGCAAAGAGTCCCAGGAAGGAGGTGATAGAGACTCTGGGGGGACCCCTTCAGGAGAGCGCTCTTGGAAAGGCTTTCGTTTAGATCTAGCTGGGAGACTGAGCCCCTAGAGGCTCAAGTATGCCAAGAATCCTCCATGGGATCTCTTCTAGACACTGGGTCCCAGCAGCCCCCAGGAAGCCACCTTAGGAATCAGGGGGTGGGCCGGCAGCATCCTGCATTTGTACTAAGGATCCCAAGTGACTTTTGTCTCAATTAAAAATATATATTTAGAGTGAAAGTCTTTGAACACAGAAAAGCTGTACACCCCACTCATAAACTCTATCATTGCAGTTTAACTCTACTTGTTTCATTACATACCCATCCATCCATCCATCAATCTATTATTTTTTGAAGCATTTCAAAAAGTTGCAGACATCAGTATAATTCCCCCTAAATACTTCAGCATACACAGCATTAGAGATATTGATTTACAATTTTTTTCTTTTGAGATAAAATTTACGTAAAACAAAATGCCCAAATCTTATGCATGCATTTGCTGAGTTTTGACAAATGCACATACCTGTGTAACCCAAGCCCCTGTCAAGATGTGCAATATTACAACATGCCAGAAAGTTCTCTCATGCCCTTTTCTAGTCAACCCCTGCCCCCACTTCCACACTAACCCTGGAAGTTACCACTGTTCCAATTGTTTTCCATCATAGAGTATTTGCTTGTTTTAGGACTTCATATAAATGAAAGCATATAGCATATATTTTGTGTAAGGCTTCTTCCAGCAAGCATAATGTTTTTGAGGTTTATCCATATTTCTGCATAAGCCTACAGTTTTTTCCTTTTAATTGCTGAGTAATATTCTATTCTATGAATATACTACAGGTTATCCATTTTCCACTTGATAGACACCTGGGCTTTATCTAGTTTTGGATATTGCAAACAAATATCTATGAAAACTCTTCACAAGTCTTTTTGTGTACATATGTTTTCATTTCTCTTGAGTAAATACCTAAAAGTAGAATCACTGTGTCATCAAATAGGTGTATGTTTCATTATACAGAACTTCTTCCAAAGAGATTATGCCATTTTATACTCCCCTCAAAATAAGTATGAGTTCCAGTTGCTCCACATCCTCACCAACATCTGATATTGTCAGTCTGTTTTATTTTAGCTGCTCTGAGGGTGCATAGGAGTATCTTAATGACTCAGTAGTTTCATACTAACAATGTTGAGGACATTTTCCTGCAGTTGCTGACTATTTATCTATTTAACTTTGTGAAGTATTCATTCAAATCTATTCCTCCCTGCCCTCCCCAAGTGGCTGGATGGTTCTAGCTCCAAATTCAGGGCAAAAACTTACCAACATCTCTCCTCCTGGACACCTGGCTTTGCCTCGAAGCTTCCAAAGCTGGGTATCCAGGTTGAGTCCCAAGGTAAGCCTTGTCATGAGTCTTGTTTGAATAAACAGGCTCTGCTATGTTAAATAATTTGCCTAAGGCTACACAGTAGGTGATAGAATCAGAAATAGAATCTAGTGTGTCTGACTCTAAGGCTGGACTTTCCCCTCCATGTCAGCTGCCTCCCCTGGCATCTGCCAGTTCTTGACAGAGACAAGGATCTTAGCTAAGTCCTTGCTAGCTCCTTCTTCCCCAAGCTAGGTTCTGCCCTCATAGTCTCTGCAGTTTGCTGAAGCTCTGTTCAAACCAGAAGGACTTTCGGAGCTCTGATATTGTCACTGCCTGTGACCTCAATGGCTGTCTCCCACTTGCTATCTCAGACCTCCCTTGGGTGCTGCTTGAGGTCTAGATCAAGCCCCTTTGTGCCACTGGGCACTCTGGGGAGGAGGAGGCAGCCCTGCGGCTGGGTTAGGGTCCCCCAAGCCTAGCCTACTCCATCTCCATAAGCATCCTCTTTCTTGTGTCTGGTCCTTCTATATGCTATTTGTTCTCTTTTTCTGGAATTGTCTCCTTGCCATATGAATCCTCCCCATCACCTAGCCAACTCCTTGTATTAATTATCTATTTCTATGTAACAATTTCCTTCAAAACTTAATGGGTTACAGTTATAAAATATTACTATCTCATGCACAGTTTCTGTGAGTCAGAAATCTAGGAGTGGCTTAGCTGGTCAGTTTGGCTTGGGGTCTCTCATGAGATTGCATTCAGGATGCAGTTTTGGGTGCTGTAATCTGAAGCCTATACTGAGGCTAGAAGATCTGCTTCCAAGGTGCTTACTTACAGGCCTGGCCAGGTGATGCTGGCTGTTGCCTAGACCTCTCCACAGGACTGAGTGGCCTCCAAGATGGCAACTGGCTTCCCCCATAAAAATGAACAGACTGTTTTAGTTCTTTTCACTCAATAATGTTCCTTCTGGAAATTTATCTTCAGAGAAGAATTCAAAATGTAGGTAAGCATTTCTGCACAAAGGCATTAATTAGCATGAGGTTATTTACAGTGATGAAAATTTTAGAACAATCCGAGTGTTCAACAAGGGATGGATGGTTAAGTAAAGATGAATATCCATGAAATTGGCCTGTTACACCACTATTAAAGTGATTGTGCTGTAGAGTACCTATGATATTCTATTAAGAGAAAGTTTGGGGCTACAAAATTTATATTTACTGTGATCCTAACTATGAAAAGAAAATAATTCATAGGAAATATGCCAAAATGTTAACTGTGTGGCTTGCTATGCTTTAGAATTTTGTTTGAAATAATTATAGGTTCACAAGAAGTTGTAGAAGTAGTAAGGAGAGGTCCTGTACAGTTCATCCATTTTCTTCCAGTGATTACATCTTATATAACTTAGTACAATATCAAAACTGTAAATTGTGTGTATGGTTCTATGGAATTTCATCACATATGTATGTTTCATCACATGCAAGACACAGAATTATTCCATCCCTTTAAAATCACACCCATCCCCTCTGCCTATTATCCCTTACTCTTTGCAACCACTGATCTGTTCTATACTCTATAATTATAATTTTCCCATTTTGAGAATGTTACCCAAGTGAAATCACATAGGATATGGCCTATTGAGGCTGGCTTTTTTTGCTCAGCATAATGCCCTTGAGGTCCATCCCAGGTGTCACATGAATCTGCAGTTCATGGCTGAGTAGTACTCATTGGTATGGATAATTTCCCCCCTGCTTTTCAAATTCCCTACTGAGAATGAAACTTTTTAATTTTTAGGAAAAAGGAAAAATACTGGTTGGGGGAAGGGCAAGGCAGAAAGAAGCAGTTCATGCCCCCAAGGAAATTTTCTGTTGATTAAATAGTAGAATTTTAAGCTTGGAGTACCCTCAACAGTCACCTGGGGAAGTTTCCCATGTTGCAGGGGGTCCTCCTTGCAATATTCTGACAAGTAATTGTGTAGCCTCTATGTAGATTCCCAGTGACAGGGAACTCACTAGCAAATAAAGCAGCTCATCAAATCGATACATAATATGCCTTTTTTTCCTGGAGCTTCCACGTGATTGAAAAAAGATATGGCATAGGTTATTTTTACCCTGCCTGGAGTCTCTTCCGTTTCCCCGCTAGCCAGATAAACACAAGCCTGAAGCAGTGTGCAAAGCCTGCAGAGCCTGAGCAAGCTGTTGGGACACTACGCCCAGGATGGGCCTCTCTAGGGAGATTTCAGCATTCACTGGCTTAGAAAAACAAGGGGCTGCAGCAGACCTTTTCAAATGGAGTGAAATTTTGCATCAACACACACACAGATACTCACGATCCCCTAGGGACAGTCTCCTTTCTGTCTGGTGGGAATGTCCCCCGGAAGGCACTGAACCGCTAACCCAAGAGGAAAGATCTCAGAGTCTCTCCTGCCTCGAGTCCTCTGCATCATACCAGAGATGGCTTCCTAGTCCTCCAGCCTTCCTTGAGAGCGGGCTCTGATCTGTCCATGGTTCTGATTGTTAATAACCTCACTTAGGGCCAAGGCATGGATTCTTCCATCAATTCCATTGCAATAGCTAACATTTATTGAGTACTTACTATGTGCCAGGGACTGTGATATGCTCCTTACACTCAGCCTCTATCTATTGACATATATCAGGCATAATATTGATTGTATATCAGATCAAAAACATACAGCTCAATGAATTTTCATGCAGGGAATACATTCATGTAACCACCATAAAGATCAATAAACAGAACATTATCAGCACCCCAGATGGTCCCTCATTTCCCCTTCTAGTGCTCTCCTCCAACAGTAGCCACTAATGTGACTTTTAGCAGAACTGATATTTTTAAGCTTCTGAAAAGAATATAAATGGATCATACAAATTGTCTCCTCTTTTGTGTTTTGCTTCTATAAGCCGACATTATGTTGTGAAGTTTATTCACGTTATTCCAGATAGTTGTGGTTTGTTCATTCTTGTTGCCAGGTAGCATTACCTTACATAAAATATTCCACAGTTTATTCATTTAACTGTTGATGGGGTGTTTGGGTTGCTCCCACTCTTCTACCATTATGAATACTGCTGATATAAACATTCTTGTTCATGTGTTTTGGTGAACATATGCTTTTCTGTTATATATACATGTACATATAGATATGTACACACTTACGCACATATGCATAGGGTATAATGTAGTACACTTTCAACTCCCAGTTTTCAGATGAGAAAACTGAGTCTTGAATAAGTCGAGCCAGGAAGTAGTGGAGCTGGGATGTGAACCCAGGCCTGCCTGGCACTGGAGCTGTCCAATCATCACGATTTACTGCCTCCCAATACATGCACTTTTATAAACTCGTGATGTGCCAGACTAGTTGCTGCCATTGAGGCAGACAAGAAGATAGGAAGGTACATTCACACAAGAAGAAGTGACAGATGCCCGTGAGAGGCACATGAGTGTGATGAGGAGCCTCATCTTGGAATGATTTGTATTGGAAGATTATAGGAGGCTTCCTAGAGGAAGAAAACTCTTTTCACCAAACTCTTTTCTGTCCAGTGGGGTGATAAATAACCATCTCAAACTTAACATGGCCAAAACAGGGCCCCTGTTGCCCCCCCCCCCACATATATATGCCCACCCCAAACTGCTCCTCTTACAATCTTTCCAGGTCTTTGGCATTAACAGCCCCCAGGAGCTCAGGCCCAAGCCTCAGCATCCTCCTCCCTTTCCCCACATCCAGTCCACGAGCACAGCCCATCAGCTTCATCCATAGAGCGCACCCTGAATCTGGCCTCTTCTCACCACTTCCCTGCTGCCAGCCTGGTTGCGGCCAGTATCGTCGCTCACCTGGGTGGCTGCAAGGGCCTCCTCACCCTCTTCCTGCTTCCATACTCCTTCTGGAGGCCACAGGCCAGAAGCCTTCTTTGCCTCTTCCAGCTTCTGGTGACTCCAGATGTCCCTTGGCTCACGTCAGCCTACCTCTGGTCTCTGCCTGTCTGCTCTGCGTCTTCTCTTCCTATTATTGGTGACCTCGTTTTGCTGGCCGTGGAAGTTAGAGCCCACCTGTACACCCGGGAGGAGCTCATCTTGAGATCCTTAGTTTGATTACATTGCCAAAGACCCTTTTCCCAAATAAGTCACAGGTCATATTCACAGGTTCTCGGTGAACATATTTTCTGGGGAGCCACCATTCAACCTACAGAGGTAAATACCAGAAAAATTAAAGTAAAAGAGTTTAAACTGAATTTCAACTCCAGGGAGTGCTTACTTTTCAAAGCATAGAAGACTCTTGGTCTGCATCTACTTGCTATTTCAGTGCGGAAATACGTCCATGCATCATGTCAAAGGTCATTCTAAGAAGGAAGTGACTGCATTGTGCTTGTCACAAGGCTAATTTGGGGCTGAGTCTCTAGCCGGGGGGCTCACTGCTGGGAGCATTGCTGCTGCTGCGAAGGGGCCCAAATTGTTCCCTTCTGTAAAATGATCCCTGAAGAGAGCCAACTGCTAATGCTGGTGGTGAGAGGGAACAAGGGACCCAAGGAAATGCTCTTTCTCCCCCAGGATGGTGGCAGCCTCCCAGTGCTCCCCCTCCTCCCTGTGTGTCCTTGTGCCATCCTCTCCCCTCAAGTGTGGGCTGGATCTAGTGACTTCCTCCACTGAACAGAACGCAGAAAAAATGACAAAATGTTATTTCTGAAATTTGGTTACAAAAAAGTTGTGGCTTCTGTACGACTCCCTTTTTCTCCCTTTCTAGCTTTCTGGTACTGAGGGAAGCCAGCTGCCATATTGAGCTGCTCTCTGAAAAGACCCATGGGGCAAGGGACTAAAATCTCCAGCCAACAGCGTGCAAGAATGTGAGGTCCTTAATCCAACAGCCCTCCAGGAACTGAATGAATCCGACAGCATTGTGAACAAGCTTGGGAGTGGTCTGTAGCCAGCCTTATGAGTGAACTTGGAAGCAGATAGCCCCTCGCCCCTGCCCAGTCGAGACCTCAGATGGCCACAGCCCTGGCCAGCACTTTGGAGCCTGTGGGAGCCCTGAACCAGAGGCACCCAGCTTAACAATGCCCAGACCCTGGCTCCACAAAGATTGTGAGGTGGTGAATGTTGGTGAAGCCACTGAATTTTGGAGTAATTAGTTATGCAGCAGTAGACAACACTCAGATGTGGATTTCTAGGATATATTCAACCTTGAGGAAGGCTCATGTGATAGTGGTAGCTGTGTTTACAAATTTGGGGATTCACAGATATTAGCCCACATCCCTTCTCAAGAATCTACAACATCACCTCCCACTCTTTGTCGCCTCCCACTCTTTTCATCTTGTTTATCTTTTTAAATAAACATAATATCAAACTATAGTAACAGCTGTACATTCTATTTTTTCTGTTTAACATGTTGCAAGCATTTTCTCACTTCATTAAATATCCTTCAAAGCATTCTTTATTCTTAGCTGTTTTAGTAGCCCATCATATGAGTATACCAGCATTAATTCAGTCACTCCCGTTTTATGTTCTGAGCTTGGCTCAGAAGCTGGAAGAGGCAAAGAAAGCTTCTCCCCTATGGCCTTCAGCATTAATTTAGTCACTTCTGTTTTATGTTTACGGCTATGTGACCTTGGCTTGTTACCTAACATCCCTGGGCCTCAGTTTTCTTTCTGAACAGTGGGGATAATAACCATGCCTATTTCACAGTTATCAGAGGCATCATTGAGTTAACCCAAGTAAAACATAGCACAGTGCCTGACAAATTTTAGGGTACACAGACACAAGCCAGACAATGGCATCCTCATCCTCCCATCTAGTCCATGGTGGATTTCATCAACTCTTGTCCCAGATTCCAGGCAACCTTCAAATAAAAGCATCTTGGTTCCCTTCCCACCAGCGTGCTCCCCCTGAACCTACTGGTGACCCTGGCTCTGCTCTCATCCACAGTCCCACAACCATCACACCCACTCTTGCTGTGTGACCCTGTGCAAGTCCATCCCATCTCTGGGCCTCAGCTTCCTCATCTGCAATATGGGAGGGAGTAGAGGAGAAGGGCTATGAGGGATTGCCCACCTCTGAGGCTCTAAACTATTCCCTGTGCTTTCAAAGGCCTCTGGTTTCAACAGTATACAACCAGAGCTTTAAACAACTGGGCAAAGCAAAAAGGCTAGGAAAACACTTTAGTTTATTTAAAATGACACATGTGCCAAGACCTGTGCTCAGCATTCTGGAGGGTGTTAACTACTGGCAGAGTGTCTGCTTACATGGTATAAAAATTTGGGTGAAGAGTTGGCATTTTTCACCTTGTGCCCCTTGGAGAGCTTGTCCTGAGTCTGAGTGAGACCCGGCACCCCCAGCCTCAGAGCAGACACTGCAGCTAAGTCCCAGCCGGTGCTGGGCGCCTGCTCTGCCAGCTGCCGCTGGGCCAAAGAACAGTGAGGGGCACTGCTCAGAGGGGCCCATGGGTGATGGGGCTTGGGGGTCGCACAAGGAAGGGTGGGGGTTACCAGAGAAATACAGGTCTCACTGCTGCCAGCACGTGCCTAAACGTGACCTTACTCTTGGCCCTTCCCTCATTCTTCCCTTGTGGGCATGAAAAATGGCTTCCAGGCGTGCATCAGCCATGGCCTTGGGGCGGGGGAGTGGGCAGGGAGCTGTTTGGGAATAGAGCTGAGAGCTGAGAGCTGAGCCTGCCCCTGAGGTCTTGGTGTGGCCACAGGTGCCCCTCCTGTAGAAATCCCAGGAGGGACTGTTCCAGGCTTTTCCCAACTCCAGTCTACAGGTTCCGTTCCTTAGCACTGAAAACACTTCTAGGAGAAGAAAGAGTCCACTTCTGGGCCCTGCCTGGCCTCTCCCTCCACCAGGCTTGGACTGGACCAGGCCCAGCTAGGGCAAGGTGTCAGGGACTACAGGGCCTGTGGCCCTGGGAATGACCAATCAGAAGGGAGAGCCCCTCCCCATTCCCAGCACCCAAACCTCCTTACACCAGCTCTCAGTTTCTAGGACTTCAGACCCTCGGGTGCCTGGGCCAGAGTCCCATCAGAAGGAAGAGCAGATGGTGGTGTCCAAAGACTGTGTAACCTTGGACAAGTCACTTGGCTTCTCTGAGCCTCAGTCTCCTTATCTGAAAAGGTGGAGTGATAATCTGGGTTTTGCAGGATGACCATGAAGTTGAAATAAGATGGTAGTGGTGGCAGGGCCTGGCGGAGTGGGAGGCATGCAGCAATGGCTTCCTTTCCCTGGCAAAACGCTGAGCCAGTTGACAAACCAAGAAAAGCCCCCAGTGGCACCGGAGGTGCTGCTTGGGTGCTGACGCTGCTTCCTGAAAACCAGGAGGGGACCAGCCCAGCACCAGAGGCCAGTTTAGAAGTGGACTTGGGCAGAGGAGAGCAGGGGGAAGACTAGGAAGGGCTGGGGGAGGCGGGCCACACCCAGGCCTGGCCCGTCTGCTGCTGAGGGTTCAGGCTTGCGCTCCCTGCCCTGCAGACAGGCCAGGCCCAGAGCGGCCAAGGCACTGTGGGGTGAGGACCCCATCTTTGCCCCAGCGGGGTGCTCCACCCCGAGAGGTTGTGGAGGGCCAGACTGGGCCGGGGGGCTGGGCAGGAGAGCGCTGAGCTGGGAGGAAGGCCTCAGCAAGGTGGTGCTGGTGGGTGAGGCCGACTGGACAGGGCTAGGGGACAGTCGGGCCGGAGCTGTGGTGACTGCTGTGGGGCCAAGGGCCAGTGAGGGGAGAGGGGACAGGAGGAGGCCAGGGGAACCATGAGGCTGCAGATCTGAAGAGAGTTGCAGAGCTGAGGGAGAGGAGACCGGGGTCTGGAATAGACCTAGCTGCTCTTGGCAGTCATGCTGTCCATGGGGCCTGGGGCCCGGGGGCCACTCGCCCTGGCCCCAGCATCCAGGGGTCTCAGGAGCCGGGCAGGAGGCACAGCCCATCAGGCATAGGCGCTGATGCATGCGCAGGGTCTGGGTCCACCACACCAGCTCAGCCCGCAGGGCCTGGATCTCATTTTGCAGGGCGTGGTTATGTTTCTCCAGTGACTCGTGCTGCTGAGGGGAGAAGCACAGGGGCGGGGAGAGGGGTGTCAGCCAGCACTGGCTGGCATGAGCCCCAAACGCTGTCCCCAGGGTCCTCAACCTTTCAGCGCCATCTGAATATCCAGGCGGGGCCCCCTGGCTACTCTCTGGCCAGCCCTCCAAACCACACACCAAGTCTCCCCTTCCTGCCGCCTACTTGGGCTCAGATCTGCCCGCTCTCCACCCCCACCACCCATTCCTTGTGCCAGCTGGTCTCCACCAGCCTCCAGTGCAACTCATCTGGAGCTGCACCAGCCTCCTAACTGGGGCACCCCCCAAACCACCCTATTCTCTTGGTCCAGAGGAGCCATTCAGCAAGTGCATCACAACCCGTACATTAAAGCCCTCTAAAGGCTCCCACGCACTGGTGCACAGGGCCCCAGCTCACACCTCCAGCTTTATCTCTCCGACTTCTGCTCTTCCCCACCTCCTATCCTTTAGAGGGACTCTGTTTCCTCCCATTTCCTGCGTTCCTCTGCTTGGACACTCTCCCAGCACCCCCTACCCTGAACTAATCTTGATGTGGCCTCCTTGTGGCATTGTAGATGGTATTGTAACCTGGACACCTCTAGGCTGCTTAGGGCCATGATCAGGCCTCCCCAGGGCCCAGAACCCACCCACTGAGGAACTGTGAGAGTCATGGTACTATTTTACAGGTCAGCAGCAGCACGGGTGTGTTCTATTCAACATCCCTGAATCAGCATTTGTTAGGTTCTGTTCTGCTGAACACAGTTCTGAGAACCCACCGAGACGATAATCAACATGCAACTTAACCATTTTGCCTGTACTTCCTGCCTCCTTCCCTAGAGCTGGGGCACCTGGAGGGCAGGGCCCAGCCGTGGACAGGGTGCACCTGTGTGCCCTGAGCTCAGGGTGTTGTGGACGGGGTACACCTGCGTACCCTGAGCTCAGTGTGTATCTGAATACCCAGTTTGCACCAAATACCAGGAATGTCCAAATCTCAGCCTTGGGGCCCTTCCCTCTTCCCAAGCTCAGGTGACTGGGAACACCCACTAGTGGAGGGGGAGCTGCCCGTAGGCAGGATGAAGAGGTGGTGGGCCAGGTAAGTGGATCAGGGTCGGGAAGGGAGGTGCCCCCACCTGGTGCAGGGCATCGGCCTTGTCTGTGTGCTTCTGCCGGCTGCGTTGGGCAGCCACTCGGTTCTTCTGTTTCTTCTTCAGCTGCTTCTGATGCTCCTCAGGGTCCTGAAGGGAACAGGCACAGGGATCCTGTCAGGTGCTGGCGCCCTCTGTCCTGTCCCTTTCCTGTGTCCAGTCCCCAAGGGTCCTTTCCTCCTAGAATCCCTTTCTGGCTCCCTCAGCCCACACATCACCTGGCTGGAAGGCCAGTCTCACACATCTGCTCACAGCTCATGTTGTGGGAAGATGAGCAGGGAGCTGGGAGCCTGGGGTTCAAACCCAGGCAGAGCTGCCTTCATGCCCACCACTCCTCTTGCCAGTTGCGTGGCTCTGGCAAGTCACTCACTTCTCTGCCCAGCTCCCTCATCCACACCTGGAGGCACCGGAGCCTTCCTCACAGGCCATAGAGCAGCAGCCCAGGGCCAGGGGTTGATAAAGGTCAGGGGTTAGTAAAGGGGTTAATATTGTTCTAATTGCCATTATTTCCACTGTCAGGGGCTTGATTTCACAGGTCCGGTTCCATGAAACCTATGCCCAGCCTAGAACCAAAGCTGAGATTCATTTACTCAACAAATATGTATTCAACACCTATTATGTGCCAGGCAGTGAGCTAGGGAGACACAGCTCGGGGAACGCAGCTAGGGGGAACAGAGGGGGACAAAACAAACAAAATCCCTGCCCTCGAGTCATTCCCGCTCTAGTGGGGCAGCATCCTAGAATGAATGTACGAAGAGCCCATTCTGAGCGAAAAGTGGACTCAAAGGCTGACAGGCAACCCTCCCCCTCCCCTGGATCTCAGATTAGGAGCCATGAAATCTAGATGAAATATTTAACCAAATACCCAGATCTTTGGAAGGTGAGACAGGAGGGACTGTTGGAGACCCACAGCTCAAGACCCAACCCACAGGTGACTGTGGAAGGTATGTTCTGAGCGTATGAGCTCAGGCAAGGCCCTGGCCTCCCTGGCTGAGGACTCCTGGGACAGGGGCAGGGCCTCCCAGGGGAAGCATGCCTGAGAATCTGGGCAGGGAACAGAAGGTGCCCGTCAAAGCAGTGAGGGGAGAGCAGGGGCCTCAAGAGAGCAGTACCCAGAGCCCAGTGGCAAACTGGGGCTGGATCTGCACTGAGAGCTGGAAAGGCCTCGTTCCGATCCCCTGAGGAAACTGAGGCCCAGAGAGGGGCGGTGAGCATTCCACGGTCACGCAGGCCATGCATGCAGAGCTGGGATTAGGGTGTCTGCCGCCGGCCCTCCCTGCCTGGGAACTGGCGTATCCCCTCTCTCATCCCTTGGTCCCCTGTACTCACCGTCCCAGTCAGCAGCCCACTGTCCCCACAGAGGTGCATGGCTTCTGCAGGGAGACAGAGACTCACACCCTGCACCGGGTGTCCCTCAGCCACTGTGACCTCCCAGTGCCCTCTGGGGGCCCAAGGAAGTGGCAGCTCTTTAAATCCCCAGTGGCCAATCCGCCCCCAGCAAGCCAAGTTTCAGTTTCTCCTAAAGCAACCGGCTGCTCAGAATCCCTGGCTCGGGTTGGCTCACGTGGCTGGAATTTCCTAACATGAACTGGCCTTCCGGGCAGGCCCCTTCTGTGGAAGGCGGATGGTGGAGGATGCAGGAGCAGAGACTGAAGGCTGGGTGTGGGGAGGGGGTTCCGGGAGAAGGAGGGGAGGCTGCCAGGACAGAGCCTTGGGAAGAGAAGCCTGTGGGAGAACCAAGGGCTCATGAGGGATATAGGAGAAGCCTCTGCACTCTGGAAACGGAGATGCCCAGGTTCACAGCCAACCTCTGGCACATTGGAGCTATGCAGCTTTAAGAAGGTGGTTCACCCTCTCTGAGTGGTCAGTCTCTTCATCTGTAAAGGGTGTGGGGGAATGATACAAATATCCACCCACAAGCTTGATGTAGGAACCATGAAAGAATATAAGCACTCCCAGACCCAGAGCCACCGGGGAGGCATGGCTGCACAAATAAGCCATGGCCCTTAAATAGGAGAATAGATAAACTGCTGTGTTTTCATTCAGCAGCCCATGCAGCAATAGAGAGTGACATCTAGCAGTTGGGAGAGCAGCCTCCAAGCTATGTAATCTGGGTATGTAATTTCATTTTTCTGTGCCTTTATTTCCAAATCTGAAAAATGGGAATAGAAATAATTCTGTTGTGAATGCTGAATGAGTTAAGGCAGGTAAGGCACCTGAAACCTTGCCTAGGGCAGAGTAAGGGCTCAATTACACTGGCGGTTATTACATAGTGGAAGACTCAAAGTTGTCCTTCCCCTCACGCTTAAAAGCCCAAAACATCTAACTGTACGAAAATAACAAGCTGCAACAAGCTCTGAGCCACGTAATCCCTGTAAGGTTTAATAATACAGATACATAAACATGTAACAAAAATATAAAATATGCATGGAAATGAGAAACACAATTCAGAGAGTGGGGATCTGGAGGGGGTGGGCTGAGGGGGACCCACAGGGACTTCGGTTGAATCTGTGGTGTTTTGTTGCTTCAACTGTTGGACCACAGTTCTCTGAAAATATTACTGCTGCTCTTTAGGGGACACCTGAAATGCTTCACAATGAAAATTTCTATGAAAGACCTAGTGAGCCCTGAAGCGCCTGCAGAGTGGTTGTATCTCTGAGAGAGACCATATGCTTTGAAGGGACATCTGTCTGGGGGACACAGGAGCCAGGAACCCTACACTGATCCAAGGACAGTGTGGAAACCCATGTGCTGTGTGACTAGGTCGCATGGTCTGGTGACTAGACCATCTGGGGGTTATGCCTGAGTCCCGGGGGCTCAAGGCTGGATGTGGGATCCCAGGATTGCCAAATACTATGGATTTGATCTTCTAATAGGTAATGGCGTCCCACAGTATTGTGTTGAGTTCACAGCTTACTCCAAGCTTATTAGAAAAGAGCATTGCGACTGACTAGCAATGTCTGCCATGCCTCAATTTATTAGTGATGTCTGTCATGAGCAAAGCAATAATACAGTCCTCTGCTCTACCTAGAATTGGGCATGAAACTAGTCTGGGCTTTAGACATGCTGACAACCCGGCATTCGACTCACCGAGTCTATCTCCTGGACCCTCTGTTCTCTTACGCATGCTGTGGATGACAAAGAAATCACACTATTTCACAAAGTTGTTTTGAAGATGAAACAGAGCAAGATGAGAAAAAAGCTCTTTGCATATTGTGAAGTGCTATTTAGCTGGAATCCATTCCTTTTCCTGAGATTTTTGGAAATGCAGGATTAATGCGGGTGGAGTTAGGTGGGATGACAGCCAGGCGTGGCCCTGCTTGCTTGTGAGGGACCTGGGAGCAGAGGCTGAAGTGAGGCACCCCAAGCGGTGAGGCTGCCTGGATTTCTCTGAATTATTTTTGTCTCTGAGAAACCAACAGGGCTGGAGCATCTTGCCTGAAGCGGGCACCTAAGGGGCTCATTAAGTCAGTCCGTGAGCTCCACAGGGTAGGATCCAGGGGAGCTACACGTATGATGTAACCAAGAAAAAACATCTTGGGTGGGAGGGCAGCTAGGGCTTGAGTGTCTCCACTCTAGTGTCTAGCCCCAGCCCTGGACCCCCTGGTCTTCCCTTCTCCAGACGCCAGGTTCAGGAGGAAGGGAGAGAGGCAGCAATTGTGCCTGCGGCGCCTCTCAGGAGTCCATAGCCCTGGAGGGAGACCCAAGGAGACAGCTTTTAGGTCTTCATCTCCCTAGGGAGTGGCAGGAAGGGAGGGACACGAAGTGGGTAATATTTAACCGTGAATGGCTATGCAAGGCTTCCTGGAAGAGGTGGGCACCTTCCCCGGCTGGAAGGGCACAGGCTTCAGGCCACAGTCCAAACTTTCACTTTGAAAGAGGAAAGTAATGCCCAGAGGGGCCAAGTGACCCAGCAGGAGGGGACAAAGCGAGAGGGAGGGCACACCTCTTTCCTGCAAGCCCTGTCCTCCACCGAGGAGCAAGGAGCGAGCCCCAGAGGGCCTGATCCATCAGTTCAAAGCCTGCAGCCTGGTGGGTGAAGGCTCGGAGGCCTCGCAAAACCAGAACCACAGAGTTCGCTCACAGGGAGGGGACAGTCACATGGCCAGTTTGGGGGAAGCCAGGATGCACTGATGCCCTGTCCTAATTCCTTATTAGGCTTGGAGAGGTGCCAGGGTCTCCAGCTGCCCAGGGATGAGGACCCTCTTTCTAGGTTCTCCCACCATGTGCACCCTTCATTTGAGGCCTGATCTCAGGGCACCCAAAGGGAGCTTGAAATGATGGGTAGCAGAGGAAAAGTCTCCACGACTGCTGGTGGGGCTGAGGCTGGTTGCCAGGTTCCCACCCACAGCTGCAGATGGGCCTGCACGGGAGCTAAGCTTCAGCAGGGACAAGTTTACCACCCAGCAGGGTATAGGACACTCACCCTGCACTTCCGCGGGCAGGACAGGAGGGTCTGCAGAGGGCACGGTGTGCTTCCTGTTGGGAGACCAGAGGAGTCTTTCCAGAGAGGAGCCCTCTGGGAAGCGCACTGAAGGATGGGCAGTCTTGACTCTGGGACCTGACACTTGATCTTGGGCAAGTCACTTATCTCTTTATGCCTCATCTGTCCAATGGGGATAATAAGTTAGAATTTGATGAAGGAATATATGTAAAGGGTTTAGAACAGTGCTGGCACACACGAGGTCACATAAACATCTGTTTAACTTTTAACAAAGGCACTCACAAAGGTCTGATGAATTTTTGTTCACATATCAATAGGGTTGTATTTTATTTCATTAGTATTATTTATTTTAAGGGAAAAAATGGTGGAGTTCAAGAACAGTGATGAGTTTTTTTCCTAATGAAATACCTTTTTAATGAAAAAAATTAACAACTGTCTCCATGTGTAAGAAGCAGCACTTAATATTTGATGCGAACTGCTCAAAATTTCTTTTGCTTACAAAGGAGTCTCAGTTGAGAGATGGGAAATTAGGGTTCTCTGGATTGTTGGTTTAATAAATGATCTAAATCAAGCTTCAGTTACAGACAAGTCTACAATGTGCCGGCTTCAGGTCCAGCTGGCTCATGATACCACAAGTCACCGAGAGTCAGCGTCCCGCCCTGCCTGCTCTCCTTGGACCTGGCTACTTTCTTGGAGGGACCCAGCTCATGGCAGTAAGATGGCCACCAGAAATACCAGCTTAGCTGCACCAGGAGGGGGGCCTATCTCTCCACCTGCTGCAACCTCCCCAGTAGTGCCAACAAAGATCCCAGGCCAGGCTCTCCTTGGTCTGGCTTGAGTCAAGGGACTCCTCCTGATGTCGGTCTCTGTGGCCAGGAGACAAGGAGAGAGAGGCAAAGCCTGGGGCCCAGGTCCAGCCTGGAGTTCGGGGCTGGGTCAGCCCTGTCTTACCCAGAGAGACTAGGGGCGAGGAGGGGGACAGCTCCCAGCGGCATCAGGGCGCTGTTGGTGGGAGAAGGGGGAACAGGTGCTGGGATGCTGCCAGAGCCTTGGCTCAGATTCCGATATGGGGAGGCCGCCTGCCGCTCAGCAGTACATCCTCGCGCTGTCACAGCCCCGGTGGGATGGACTCGGTGCCCCACGTGCCTCTCACACATAGCCCAGCACTCTCTTTCTATTGTTTCACGGGGACCCAGGTGCAGACGGCATAGGCTTGCTGAGGGGGCGACTCCAGATGTACTGAATGCCGGGCGGAGGGGAGTGACAGCATGACAACTCCCCAGGGCACGGAGGAAGGGACCGCCTTTCATGTCAGCACAGCACCTTATGGGCACTGACCAGGCCAAAATCTGCAAGTAGTCGGGCCTCCCAGGAACTGGGCTCTAGGACACCATCGCTGCCTGGTTGTCAGCAGGAGCCAGCACATGTTCCTGCCACCAGTCCTGCCGGGCCTTCTGCTGCCTCCAAAGCTGTGTGCTTCTGATTCTACGCTATTCCTTAACATACACCTTTCCAGGAAGCTAACTCAAACCGTTGGAAGTGGATAAGGGGCATTAATAACAAACACCCAAGTGCTGCAGTGTCAGCAGGTGTCCCGGGGCTTTGTGGGAGATGGCAGTGCTGGCCGCAGCTCCTGGATTTTCCCAGGTGCTTCAAGTCCCAGACAAGCTTGGGCTCAACACTCCGCTCTCCCACTTCTGTGTGACCTCGGACAAGGCCCTTGGTTTCTCTGGACCTCAGTTTCCTTGTCTGTAAAATGGGAATTAATAATACCTTTGCCTTGCTAGGGCTGTCATGATGACTGAAACCACAGGTGGGAAGTCGTCACCAGCAAGCTCCCTCATCACAGTGTCCCTGGCTGGGCCTCCCTGTGATGTCACATTCCCACTGTCCACAGCAGTGGCAGAGAAGCCCAGGCTGGCCCCGTTGCCGAGGTCCTAGACACTGGAGAGAAAAGACTGTCACCCTGGCCTTCAAGGGTCTTGAGGGGTCTGTGCCATTGCAGAGAACAGAAGGGGCTTTTTACTGAACAAGAAAGGGGCAGAGCCAGGCAGACTGGCATGCTCTTCCCATCTGACTCCTTGCTTACCTGGCCAACGTCCCACAGCCCTGGAGTGGAAGTAATGGGGACACGGGACACTGTCAGAGGGCAGGGAGCATCTGTACCTGTGGCGGACCTGGCCGTGGGCCAGCAGGAAGGGCTGCAGACCCACGCCGAGGCACCGCCGGGGTGGGGCCTCCCACAGCTCTGGGGCCGTGGTTCCTAGAGTGGGATGGGGGCTCCCACCCAGAAGAAAGGCTACAAGGGGGTCCCAGAAGGATTCACCAGCAGCTCATGCACTGCCAGGCACTGGGGCTCAATTTCCTCACCATGTAAAATGAAGGAATGTGACAGCTGAATTGTCCAGGCCCCTCCTGCTGGGGCTGGCCTGAGGCCTCTCAGGAGATGGACAGCTCCGAGCTTGAGGGGTCTGTGCCATTGCAGAGAACAGAGGGGGCTTTTTACTGAACAAGGGGCTGAATCCTGAGGAAGGTGGGTATGTGGGTACAGAAGACCTGGGCTCCTCCCCTGGCATGCCACTTAGTGTCTTCCACTTGGGCCTCAGCTCTCCCTCAAGACATCTGTGGGGAGCAGTGCCTGCGAGATGCCCTCTCCGTCTGGGCCTGGAAGCTGGCATCCGTGGGATCTCCAAGGAGAGGGTGGGGTCGGCTCCGCCTTGGGCTAGGGTGGAGGAGCCTGGCCATTAAGAACACAGCTAAGGAGGTTCTGCTGCTTTGTGGCTGACTGAGAAGCTAGAAGGCAGCAGACCTCTGCCTCTGACCCTTTTACTCATCAGATACTGACTGAGCACCCGCGTGTGGCAGGCCCTTTCCAGGTGCTGGGGGACGTCTGTTTGAAAAACACAACAACCCAATACCAGACGCAGTGCATAGTGAGGGGAAACAGAGGGAGGTGATAAAAAGACACAAACTTCCTGTTACGAGTATGTACCAGGGGCATGACGTCCAACAAGACCACCTCTGCTCCACTTCTGTAAGATACGCAGGAAAGGTGTCAGGAGAGTGCACCCTAAGAGTTCTTCTCATCATAGGAGGGAATTTTTTTCTTCTTTTTCTATTTTATCTGCACAAGAGGCTGGATGTTAGCTGAACCTACTGATGTAATCATTTCAACATATATAAATCAAGCCACCTGCTGTAGGCCTTCAATTTTTACAGTGATGTGTATGCCGATTATTTCTCAATAAACTAGAAAAGAAATCCAAATCCCTGCCCTCCTGGAGCTTTGATTCTAGCCAGGATGGGGGAGTGAAGGGGAATAAATGCAATAAATTAAGGGAAGTATATAGGCTGGTAGAAGGCCTCCAGCGTCACGGCGGGATATAGAGCAAAGTAAAGGGTTTGGGGAGTGTGGCTGGAGAGTAAGTGGTTTCAGATTTAAATCGGGTGGTCAGGCTGGGCCTCACTGAGACATCGGAACAAAAATATTTTTGCAAATTAGAATAATGTTTGGTATCTCGAGCTGGGTGATGGGTACATGAGTGTATATATGTTGTCAAAATTCATCAAGCTAAGATTTGTGCATTTTATTGTATGCACTTCAATATACAAAATAGTAACAAAAAAATAAAAGCACACTTCCAGAAATCCCCACCCCATTTTCAATAGATTCTGAATGGGGCCTCAAAGCATATTATTTTTTAAAGTACTCCAAATAATTTCTATGTGTGGCCAGGGTTGAAATCAGTGGTCTCACCTGGGAATTCTAAAGAGTGTCCCATCAACAGATAAAATACAATGAAGAAACAGAAACCCAGGGAGGCGGTCCCTGTAATTCAGCAGCGCTTCAAGTGCAGTCCTTGTCTCGGCTGGGAACCTGTTAGAAATGTGTGTTCTTGCGCCCCACCAAGACTACTGAAAATCAGACCTTTGAGTGTGAAGCCTGGCACGCTGTGTTTCAATAGCTCCTCCAAGTGATCCTAGTTCACACACAAGTGTGGGACCCACCGCTCATTCTCCTTTGCTGGCACTGATGAAACAAGTTGCCATGTCATGAGTTGCCATGCTGGAGGGGCCTGCATGGCAGGGAACTGAGTATTGCCAACATCTACTGAGTGAGCTTAGAGACAGATCCTTTCCCAGTCAAGCCTGCTGATGAGACCACAGCCCCAGCTGACTCTTAGTTTGCAGCCTGTGAGAGACCCTGACCTGGAGGAAGTCATGCCCAGATTCCTGCCCCACAAAAACTGTGAAATAATAAACATTTGCTGTTAAAAAAAGTTTTTTCTGAGACACTGGACATTTGAGCAAAGAACTGAAGAGGATGAGGTGACAGGGAGGAATGGGTTGGGGCACTGAGAATGCACTGGTGAGCTGGAGGATTGGAGAAGTGAGGAGGAGAAGGTGGTTGGGAGCCGTTCCTGCAGGGCCTGTGTAGGCCACTGTACACCTCAGGCACTAACTTTGAAGGATACGAGGAGCACCCAGCAGACAGTGGAGGGCATTGACCACAGGAGGGACAAGATCTGGGCACAGGTTAGAAAGGTCTTCTGCTTGGGGACACAGAGCAGGAAAACCAGTCAGAGGTTTCTGCAGTGATCTGGGTGAGAGGAGCCCCCAGCTCATCTGTCAAATGGACATAAGAGTAGTACCTGCGTCTCAGGATGCTGGGTGAAGGCACAGCAACTACACCCCCTTACCCACCTGGCCAGGTCCTGCTCTTGTGGATGCCCCTGGCACAGGTGAGGTGGACACAGAGGCATTTATTGCAAGAGCTCAGGTTTTCAGGTCCTTCCCCATTCCTGAGGTTCTGGAAGGTCTGAGGATGTCATGTGCCCTTGGGTGGATGGCAGGGGTGTGAGTTAACAGCTCTTTGTCATCTTGAAGTTGGAGAGGATAACTTCTCTGCATCCCACATGAGGCAGCTGGGCTGACACCTGCAATGAAGATACTTGAACACTCTAGCGTGCCATTTAAGGCACTGGATTGTGGCCTGCACATTGTATACACCCACTGGGGACAGGGCCACCCTTGGAGACTTAAGGCCTATAGGCAGGTGCCATTTCAGTGATTAGGTTGCACATTCAACCTTTCAGTTCTTTACTAGTAGGACAAAATGTACACTAGGGTATGCTGCCACCAAGTGCTGGCTGATGCTTCCATCAAGGGCGTGTGGTCAGAGAAAGAAAACTTGCATTATAGATGTATGTCACCAGAAAGAAAAACAGGATTTCTCTTATCAAAACTGTAACTCTAAACAAACTTTTATGAACACTACAGTTTAAAAGAATCAAATACAAAATTCACCTAGAGCAAGCTTAAAATTATATTTGTAGTATACATACACAAATATGTAACATACTTAGGTGTGCTTCCTGCTAATAATGCTTAATTATTAGCAATTCCAATTCAAGCAGGGTCTTTTCCCCAGGCCTGTTTTGTTGTGGTGGTTGTTCTAGGAAAGAAAGAGTTTTGATATTCTTGTATGACTATAAAAGTGATACAAGAAGTGTGTGGCTGGATCAAACAGGCTAAACCTCTTAAAACTATAATCCAAATTTTCCTCGCCAGACATTGGGTAAACATGTTTTTTAAAAGACATCTAGAACCTATCCTCAAGTTCAATCCACTTACTGGGCCCCAAGAATGTCTCCCTTCAAAAGCATGTTTCACAGATGTCAGGATTCACAGTCACACATAACTACAACTCCACAGATCTTCTCTCCCAGATTTCTTCCAAAGGTATTCACCAAGGATTTTATTTACTTAAGAGCACCCTCTCCTTTCCATGAAGCAAATGAAAATACCGTCCCTCACTAGACCCTTTACGCTTGTCTTTAACTCTCCTCCCCCCTCCCCTATCCCCAATTTCTAGCTGCAGGCAATTATTATTTGAAAGTTAAAGACAATTACTTTCTGGCCTCCTGTTTCACAGAACTTTGAGGACATTTTTTTGATAGTCATGTGATCCTTACTGTGTGGCACCTGGGAAGCTAGGGAAGAGCTTTAAGCCTGACTTACAAACAAGGGTTTCAATGCCAGTGGTAGTAGCGGTCACACAATCCACAAGTGCTTAAAGTGATTGTTTTGTTTCCCTCAAACTTACTCCAGAGTTAACAGATGAACTGCAAAGATTTTCAAACTTTTGTGACTGTGACTCTCAGATTCAGATATAAATAAATATCTGAAACAAACGGTTCAACAAACACTATTTTTACTTCATGGGCAAGGCAGCCACGTTTTCTCTTCTGCAATGTTCATTCTATTTAATTTTTGCTAATGCTACTAAGTTGAACCATCTGAAACTGGTATCTTTGAGGACAAAACGGTCAAGTATGGGACTTCATATGGTTCATTCATTACACAAAGATAATTTCATAATCTACTTAATGGTCTGCATCCCTTAGTTTGAAAAACATCTTTTAGTAGGCTATTTTTATTTTTAAAATGGGGCTGGAATTCATTTTCATTTAATATGGTTGGACATCTTCCCATGCAGGCATGCATACCTCCACCTCACTCTTCTCAAAGGAGCCATGGAATCCACTCCACATGCTACCCCAGCTTGGGTAATGGATCCCCACTTAAGGCACTAAAATTTTTGCCAGCTTCTTGCTGTTCCAAACCATGCTACAGTGACCTTCCCTGTCATAAATGTTCATGAGCTGGTTCTAGAATTTGTCACGTAGACTCATGGAGGCAAGAATACAGGCACATTGTGATCTTGGTTGTGTTTCAAAGCCTTTGAATAGAAATTATGTTTACTTTCTTCCCTTATGTGTGTGCTTGATGGAGAATAAATGGTGTTCACCCAGGGGCCCAGCCAGACACTCGTTCTTTCCAGCCCTCACCTGTCCACAACCTTCTCATGCAGGCTCGGAAGCCCAAGACCTCTCGCTCCCTACAGATGCAGTAGAGAACCCAGAAAAACAGTGCAAACAATTGCACAAAAGTTAGCAAGCTGTTATCTTCAACTGGTGCCCCTTCCCGTGGGCTGGGAAAAGGGCTCAAAATAAGATAATGAGTTTACAATCTGCCTAGTCCCTGGCCTTAGCTTCCTCACTTCTTCTGGACTTGAATGCTCAGGTAAAGAGCCAAACTCCTGAAAAAACTCATTCATTCAACAAGTATGTATTGGGCAATATGCCACACCATGTGAGCCTCAATTTACTTACTGGCAAAATGAAAAATTTTTCTTCTCAATAGAGAATGATGGGCATCTTGGGCAGGACAATTCTTGAGGGTATGTTCCCCGCCCTCTAAATAACAGGGACACTACCTTGTAATTTGGGACAACCCAATGACTCCCCTGTACATTTCAAACTGGCCCCTAGGGAGAATCCCAGGCCCACCCTCTAGATTCCAGGAGCCCGGGACTGGCAGGTTTAGGAACTGGCAGGCGGCCCTCTAACTGGCAGGTTTAGGATGCTGAGGCCAAGATACGCAGATGAGGGCCGTGTTCCCGGGGAAAGCTCGTCAACATCCTTCTCAGTTATCGGTTGTCATTCCTGAATCATAACTTCTACTCCCTGTGCAGCCAAGATATTGCCCAGGAACTCCAGGCTTCCGTTCCCGGGGTCCTGGGACCGCAGGGCGATGCCCTCTTTCCCCAAGTCCTCGGGATCGAAGGGTTAAAGGTGGCTGCGCAGAAGTCCCCAGCTCCGCTAAAGGGACCCTCCCACGCACTGCCTGGTCACGTGAATTGGGGGTGGGACCAAACGAGCAGTCGGCCAATAGGCTGTGCTGTCGGTGGCGTGATAGCCAATAGCAGCAGGGAGAGGGGTCCCGGGACTAGGAAGAAACGGCGTCTGGGAGGGGGCCACTGGGACCATGGGGCTTCTGACCATTCTGAAGAAGATGAAACAGAAAGAGCGGGAGCTGCGACTGCTCATGCTGTATCCTCCAGCGCGCCGGAGCCGCGAGGGTAGCAGGGGTACCCGACGGGAGAGCGGTGCCAGGCGCCCCCTACCGGGCGTGGGATGCGCAGCCGGCCGGCCGGTACCAACTGTCCGTTGTGCGTCACGCACGTGGGTCCTACCAATCGCTCCTGGCGGGGGGCCGGGAGGAGGCCGTACCACCGGCCCGGGGCGGGTGGAGCTCAGTTCCCAAGGCGCGCCGTGTGGTTGTAATGGCGCAGCGATCGGCCCAGGTGTCCCGATGTAGAAGGGAGGTGGGGCCCAGAGGTGACTCCGACGCCACTACCCGTCATTCTGGCCCGAGCGAGGGGCCGCTGTCCTCTCCGGCCCTGACCTTCTCCCCCATGTCCGAGGGTGCCAGGCCCCGGCCCCGCCCTCAACGTCGGAATCCCAGGGGCGTGCGGGCCCCACCCTCCGCTCGGTCGGTTCAGCTTTGGGTTGTGACTATCGGTCTTACCGTGGCAGGGCGAGTCTGCTTGCCCGTGGCTGATGACTTGTAGGCCCGAGGGCCCGGCCGACCTTCAGGGTCCCGTCAGTAGGCTCTGCATTCGTTTGTCCTGTGCCAGGCCCCGTCGGGACTCTGCCATCCAAGAGCTGGGCCGGCCTACCCCGAGCACCCCTGGCAAGGGAGAGAAGACATTTGTGTGCGCAAATGACTTAAAAGTAGCGTTTACGTCCTGTTTTTAAAGAGCTCTGAGAAAAGCACAGAGAATTCACTTGCCCAGTCAATGTTTATTGAGCGCCCACCATGTGCTAGGTAATGTCCTAGGGACTGGGGTAAAGCGCAAAACAAAAAAACCCTACCTTCACGGACGTTAGGTAATGCTGAAGGGAGGTTCACAAAGCAGATAAGTAAAATATATATTGTATGTTTGGAGAAGAACGCAGTTTAAGGTGGTCAAAGAAGGCCACGTTGAGAAAATGACAGTTGAGTAAAGGCAGGGAGGTGAGGGATGAACCGTGTAAGTATCTCAGGAAATTTGTTTAAGCAAAGGGAACAGCAAAGGTCTCGAAGGAGGAATTCAGCTGGAAAGTGAAAGAAACGTCAAGGAGGGCAGTGAGGCTGGAGAGAGTGAGCGGAGAGGAGAGTACTGGAAGACAGGGCAGAGGGTGACAGAGAGCCGCCTATGTAGGTCCTTTTCCCGGAAGTGAGGAGGCGAGGTGTGGTCGGAGACCAGTTAGGCCATTGCTCTAGCGCAGGTGGGATTGGATGGTGGCTTGGACAAGGATAAAAGCAGGGAGGTGATGGAAACTGGGGGACATTAGGGCCAGCAGGAATCGCTGCTGGATTGGACATGTGAGAGGGAGACAAGTTTGCCTGGCTTCTAGGCTTATGAGCAATTGGATGAATGAGGGCCCACCTGCCGAGATGGAGAGGGGCTGGGCGCAGGTTGAGAAAGATGAGAGTTCAGTTTTGACCATGTGGATGCCTGAGACATCCTCAAAATGTCAGACAGGCAGCTGGGTGTAGGGACTGATGTCCAGAGGAGCAGTTGGGTGGGGCATAAAAATTTGGGAGTCATCAGCATAAAGATGGTATTTGATGCTGCGATCCTGAATGAGATCCGCAAGGGATGTGTGTGGACAGGACAGAGAAGAGAACCACTGAGAGCGGCCAGAGAGGCAGGAGGAGAACCAGGCAAGGGCACGTGCTGGAGCGGAGGAAGAGGCAGGCCACCGTCAGGTGCTGCTCACACAGGAAGAGGAGAATTGAGGGCTGCTGAGCCGTCAGAGAGCATGGGGAGCTTGAGGGATAGACCTTAACAACAGCAGTTTCAGGAGCCTTGCATGGGTTCAAGAAAGAGCTGGAGGACAGAAATCGGAGAGGGTGAAGTATGGATAATGGTTTGGGATTTGCTATGAAGGGAAGGAAATAAAGCAATATGAGGGAATAAGAGAGGGTGCCATTTGCTGCTTCCAAGGTGGGACACCAGCTTGTCAGCTTGGTAGTAATGATCCTGCAGCAAAGGAAACATGGGTCTTGGAGTTAGGGATTATGGAGCTCATCAGTAGCCAGTTACCAGGGCCTAAGCCTGGGTTTCTGGAGAGGGCCTCTTGTCACCCCCATTGCACTGTTTTGAGTGACTTGCCCAGGTCGGGTGAGCAAAAAGCCTGCTGGGTCCAGGGCCTGGTCCCACTGCCAGCTGCAAGCTGCCTTCAGTGCTGGGTGGAAAGAGGAGGGCGGGTCTCTGGCTGGTGAACTCACCCAGTTGGCACACTCACTCAGCAGCAAGGGTTTGGGATATTCCAGAAACGAAGGCAAGGGTGGCTGCGTCTAGATACTTGGTCTTAGTGTCCCTTCTGCCCAGAATGCTTTTCTCTCACTCTGTCAAAAAGCTCAGAGAGGCCTCCAAGCTAAGGGATGCTCCTCTGAGGGCCATCTCTGTCCGCCTCTCTCTGGTGTTTCTGCCACCTGCCAGCACCTGGCAGTACCTTGTTTGCCATTTGTTTGCATTCTATTGACCGTCTCCACACTCAAGTGTAAGCTGCATGAGGGTTGGGACTTTGGGGTGCCCCTAGCACCAGAAGAGGGCCTGGCATATAGCAGGTATGCACCATGGAATGGATTAAAGAGCCCTTGGTCAGGACAAGATGGTAACATTTCTTTCTTTCTTTTTTTTCTTTTCTGCTATCATTAATCTACAATTACATGAAGAACACTATGTTTACCAGGCTCCCCACCTCACCAAGTCCCCCCCACACACCCCACTACAGTCACTGTCCATCAGCGTAGCAAGATGCTGTATAATCACCACCTGTCTTCTATGTGTTGTACAGCCCTCCCCGTACCCCCCAACAACACTATACATGCTAATCGTAATGCCCCCTTTCTTGGTAACATTTATTTCTTGATGCTTCTGTGTTTATCATGGGCAAATTGTGGTTCTGGCATGTGCTCAGCTAATTTTGGTAAGTGGTGGGAAATGATTTGTCCCCTAAGGGGGGCACTGTGACGATGTCACCACCCTGCAGAGCACAGGGACTTCCCCTTAACCTGGTGCACCCCAGTGGCCTGGACAATGCTGGGAAAACAACCATCCTCAAGAAGTTCAATGGGGAAGACATTGACACCATCTCCCCGACACTGGGTTTCAACATTAAGACCCTGGAGCACCGAGGGTGAGTGGGTTCCCTGTGGGTGGTGGGCCTACAGCAGGGCAGGGAGGGCAGGGGTGCCCAGGTCAGGTGACCAGAAAGGCTGCTGTGTCAGGCCAGGCTGACCTTCAGCCAACCCCCCTCCCGCCCCACCACCCAGATTCAAGCTGAACATCTGGGATGTGGGCGGCCAGAAGTCCCTGCGGTCCTACTGGCGGAACTACTTTGAGAGCACCGATGGCCTCATCTGGGTGGTGGACAGTGCCGACTGCCAGCGCATGCAGGACTGCCAGCGGGAGCTCCAGAGCCTGTTGGTGGAGGAGGTGGGCAGGGTGCCTGGCCGAGCAGGGGCACTGGGCTTCCACCAGCACCCAAGTCCCGATACTTCGCACACATGTATGGGTGTATGGACGTGTCCTCAGCAGATTCCCTGAGGGATCCGTGATCCCAGAGGGACACCTGGTAGGGGTCTCTTCCTTCACTGAGCCCTTGCCCCATGCCTAGCCCCCTTGGGGAGGCAGGATGACCTGTACACCTGGAACAGGGAAGCCCACAGTGCTGAAGGCAGGACACCCTGAGCTGAGACCTGGGTTTACATCTCTGCAGTGTCAGTGCTCCACCACCCTGAGCTTCAGTTTCCGTACCTTGAATGGGACTTTAGGGAGGATGAACCCAGGCCCATGTGTGAAGCTGGGGGAGGCAGTGGAGCCTGGCTCAGGACTCAAAAGTTTTCACTGTATGACCTCAGGCGAGGCACTTCACTTCTCTGAATCTCTACTTCCTCAATCCTAAGGTGGGCGTATAATTAGGGTGATCATATAATTTATGGTCTGGGCCAAAACACTTCTCTGTTAATATTATTTTAGATTTGCAGAAAAGTTGGAAAGTTAGTGAAGTTACTCTTCACCCTGCATCTCCTAATGTTAACATCTTACATAGCCACCATGCATTTGTCAAAACTAAGAAATTAACATTGGTGAGTTATTCATAACTAAATTATAGGTTGTATTTGGACTTTACCAGTTCTTCCACTAAGATCCTTTTTCTGTCCCAGGATTTGATCCAGATTACTAAACTGCTTTTAGTTGAAAACCAGGATACTTTTTAAGAGTGAAAGACAGAGTTGTTAATAATTAAGCAGGGACAGCAGGCATGAACAGGACTGTCCTGGACCACAGGGCCCTGGTGTAAGGGTACCGCCTCCTGAGGGTGTCGAGCAGATGCACTGAGATCATGTCTGTCACATGCTCAGCCCTGGCCTCGTACCTCGAGGCCCATTAGAAGAGCTAGATCCACCACCCACATGGAGGGACTCTGGGTCACAAATACGTGTATGGAGATAACTGGAATCAGAGGTAGTGAAGCCTGTGAAGGCAGTGGGACAGTTACAGGGCTGCATGAACTTAGAAGAGGGAAGGGTCACTTCCAGCAGACCCCATGGCCCCTGAAGAGTCGCATTCTTTGTGCATGTCAGGTCATCAGATTGGAACAGTCTGGAACCAGAGGGCTCTGGGATTATCTTGTTCATCATCCGCTCCCCATTTATGGAGGAGGAAACTGAGGCACAGAGAAGAGGGGTACCCACTGGGTGGTGACTGGGCTGGAACCAGGGCCCTTGCCCGGCCCGGGGCTTCCCTCCGCCCCATGTATGACCAGACTCACAGGCCATGTCCCCACTGCCTACCCTGTTCGGCTTCTCCTACCACCACGGGGCCTTGCCCTGATCTTCTAGGTTGATCTGACCCCAGATGCTGTTATGATTAGAGGAGGGGTCAGTCTGCCCTCTAGCCCCCACTCCATGCCCCTTTCTTTCTTTCTTTCCCCCAGCGCCTGGCTGGAGCTACCCTCCTCATCTTTGCCAATAAGCAGGACCTGCCTGGAGCACTGTCCTCCAGTGCCATCCGTGAGGTGAGTCCAGGCCCTGGAACAGACTCATAAAGGCAAAGAGGTGCGTATTTCTTCGTTAATTTACTTAAAAAGTATTTATGCACCCTGCTGTGTGGCAAGACCTATGTGGGGCACTGAAGGTTCCGCAATTACTAAGACAGCTGTGCCCTGCAGCCTGGGGGAAGGCAGACCCGCAAATAGATCATTCCACAGGGTAACAATGTGTGCTAGGCTCCTTGCATGGATTCATTCAGTTCTCACACCACCTTGTGAGGTAAGACCTATTACTATCATTCTACAGATGGTGACGCTGGGTTAGAGAGGGGAGGTAACTTGCCAGAGGTCATACAGCCAGTAGGAAGACAAGCCAGGATTTAAATGCAGGCCTGAGTGAGCCCAGGTTGCATCCTAACTCATTCTAGAGCTCGAGCACCAGAATGAGAAAGAGTGGGGTGAGACTCGTGGTTCTGCCAGGTGCTCCTGGGAGAATGGCCGACACCCCCTTGGCTCATGGGGCCTCGGGAGGAATGGATGAGAGGACATTTATGGGGCCCACAGCACAATATCTGCTGGGCAGGGCCTGTGGGCCTGAGGGCCCACACCACCTTCCACCCCGCCAGGCACTGGACCTGGACTCCATCCACAGCCACCACTGGTGCATCCAGGGCTGCAGTGCTGTCACCGGGCAGAACCTGCTGCCTGGCATCGACTGGCTCCTGGACGACATTTCCAGCCGCATCTTCACGGCGGACTGAGCTGCTCCGGATGACTGCCATCTCACAGTCCAGGCGCCCCCAGCCTCTCACCAAGCACCACGCAGGGAGGGGATGGGAGTCAGCCAGCCTGACTAACACTCCCCGTCCTTGTCTGTAACCTGCCACTGCTGTCACCCACTGCTGCTCTGTGGCCAGCCAGCCCCTGTGGTGGGAGGGCAGCTGCCCTGGCTCTTGACCCGGCCCACCTGCAGCTGCCATACCAAGAGGAGGGGGCTGCCTCTGCTGCTACCAAGGCTGTGAGCCTTGTCCTTTGCTCAGCTGTGAGAATAAATCATTCCTTACCTGATTCCTGCCTGAGTCATTTGTTGACTGAACAGCTTTAAGAGACCACCTGGAGCCCAAAGGCCAAAGGGGACAGAGAGAAACAGATCGTTTCAGCCAAAGGGCTGACTGCTACTGCATCAAAGAGATGTGCAAAGACTTACAGAAGCACAGGGTGGGGCTGCAACCAACTCCGTTTGGAAGAGTCCAGGTAGGCTTTCCAGAGGAGGTGACGTTAAAGCGGGGTGTGAAGAGTGAGTAGTTGCTTAGAGCAAGGGCGAAGTCAGTATACCAAAGTTACTTCTGCCCTCAGAGGTGTGAGTTAGAAAAAGACAGCCCCACACCAGGGTCCATGGCTTGTTAAATGGAACATGAGCTGGATTTCAGCTCCCAATTTCCCACTGCAGCCAGAGCCCACATGTAGTGGACAACCTGTACCACTGTACAAGGCAGCATCGGTTCAGCAGAGAGGGAATCAGGATGGAGGAATGGTAAGCAGGGGCTCCTGGGAAATGGGGAGAGGTGAGGACGCGCGTGGGGGTGGATGTGAGCATCTGGCAGGGCGAGCCGGCCCAGAGCAGGGGAACCCTGAAGGCCGTTGGCACTCCACCAAGCAGAGGCCCTGCTAGGTAAGAATACCTGGGCTGCCCTAGATTGGCAGGGCAGATGGATGTCCTCCCAGGGCCCCTGCTCTGCCCTGCCCGTGGCTGCCTACCCTGTAGGGTTCTGTTGGAAGCATGCTCCACTTGGCATCACGGTCAAGAAGAGCACTAAGCAGTGTCACTATTGATACTGACTCGGTATGGGCAAAATTGCAGTATTTCCAGAATCTGTCGCCTGGCTTTAGAGCATCTCCCCATCAGTAAGTGTTTCCAAGGGGTGGAGAGTAGTTACCTCCAGATGAATAGGTAATTCAATGGGTGAGTGAGGGCTTATCTGGACCAGAGGCTGGGTGGAGCTCTCTTCTGCAACTGGGTCAAGAGAGATGTGGGACGTCTGCTTGTAAGAAATAAATGGGTTTCTCCCAATTGATCTCTCCCTTTGACTGATCTCCGTTTCAAAGCTATTTTGCCCCAGGGTTTCCCCCCTGGAGTTATACTCAGTATCCCCATTTTATGCAGGAAATGAGCTTTCAAGTTATGGAACTTGCCCATAGCTGCCCTACTAGGAGGTAGGGGAGCTGGGATGGAGATCCAGCATACTAGCCACTACACCCTGCTAAGTGGCTTCAGTTCTTCTCTCTGCAAATGCCAGAATGAGGGGCCTAATGTGTCAAGATTCCTGGACCCAATTCCAATGTGTGCCATGTGTTGGTGGGGGGTTCCCTATGCATGACCCCAAACAATGACACCCCAATGGTGTATGAGAATTCAACTAAATTTCCACATTATCTGCCCAGTTACAGCACCAGATTCTACACTTTAAGGGTACAGTCCCACAGGACTCCCCCGACCCACCACTTCAGCTGACAGTCGCAAGCCCCAGGCTGTTCCCTGTGCTTCTGACCAACATGCTATGTAGACTGGAGGTTCCAATGACCTCCCCCTTAGGTTCCATTAATTTCTTAGAGCAGCTCACAGAACTCAGGGAGACACATTTACCAGTTTAATAAATGATACTATAAAGGATACAAGTTAACAGCCAGGTGAAGATACATAGGGCAAAGTCCCAAATAAGCTCCTGTCTTGAAGTCTGTCTTGGTGGCACGTGGAAGCATTCTTGTTCCCCAAGCATGGAAGCTCTCCAGGAGGCTGGGTGCAAAAAAAGGGGGGGCGGTTTGGGGTGTCAAAAGCCTGTTCACATGGGTTTTTATGGAGGTTTCATTACATAGTCATGATTGACTATTATTGGCCTTTGGCTGATTCAACCTCTAGTCCCTCTTCCCTGGAGGGTGGGGCTGGGAGCTCAAAGTTCCTACCTTCTAATTACCAGGTTGTACCCCTCCCTGGCAACCAGCTGCCGCCCTTGGGTGGGGCCCCAAAGTCTTCTCATTAACATAACAAGACACCCATTTCACCTTTATGGCTCTGAAGCATTTTTAGGAACTGTGGGTGTAGACCAGGTACATCTGAGAAATATGTTGGTGGTGGATTGAATGACCAAGTAACTACTTTTTATAAATTACTGTATCAAATGTCTGATGAGGGAAGGATATTTTTTCTAAAGGAAAGATGAGGAATAGACACAAAGATTTACTCCTAAACTGGCATTAGGAGTCCTTTCTGGAGGGTTAGAGACCTGTGCAAAATCTGGGCTCTGTTAGTGTGGAAGAAGGGAAAGGAGTGTTGGGTGTTTTAGGCAGAAGAATAGATAAGAGTGGGGTGGAGACACAATAAAGCCCACTAACAGGGACTCAAAGAGTTAACCAGATAAAACTAGAAAACCCCGAAGACTCACAGAGTGAGTTAATCAGTTAAAGCTCCAAAGGCCAGGAGTAATTTGGAGTATCCAGAATCCAGATATTCCCCAGATAAAGACAAGTATCAGAACACACAGCCCAGGTCTTTATTGTGTCAGATCATGCCATTGTAAGATTTACTTTATCCTGCTAAAAGGCCCAGCTGCTTATTCTTTAATTTAACCTATATGCTGTTTTTCCCTCCTCCAGCCCCTAATCAAGTAATGTGCAACCTGGGCAGGAGACAACCATCAGGATTAATTTAAACAGACAATAACTCAGCGCACCTTCGGGGCGGGGCAAGCGATCTTGATTGATATGCTCCCAGAAGGACGCTGCTGTCTTGGAGAGGAACTAGATCAGTAAATTTTTTGTGTTAAACTAATTTTGCAGAATTACCTGGAGGGCTAATAATAGAAGATACTTAATGTCTCTCACTGGAAAAAAGCATTTTGAGACCACTTTACAAGCCTATATCCCCTGGTCCTTTAAAAATGCTTTTTTTAAAGACAGAAACCCTAGCTTTTTAGAATGCCTCCTCTCTGAGGACACCTGCACTTTTTTCTCTTTAAGTGCATGCCTTTAAATAAAGCCTCCTCTCTGCTTAACTTAATGAGTTTTGTCTTTTTGCTATTTCATTCTATCTCCAAGTCTTCATTTTACCTCTGATAAGTAGGGAGGAGCTGCTGAGAACTCAGATTTGGGCCTGCAAGTTTCCGTCGCCTGGGTGACGCAGAGGGAACTGCAGCTGCAGGAGCGTGCCTGAAAATCTCCCTTCTTTGCAAAGTTCTCAGAACACAATCTCACTCCATCCCGTGCTCCATGGCTCCCCAAACCCCAGAGTGACGGGGGCTAGTCTCCATACGGTGTAGATCTGCTGGGGGAGAGGCGCTGTGTATTTTCCTCGGCTCCTGCCCCCGCCGCGACAAAGAACTGAAGGGCAGAGACACAGTGAAGCCGAGTAAAGGTTTTACTTAAAGTTACTTAGAAAGTGCAGGCGACCTCAGAGAGAGAGGAGCGCCCTGAAAGGTTGGAGAGAAAGAGTTTTAAGATTAAAAGGTTACACACTCAAAGTGCGGGGTGACCTCAGAGGAGCGACCTGAAAGGTGGAGGGTTCCCCCTTTCAAGGATTTTTCAGGAATGTGACAAAGGGCTAGGGGTGTGGACTTGTTAAATGGTCTCAAGTATCTTTGATGAGACATTGAGTTTCTTATCAGTCCTCTAGGTAATTCTGCGAAATTAGTTTAACACAGACATTACTGCTCTGGTCCTGTCCCAGGATAGCAGCTTCCTGGTTTGGGAGCATATCAATCAACACTGTCAGCCCTTCCTCCAAGGTGGGCAGTTATTTGTTTGCTAAAGAGTATGTTAAGAATCTTTCTTCTTAAACTTACTGTTTTTTTTTCAAAATGCAATTTTGGCTTTAAGGTGGGATCATTTGTCTTTATTATGCTGTTTATAGGTGGGCCTTTTAGCAGGCTAGAGTAAATTTTACAATGATCTAATTGACACAGTGAAGACACAGGCTGTGCTCAGATACTTTTCCTTATCTGGGGAATACTCAGACATTCAAGGCCAAGTTGCTCTTGACCTTTTGAGCTTTAACTGATTAACTCATTAACTCTGAGTCTTTTCTGGATTTCCAGTTTTAACTGGTTAACTGAGTCCTTTCTAGGGGGCTTTACTGACCTTGTTCTCTTTCCACCCCGCTCATATCTATTTTCCTGCCTAACATATCCAAGCACACACCAGACGCCAAGTGACCCTGACTTTAAGAGATGGCAAGGAAATCTACGCTATACCAAGAAAATGTTTAGCAAAATTTCCCTCTGCACCTCTGCATATTCCTGCTCTCAGCTGCCTGCAAGGCCGCTGCCATTCATTACTACTCTTGCTCTAATGAATTCCTTCCTTCCCTACACTCTTCAGACCTGCTCGAGAATTCTTTCTCGTTCAGAGTCAAGAACCCAGGTTGAGGTTTCACCTGGTGCGCAGGGAGAGACCTCCCAGATGCAGCTGCCTGGCAACAATAAGAACTGTATAACATTAGCTATAATTATTGTTATTTGAATCAGCAGGCACTCAGGCAAATGCAGCTGTCAGCAGGCAGCCCTGTCCTGAGAGGTCTCTCCTTGTGCACCAGGTGAAACCTCAACCCAGGAGACAGTGCTTGACTCTGATCCAGAAAGAATTCATAAACAGGTCAAACAAGCGCAAACAAGGAGGAATTTTTTAAAGCAAAGTAATAGCAAGTGTCAAAGTTGCATAGTGCCAGGAAGAGTGGCCCTTTTATTTGTGCAGTCATGCAGATGATGGAAAGTGAGATAGAACAAAGGGGAGAAGAAGAAAGGTCATTGAACACTTGCTCAGTTGTAGGGCAGATCCCTTGCTGTGTGTGTTTTCCTTCCCATACAACAAAAATGTTATACACGGTAATAGTGTACAGCAGTGTAACAGTAGTAGAACTCCTTTTGGGTTCCCGAACCCAATTCCAATGTGTGTGCGAGCGTTGCGTGCATATGTGTGTGCGTGTGAGGGGTCTTCCCACATACAACACCACACAATTCTTGAACACCAGTAGGGTGTCCAAGAACTCAACTCAATTCTGATGCTATCTGCCCAGAGGCAGCACCAGATTCCCCAGGTTAAGGGCTCCGTCCTACAAGACGGCCCTCCACTCCCCACTCCAGAGGCCAGTTGCAGGCCCCAGGCTTACCTGTGCTTCTGTTCCGACCTACCCGCTACAGATTGGATGTTCCCACGACCTCCCCCTTAGGTTCAATTAATTTGCTAGAGAAGCTCACAGAAAGCAGGAAAACACATTTACCAGTTTACTTAAGGATATCATAAAAGATACAAGTTAACAGCCAGATGAAGAGATACACAGGGCAAGGTCCTAAACAAAGGAGCTTCTGTCTGCCTGGAGCTTGGGGCCTTGCTGCCCAGCACAGAGGCGTTCTGGCTCCCCAAGCGTACAAGATCCCTTCAACAGAGAAGCAGCATCCAAGAGAGCAATAAACTCTTAGGAGTTTTTTTTTGTGAGCACTCCACTGTGTAATCATGATTGACTAAATTACTGGCCATTGGCTTTGCAGGGCGGGGGGTGGGCATCCGAAAGTCTCTCATTAACGTGCTTTACAACACTGCAATGCAGTGTTTTCAGGAACTGTGGATGAAGACCAAATATACCTGGGAAATAGTATATTTGGTCAATACGTATTTCTTATGACTCACTATATTTCACTTGCCAACTCCTAAAGCCAGGGTCACCTGGCATCCAATGTCTGCTTGGATCTGCATAGCGTGGGAATTATATCCCTACCACCCCATAACTGGGGGAGCCTTCGAGCACTGGATGGAGTGAGTTTATGTTCTTGGAACTATCCAAGACAAAGAAAAGGAGATGTCTGGGCAGGCTGCTAAAGAATGTGATCATATGGCTGCAGTCCCATCCAGGTCACCCAGGTGATGGGAACATGCAAGCCCCCATAAGCAGAGGTTCCCCCTCAGCCACTTCCCTACTTGTAATAAAACAGAGAGAGAAAAGGCTTGTGTTTACAACTAGAAAGTTAAATAAAATAGCAAAGTGACAGACACTTACCACCAGTGGTGGATGTTGGAGGGGCTCCCTTGAGCCTGATTAAGTTCCAGGTTCTTGTCTCTGTTGTAAGAGAGTATTCAGAGACAACTTGCAATAGGCTAAGCAGCAAGGAAAGTTTATTTAAGCAAAGTACACACTTGAAGGGGGTAAGTTCTGGCATCCTCAGAGAGAAGAGGTATGCTTAAAGGGGTTAGGGCTTGGGGTTTTATGGAGTCTTTTGGGTAGGGGTCAGTATAAGGCCTGATGTATATAGGTGATTAGTATTTCCTTTGAAATTTTGTCTTAAGAATGGGGTTATCTAGGTGACTGTGTGGATTAGTATCTTGGCATTCTTTATCCACTATGGAGGTCTTTTTCTGTCCTGGTTACAGTGTTACTTAATTGATTAAGGTTGCTGGAAGAAGAGACCATTATGGGTTAATAAACTAAGTAGATTTTATAATGGCATGGCCCTTGTCCCATGTCCCTGCTCTACCTTACAACCAATGTGAACTCAGCCACCCACCAATCAGCTGAGTCACCCCAGTGTTTAGGTCCTCCTGGGGGTCCTTGTAAGAAGCATACATGATTTGAAATGTGAATAATGCATAGTTAGAGACAAAGAAGAAACAAGGTCATACTTGTCACAAAGGCCTAGGGATGGGGAGTTTGAGCTGTGGTGGAAAGTCTGCCTCACATGGTGCAGCAGACCGGTGGGAATATGGGGAGCAGGTCCCCGGCAGCTGTGCATTTGCAGCATTCCCCTCTCACCTGCCTTCTAAGAAGGTCTTCTATTTGCTTCTCTTGAACTGGTGGAGTCAGAAATCTGGAGAAAGCCAGAGGTTAAATTGATCAGATAGGAGAGGGCATGGAGAGCACAGGGAGAAAGAAGGGAAAAGCGGGGAACTGAGAGCTGCTGGGCCAGGAAGGAGAGTGAATGATGGGTGAGAAGGAGACTTGGAGCTATGGGCCTGCTGAGAGCTTTGGACCAGGAGCAAGGTCTAACGGGGTCTTGAGGATCCCTGGTGAATATTGTGTGAGGAGATACCATCCCATCTCAGTCTCCTCCTGAGCACCTCCTGGATGATCTACCCACTGTCCGAGTTTCTAGGAGTCTGATTTGAGAGTCTGCTTTGTGCTTCTTCCTGGAAAGTGGCGCATAGCACCCACACGGCTGAGCTCCGGTTGTGGCCACGAGCTCCCAAGCACTCCCCTCGTGCAAATGCATTTAAGCTTCACAACCTGGTAGCAGTACTATGGGTCGGGCCTTCAGTGGTCTGCCCCAGACACAGGTTACAAATGCCATCAGTAGAAAGGAAGGTTTTAGGAAGGATACTAGGAACTCACAGCATCCAGTGAGGTTGCACACCCAGGCTTGGAAAACAAGAGTGCTCCAGAGGCTGGGGGGCCAAACCCAGACAACATTGTACTCCAGGAACAACTGGGTCTTCTTGCCAGGCCCTGTGCCGTGTCCCTCACTCAAGATTCAGGCTTCAGGAGACAGTCCCCCACCCCGACCTGGGACCTGGAGCAAGGAAAGGAGCTGGCACCTTCGGATTCTGGGGTAGGAGGCTGGAGAGCTACACGTAACAGAGAACTACTTCCAAACAAAGATCTAGGGCTAACAAAGAGGCAGAGGGGTAGGTGTCGGTGTGGGGCCTGAATGTTGGATGCACCAACTAAGGAAAGAAACCTTCACTGTGGTAGATTTCATGATGACATGCCCCGTTCTAGAGATGGGAAACTGAGGCTCAGGTAGTTAAGGGAAAGGAAGCGCACACAGTAAGAAGTATGATTTCAAAACCCGTGTTACCATCCTGGTACTTAGTTCTTTTTGCTTCCCCCACCCTTCCAGGAAACATGAATTAGCGAAAATGGAGGGAGACAGGAAAAATATTTGGCTATTTTTGGCGCACATGGGACATAATAAAAGTTGGGTAGATGGATGAAAGAAGCAGAGGAGATGTGTTTGGAGACGTGTGCTGGTGTGGGCTTGAACGCTGAGTTGAGGACCCACCCCTTCAACCCTTACTCTCAAATTGCTTGGTTCACACTTTACCAGATACCGAAAACTTTTTAGACGCTCCCTTGGCCTCGGTCTCAAGCCAAGAACTGCGCTGTCGCTTGCGAGTAGCTCCCTAGGCCTAAGGCTGAAGGGCGCAGGCCCGGGCCTGGCTGAAGCCCGTGATCACTAACCGGGAGGGGCGGGGTGGGGGACGGGACGGCGTGGAGGAGCCGGAGGCTGGCTGGCTGCTCGGCTCCACCTCGGCTGACATGTCCCGCCAGGCTAAGGACGACTTCCTGCGGCACTACACAGTCTCCGACCCCCGGAACCATCCCAAGGGCTACACCGAGTACAAAGTGACCGCTCAGGTGAAGTCGGGCCCACCGGGAACCTTTACCCTTTTAACAAGAACTGACCGTGGTTTATCTTAAGGCAAACTGCGGCTGGAAGTTCCCTTTTTAGCCGACAGAAATAGCTTTCCCCTTTAAGGGGAGGCTGCGTTGGAGCCTTTTGAGACCTTTAGCTATAAGGGGGCGGGGCCATGGGCGGGTACGGTCCTTTTAAAAGGGCGTGGGCGGCACCTCCCCGACCCGCGAGAAGTGGATACACACGCCGTGTGGTGTGTGAACATCAGGCTGTGGATTTCTTAACATGACAGCTGGCTCAACCCAAATATTAATTAGTACTCCAATCTCCTGGAGTTAAATTGCGTTTATTAGTGTGATATTTACATAAAAGCCCTTAAAAGAGTAACTATTTTTAATTTTTCAAAAAATAATACCTATGACTTTAAAATTTTATACAGCCTTCAAAAGAACTTAAGGATTAAGTTTCCATTTTTACTGTCCTAGCAGGAAGGCGATAGAGACGAAAGTTGGTGTGTGAAGTAGTAACAACTTTAGGGATGTGGAGGAAACCAGGGAAAGAATTAAAAATAGAAACAGTTTTACAGAATATTTGTAGAATGATCTACAAGAACTGGTTATAAATTTTTTTATACCTTTAGAATTTTGAACTAAGCAACTATTAAAGGGGTGCATTAGACTTCACTGCTAAAGCGAAGCAAAAGCGTGAAGACAATTGCAGAGTGATTTAAGTGCAGAGTTCTAGATGTCTAAAATGAGATTTCCCCAACCTTTCCCAGGCCTAAAAAATACCAAAAAAAAAAGTTCTTGGGAAGATCTACTGGCGGTGGGTAGGGCGTGGCAAGGGATTGTAACCTTTTCCCGTGACTCTGTTGGTTTTTTAAACAAGCAGCATGCCTTACTTTGGTATGTTTTTATATAACTCCTAAAAATAAATAATTTTCCCTTCCTTACCGTCCCCATTCATCATCTTCATAGGAATTATTGCTTCTGTTTTCTTATTCCTCCTTGCAAGTCAACTCTACATTGCAAAGCAAATAGATGGGTCTATTTTATTAGTATTTACACATGCTGATATTCTGCATCTTGAATTTTTCACTTGCTGGTATTCCGTAATTTTTGTTTCACCTTTTAAATTTTTTAAACTGAGACACGATTTACACAAAGTAATATGTACAAGTCTGAAGTGTACAGCTCACTAATGTGTGACTATGCCACCATTTCATTATTCATTCTTCTGGAATCAGGGAAAGGTCCCTCTTCCTCCCAGGAGCCTCACCTCTTTGACGTCCTCCGGGTCCCTCTTAGAGATGAACTGAGGAAGAAAGGCAAGACATTTGACATGTCTTGGACATTTGAGTTGTTCCTAAACATGTTTAGTTGTTACAAGTAAAGTTGTATTAACATTATTAACATTCATGTGTAAGTTTTTATTGGCATGTGAACCCATTTCTCCGTGGTACATACACTGAAGTGGAATTGCTGGGTCATTTGATAGACATATGTGTAGCTTCCCTAGAAATTGTCAGTTTTCCAAAATGGTTGTACCATTTTATACTCCCGTTCTCGTCAGCTCTCAATATCATCAACATCTTTAATTTTAACCGTTCCTGGTGGGTGTGTGGTACCTCACTGGAGTATTAATTTGCATATGTGTGATAACTAATGATGTTGAGTATATTTTTATGTGATTATTGGCCATTCAAACATCTTTTGTAGGAGATGCCTGCTCAAGCATTTTGCCCAATTTTTAAAGTTCAATTGTTTACCTTTTGAGTATTGATTTGTAGGCATTCTTTATATATTAAGGTATAATATATATACACACATATATACACCTTTGCCAGGTATGCATTCATCAGTGGTTTTCAGATACAGTTTCTTTTACCCACAGTATTTTAGACAAGTCTGTTTCAAAAAGCAAAGGACAGGGTTTCAGCCCTAGCAGTCCCTCTTACTTGCTGTGTGTGTATGATCTTGTACAGGATATGTCCCCTCTTCTGAGCCTCCAATTCCTCATCTTTTAAATGGGCATGTTAATCACGTCTGCCTCCCTGGGATCTAGGACAATGAAAAGGAGATATTTTGAAAACTGGCAAGTACTCCAACCTGTAGGATGTTCTTTTTTAATTATTATGAACATGACATAGTGAGAATGGAGTCTTCATTCCACCTTAGACCCCTGTCTGCTCTTCCAGGGCTCACAACCCAGCAATGGTTTCTGCTGCATCCCAGTGTATTTGCCCACAGAGGCTTCCTCCTTTAAGGAAGGAGTGTCTCCTAGGAACCTCATTCTTTAGAGAAGTTGGGGTTCTTTGTTTTCAGAAGGGGATGCAGGGACTTGGCCCTTTGAAGGAAATGAGATAAAGTTGGGCTGAGGATGGAGTGGTCTGGAGGACCTTTAGGGATCCTCCCATTTAACAGATGAAGAAACTGAGGCACATGGTAGGAAAACTGCTCCAAGTTACACTCAGAGCCTTGAAGCCAGGACACCTTGATACCAGTGGCCAATAGCCAGAGGGCACTGCCGCTTTGCAGGGGCTGGGAGGCACCTGGGGCCTCTCAGGATATTACAGGGTGATGGGGTGTCAGTTGTCAGTCTTGGGTCTCACCTGGTTCTTGCCTTTCTTCCTCAGTTCATCTCTAAGAGGGACCCGGAGGACGTCAAAGAGGTGAGGCTCCTGGGAGGAAGAGGGACCTTTCCCTGATTCCAGATCTGGAAGCAGTAAGGAAACAGCTGGTAACTCTGCGAGGAGACCAATCCCCTTGCTCCCTCCTGGGAGAAGGGGTGCTGCACTCAGATCAGCACATGCCCGGGGGCCTGGCTGGGGGTTGGGGAGGCCGCTTCCCACCATCACTGGCCAGGTCCAGGGTCCAGCCTCCAGTCCCTTTCAGGTGGTGGTCTGGAAGCGGTACAGCGACTTCCGGAAGCTGCATGGAGACCTGGCCTACACCCACCGGAACCTCTTCCGCCGCCTTGAGGAATTCCCTGCTTTCCCCCGAGCCCAGGTGTTTGGTGAGCGCTGACCAAGGCATTCAGGCTGAAGATGGAGGGAGAGCTGGGCAAAGGGAACCTTGCTGGTGGGGGCTTGCAAGGGGGAGGTCCCCCCAACAAAACACCTTATGAAGACACAGCTCAGAGTGCTGGAATTGTCCTTAGAGATAGCTCATTTTACAGATGGGGAAACTGAGGCTCAGAGCAGCCTAGCCCTTATTGTGTTTCCAGCCCTTTAACATTCTATCCTTATTAGCCCCGTTTTCAAGGTGAGGCAGCCGAGGCCCAGAGAGACAAAGGGCCTTGGTCTGTAAGTGGCAGAACCGGAATTCCTGTCCACAAGCTGGTGTTTCCTCTAGACCTTTGCTATCCCAAACTAGCAGCCACAAGCCACATGTGGCTGCAGAGCGTTAGTGTGGTGAGACTGAACTAAGATGTGCTGGATGGGTTGAATGCACACTAGAAAAAGAACATGAACTAGCCCAGTAGTTTATGTATTGATTACAGTTTTGAATGAGAATAGTTTGGATATGTTGGGCTAGATAGAATATTTTATTAAAATCAACCTGTTTCTTTTTACTTTTTTTAATGTGGCCACTCGAAAATTGTAAATTATGTATGTGGTTCATACCGTATTTCATTTGGACAGGGCTGACCTGTTATGGGGGTCTTTTGACTCACAGGAACTGTTCTCTTCCAGCCAGGTGAGGGGTTGCTGCTGGCAGGTTATGCAGGCAGTGGGGAAGTACAGCAGGCTCCCCCTCCCGGCAGCATGATAACCGGGCCAGCATTAGATTAGTCCATGTGATTCCTGGAACTGAGCAGTGACACTGTACAAAAAGAGCTGCTTGCTGTGTGTCCTTGGGCAAGTCACTTCTCTCTGAGCCCTACATCCTCCCCATTACATCAAAGCCATCTGGAACAAATTTGTTTCCTGCTGGTTGCCTGGCTCCCCAGTCTAGGATGTGATATGCATGAGGGCAGAGACCTTGCTTCTCTCTCATTGACCTTCTGAACTTAGCACATAGTAGGTATTTGATAAACATCTGACAAACAGATGAATGGGGAGACTGGGCCTTCCTTACAAGCCCTCCCACCCTGGGAAGAACCAGGGAAGATTGCTGGGCAGCCGACTGCGCAGATCCTCTCAGGCAGAACCAGGAAAAGTGGTGTGAGGGCCACAGGCCTCTGTGTGTCACTGCTTCTCTCCACATCCCTTGTTTTGGGGGCTGCAGGCCGGTTTGAAGCCTCAGTGATTGAGGAGAGACGGAAGGGAGCTGAGGACTTGCTTCGCTTCACTGTGCACATCCCTGCACTCAACAACAGCCCCCAACTCAAGGAGTTCTTCCAGGTATGTGTACCTGCCCAATCCCCTCAACACCTGGGAGGCCTACCTGCCCACCAGGCTGCACCTTGTGACTTACCCCCACCCCCACCCCATATTGGTCTTTCTCTCCTGCAGGGCGGGGAGGTGACGCGGCCCTTTGAAGTGTCCAGGGACCTGCCCATCCTGCCACCCCCTCTGATCCCCACACCGCCCCCTGATGAGCCCCGGCTGCAGCCAGAGGAGCCCTGGTTGCCCCAGCCGCTTCCTGCCGAGAGGAGAGGCCTCGAGGAGTTGGAGGTGCCAGGTACATGAGGGAGCCAAGGCTGGAGTTGGGGTGGGCACACTCCCTCCTCAGTGAGCTTAGTAGAAAGATCCCAGCTCTTCCACTGCTAACCTGCTGAGGAACTCTGGATCGATCATTTTCCTTCTCTAGGCTATAGTTTCTTAATCTCTAAAATGGGTACAAACTCTGAGAGTGGGCTCATCAATGCCTGTGGTTGCTGCAATGGTTTAGCGAGAAAGTAATTCAATTTTGGGATCTGGGAAATGGTAGCGGTAGGCATGACTGTCCCCAACAATCTATTCCTTAGCTGACCCCCCGCCGTCCAGCCCTGCGCAGGAGGCCCTGGATCTGCTCTTCAACTGTGGGAGCATCGAGGAGGCGTCCGGTTCCCCTGCCCAAGGGCACCTCACCGAGGCTGAGCTGGCCCTTTTCGACCCCTTCTCCAAGGAAGGTAACAAGCTGGGACCAGCAGAGGGGGGCTGGGGCAGGAAGTCCTCTGGGGCAGAAGGCAGGCGGAGCCACCAACTAGCCTGCATAAAGAATGAGAACGGTGCTCCCTGCAGGCAAATGGATGGCAGCGTCCATGAGGATTGGAAGCAGGTGCCCCTTCCCGTGGAGCCATGGCTCCGTGCCAGGGCTCATGGCTTAGGGCTTGGTCAGCTGGATGCCAGTACAATAAGCAGCCAAGTGAGCCACTTCCCATCATAGGATCTTCTCCCTGAGAAAGCTTTGGGATGAGCAGAGTCACACTGCCCTAGGAAGGTTTGGGTGCCTTCCATTGGAAGCCCAAGGTGGGGGTTTCCTGGCTGGCTCAGAGAGGCAGGGGAAGGCCCTGCAGCAGCTGCTGGCATGTGGGGGCACCAGAGATGGGCCCCCACACTGCTGGATATCTGGTCCTTGTTCAGATCCAGGGCCCTGACTGTCCCATGTTCTAAGACACTGGATCGTTTCATAGTAAAAGTCCGCGAGTTTATGTTGTTAACTGCAACTGGAGTGTTGTGGTGGCTGATCTCACCTTCAGGATCATCATGAAAGAACTCCACTTTGGATTTCTCAACAGTCTTTTTAAGCCCATTTTGTTGGCTTCCCTTCCTCACCCTCTGGTGTCCTCCTTATCAGACACGTGACTTTTTGATCTGTTTCAGGCATTTGAGTCCTCTCACCCCCGGGGCCCATCCAGATCAGGACCTCAGTGTCAAACTGCTCCAGGGTTGGAACTGAAGGGAAAAGCAGGGTGGTGTCCCTGGGACTGATGTACCCAGCCTCTGGGAGGCAAGCGTCCAAATGCCCCACCTGACTCCAGCTGAGCCCCCGATGCTTGGGCAGGAGCCAGTCTAGACTCCTCAGAGGCGGCTCCGTGAGACACTCTTTGGCCCATGGGAAAACTCACAGATATTTGCTCCCACAAATCCTAGAAGTGCAGTTTGTTCAGATGCTGCCTTATCTCCTTGCTGTACTGTTGCGGGCACCTCCAGCAAGCCTTTCAGCGTCAGAATTCCCCAGGCAAGGAGCCAGCACGTCTCTCTTTGTTACATATACCAAACTCTTAAACCACGCATTAGAGCTTCTGTTCTATCAGCAATGCAGGGGAGGCTGTAGGTCCAGCTGGGAAGTGAGATGTCATGTTCCCTTCCTGCAGGAGAGCCCTGGTCTCCTCATGGGGTCAGTTGGATGGGTTGGAGAGATGCCTGCCCTTCCATCTCCAGGCCAGAGGTGTGCCATGGTGCCTCCTGCTCCTGTGCCTTCCCTTCAAAAGCCTTTTCTCCAAAGAGTCACCAATTTTCAGCCTTCTTTTGTGTAAACTGCAGAGAAGACGTTTGTTTGCCTCTTTGCCAGTCCTGGGGATATAATGAACATTTTTCAGTGAAATGTGAGAATACCTACCACTCCCTGTCTTTTTATTAGGGGACTCCGCTGAAATCGTAAGACCTAAAAAAAGCCCTGAGATGCTCTGAATCTGTTATTCTAAGCTTCCAAGACTTGGAGCATTTCCCCCCTTGGCTTGGCAGACTTGGTCTAGCATCCTCCAGTAAACTTTGCTGAGGGAGTTCTTGGGTTTGTAGATCAACTATAGTCAAGAGGGTGGCAGTGATGCAGAGCTCACAAGCTAATGTTAATATGTACTTAAAGAAAGAATTATGAAGGTAAGGCTGTGTTTGCAGAAGCATTTGATTCTCCCAATCAGTAGATCTAGCTTGCTGGGCAAAAGTGGCTTTGGGCTGCTCAGGCATTGCTCCCCTCCACCCAGGTTGGTACCCTGATGGGCAGGAGAGGTCTGGGGATAGGCAGCAGGCCCTGGGAAAGGGAGGACCTGAGTCTCCTCTGTCTGATTGCAGAAAGTGCAGGCCCCAGTCCTACCCATGTAAGCGAGTTGGCAGCGATGGAGGCAGAGTCTGAAAGGCTTGACCAAGAGCCCTGGGAGCCAGGAGGGCAGGAGGAGAAAGGCATACCTGTACCCCCCTATCTGAGCCAGGCCACAGAGCTCATCACCCAGGCCCTGCAGGATGAGAAGGCAGGAGCCTACCCCGCAGCTCTGCAGGGCTACCGGGATGGGGTGCACATCCTGCTTCAGGGAGTTCCTGGTGAGTAGGACTGGAAGGAGGATACCTGGAGGGTCCATATGGTGCAGGGAAGGGAAGGGAGAGTGAAAGAGCAAGTCCAGGATCAGAATTGCTTCTCACTGACCAGCTGTATCACCTTGGGCAGTTTCTTTACCTCTTGTGGCCTCACTTTTCTTATTTTCAAAATGGGGAGAATAGATCTGATTCCCAGAGAGGGGAGAAAGACACATGTTGATGCTCTGTGAATTGTATAGGGCTAGATGAGGGGTTCTGAACTCAGGTACCTCAGCTGAGCCATTCTCTCTCTGTAGGTGACCCATCACCTGCCCGCCAGGAGGGTGTGAAGAAGAAGGCAGCTGAGTACCTGAAGCGGGCAGAGGAAATCCTGCACTTGCACCTGTCCCAACTCCCACCATGAGAGGGAGTGGGCCTTCCTCAGGACTCTAGCTCCAGCACTGCCAGCCATCCCCTTCTCCTCTCCCTGGGGCCTGGCCCTGTCTCCTGGTCTTGTAACTCCAGGGGCCATTGCTGTATGTAACTGGACCAAGAAAGAAAAATAATGAATTCTCAGCTCCCTGGTCACACCTGCCACCTTGTAAACAGAGACTCACAGTTCTGATCCTGCCTGTCTTGATGTGTGGGCAACAGCTCTGGTCACTCAACTATCTGTTCACCCATCTAGAACTGGGGTCTGCAAACTTCAGCCTGCAGCCAAATGTGGCCCGCTGCCTTTTTTTTGTAAAGCTATGAGCTAGTTTTTGCATTTTTAATAGTTGAAAAAAATCGAAAGAATATTGTGACAGGTGAAAGTACTTGAAATTTAAATACCTAAAAATAAAACTTTGTCAGAACACAACCAGACTCCTTGGTTTAGTATTGTCTATGGCTGCTTCCCCACTACACCAGCAGAATTGAATAGTTTTGGAGTTGACTGACCACTTGCGACCTGCAAATCCCCAGTTACCATCTGGCCTTTTGCAGAAAAAATTTGCAGACCCCAGATCTAGAAAGTGGGGAGAATGGTCTCCATGGAAACAGTGGAGAAAGGCCGATTGAGCCAGGTTGTTTGGTAGAAGATATGCAGGGGAAACCAAAGAAGAAGGGCGTACTTATTTTTGGGGAGATGCCTAAAGCCAAACGGCGGCTGACCAATGGTCCGAAGCCTGGAGGCGTGGCTCCTCTCTTGCCCCGCCCCTCCTACAAAGCGATTCGTTGCAGAAGGGACCCCGAAACCGGTGCATCTTGGGAGCGGCCCAGACCTGTACGCGGCGTCTTGTGGGGGCATTGTCAGGTCTGAGGGGGCGGCGCTGAAATTCAGCGCAGTGCGTCTCCGGAGACCTGCTCGAGTCTTGTGGGAGGTGACAGAACTCGGTGAGAGGACGGCGACGGGCAGACGGGTGGCAGGGACGTTAAGACCCGGTCGGGGAGGCGGGGCCCGGCCGTTACCGGCCCGGCCCCGCCTCCGCCGATACTCGGCAGGCCTCCGCTAACCCTCCTGCAGAATGGGGCGAGTGGCCGCCGCTGTCCCCGGGATGCTGCTGAGCGCCCATCCTCTTCCCCCAGTCCTCCCATGTCTGGCTGCGAGCTGCCCATGGGCACGTGCCCGGACATGTGCCCGGCCGCCGAGCGCTCCCAGAGGGAAAAGGAGCACCGCCTGCACCGCTTCGAGGTGGCACCGGGGTGCCACGGGGACCGTCCCCGCGCCGACCCGCAGCGATCGGTGAAGGAGTACAGCCGGCCGGCCGCCGGCAAGGCCCGGCCACCACCAAGCCAGCTGCGTCCGCCGTCCGTGCTGCTGGCCACCGTGCGCTACCTGGCCAGCGAGGTGGCGGAGCGCGCCGATGCCTCCCGCGCCGAGGTGGCCAACTTCGTGGCGGACCGGGTGCGCTCTGTGCGACTAGATCTGGCCCTACAAGGTGTGGGCGACGCCGAGGCGGCAGTGGTGCTGGAGGCGGCCCTGGCCGTGCTGCTGGCAGTGGTGGCACGGCTCGGGCCCGACTCAGCGAGTGGGCCAGCGGACCCAGTGCTGCTGCAGGTTCAGGTGCAGGAAGGCTTCGGTTCGCTGCGGCGCTGCTACGCCCAGGGCGCCGGGCCGCACCCCCACCAGGCAGCCTTCCAGGGTCTCTTTCTGCTCTATAACCTAGGTGAGTCGGGGTCCCAGCAGTCCGCTATGTGAACAGTGCAGGCCAGGGAAGGAAAGAGAAGCTTTAAAATCACACCACTAGCTTTGTCCCTGATCCCTAAATGTGTGTCAAGTAAATGCACCCAGCCCCAGAGTGGGCCTTCTGGTCTGTCCCTTCCCATATCTAGGGCTTAGTTTTCTCCAATAAAGCAGAGGGGACAGGGTTGGAACAGGAAAGTTGGTCTAGGTAGTGACTTCGAAACTTTTTTTAACCTCCAGTTCAGTCAGTGTTTCAAAGAAGCCAGAGGACCAGTGTCCATGATTCTACTGGAAGGGAAGCAGGGACAGAATCTTCTTGAAGAAATGGCCTTACCAGGCAGAGGGGAGGAAAGTGTGGCAGAGCCCCTTCCCTAATCTGTGGGGCAGCTAGGGCAGTGGAGAGAGTGCTGGGTTTGAAGTCAGAAAACTTGAATTTAGTTGGGCCAGGTTCTACTACATACAAATTCTAGGACAGTTTCAGACAAGTCGGTAGATTATCTGGGCCTACAAACACTGCCTCACTTTACTGTGAAGACCGACTTTGAAGGGGCTCTGGCAACTCATTCAGCGGCGGCTCAGAAAGGACCTGACAGACAAAGTGGGAGGGAATTCCGGTGGGCTTGGCTTAGTGACGTAGCTAGAGCGGGACGTAGGCGGGACCCAGGGCGGGGGTGAGCTTGGTGGACTGCAGAAGGTGGGCGTGGCTGAGGACAGGTGCAGGTAGCCCAGAGGATGGGAGGGAAGGTGGGCCCGATCTCGGAAGGAGCTGGCCTTCTCATCCTGGCTTCCTGCCCTCACAGGCTCGGTGGAGGCCCTTCGTGAGGTTCTGCAACTGCCCACTGCCCTGCGTTCCTGCCCGGCCCTGCGCATGGCCTTGGCTGTGGATTCGGCCTTCCGCGAAGGCAATGCTGCCCGCCTGTTCCGCCTGCTCCGGATCCTGCCCTACTTGCAGAGCTGCGCTGTGCAGTGCCACGTGGGCCGTGCCCGCCGTGGAGCCCTGGCCCGTCTCGCTCGTGCCCTGAGCACCCCCAAGGGCCAGACTGTGCCCCTGGGCTTCATGGTCCACCTGTTGGCCTTGGATGGACCCGAGGAGGCACAGGACCTGTGTCAGGCCCACGGACTGGACGTGGATGGACAGGGGAGAGTTGTGTTCCTGAGGGGTCGCTACACTGAGGAGGGACTGCCACCTGCCGGGACCTGTGAAGCGTTGGTGGGGAGCAAACTTGGAGGGCGCACCCTGGAGGAGGTGGTGATGGCAGAAGAGGAAGATGTGGCTGTGACCAGGCCCAAGGCCCCAGCATGAGTTTTCCAGAGCCCAGAACTGGGTCTGAGCACATAGGTCCTTTTTTCGTGATTTCTACATAATGAAAAAACTGGTTTTGAAGGATCAGTAGTTAGGCTTGATTTATTTGGGGGAGGGCAGGGAGGAGTTAAGACACACTAGGGATATGGAGGGAAAGAAACCCAAACTGGGCAAGGCCCTGTCTACCCTGGGCCTCAGTTTCCCTGCTGGCCCCAAGGTCTGGCACTGGTGGTCCCTGAGCTGGCATCTGAAGTTGGCATTGTGCATCCTATCCTTACCCACCTCCCACTAAGGGCAGTTGGTGGTTTTGCCATTCCCCACCATCCTGTCTCCTTCATCCTCTGGCAACCAAGAGCCAGGATGTGGGAGATTTCCATCCAGAGCTTGTCATTCCCCTCGGATGTCCACAGCTGGTGGCACCCTGAGGTCTTGCCATAGAAGCTTGAGAGGGTCCCATGGTCATGCCTTGTCCTAGCCTCAGGGGAGACAGGGACACCCCCAAAGAAAACTGGAATGGGAGAGGGTGATGGTGAAGGCTGGTGGGGAGTTGAGGAATGAAGGCTGGGGTTAGAGGTCAGCCACAGGCCTCAGGATGGCTGCTGCGCCCTCCAGGGCTGCCACCAAGATGCTGAGCTGCCTCTGTACCTCAGCCCAGGCTGCAGATCCAAGGCCTGTGTTCATGGCCCGTGAGCAGGCATTGGCCAAGCCTGGGAACGTGGCTACAGAGCCAGTGCGGGGTGCCCAGAGCACATGGCTGACAGGAGAAATGGAGGAGAAGCTGGGTCATTTGGGGCCAGGAAAGGAGAGTCTCAGCTTGGAATGGGCTCAGCTCCTGTGTACAGCTAGACACAGAAGCATCTTCCCACTACCTCCGAAAGCTGGGGTGGTGGAAGGAGATACAGCTTCTAGTCCTAGGATGACCTTGACCGACTTGCCTCCCCTCTTTTGAGCCTGATTTCCTAGCTGTGTCAAGGGGCTGTGCTGTGTAATTCTTAAAGGCCAGCAGAGCTCTGATGTTCTCCCTCAGGTGAGTGCCACTGCCCAGCCTCACCCCTCTGCACCTCTCAAGAGCTTTGGGACAGGCTCACCTGTAGTAGTGTTCTTCAGGGAAGGCCTGTGGGCTCAGGAAGCTCCGTTCCAAGAGCATCAACTGGTCATTGAGCATCCGGACCTGCAGGGGGCTGGAGGTGGCAGGACCTTCTGGTCACTCTGGAGTCAGCAGCCCAGCTGCTAGCCTGCAACCTCCCCTGGATGCCACCCTCCCAGACACCTGCTTGCTGCCCTTGCTCACTCAGGGGTGCCCTTCTGCAACGCTGATAAGTGCTGGCCCAAGGCTGCAGCCGCCCCCTCGAACTTCTCCACTGCAGTTACCAGAGGCCCTGTGGGGAACAGGCAGCATCTCAGCCTTGGGGGTGTGGGGTTCCCCATGCCCCAATGTCAAGGCGGCTCTGTACCTAGGCTGATGCTGTGCTTCTCCAACAGGACCCCGAGGTCCTGCTGGGCAGCCTGCAGGAAGCTGCGGAGGGTCTCACTATAGTCACTGACATTGAGAGGCAGGAAGAGGCTGTCACTGAGCCGAAGAAGCACGCTCCCTGCTGTCCGGGCCACAGCCTGGTGGCTGCTGAAGCCTGCAGGGAAGGTGACAAGGCCAGGGCTCGATCTTCAGCCCACACTTGTCCAGGGGTGTCAGGATGCACCTTGCCCCCTTCTCACCAGGGTCCACAAACTTGTCCACATAACCAAACGTGTCAAAGGCTGTGTGATAGGTGGGATAGATCCGGGCTGAGGTCTTGCTCTGAGGGAATAAAGTCCAGAGGTGACGGGCTTGGGGTGGGTAGTGGGAGGAGGAATACCTACAGTGAGCTACAATGTTGGGGCAGGATTTCAAACCATTGCCACATCCATGAGATAGGTTCTAGAATTCCCACTTTACAGAAGAGAAAACTGAGACTCAGAGAGATTAAGTAACTCACCTGGCATCACATAAGTAATAAGTATCAGGTGCCAGTTTCCTGCTTCATATGAAGAAGAGCCTGGGGCTTTGGAGTTGGGAGGATTCAAATCCCAGCCCCACCACCCAGCGGCTTGGCCATGAGAGGGAAAGAGCGCTCTTTGTAGCATCAAGAGGAGACACAGGCTGAGCATTCTGCATCCCTTATCTCGTTTCAGCTTCACGCGATGCTATGAACCATTCCATTTTATACTATTTAATCTATTCCAGGGTAAACATTTCTTCAATTTTACCTCGGGATCCCCGGAAGGATGCATCTTACAATTGATGTTGTCATCCTACAACTATTGGCAGTGGGGTTTTTTTCCCTCTCCTGAATAGTATAATGGTGCATCTTACAATTAGTAGTATCTTAAATTTGATAAAATAACGTCGATGAGTGTAAACAGACGCTCAGTGAAGAGAAGAAATTTATTTGGTCAAGGTAGCACAGCTACTGAATGAAGCCGAATTCAGTCTGCACTAGAGAAGCCCGAAGGAGAGGAGGGGGCTGGCAGAGCAAGGTACCAACTTGGGGGACGGAGGGGCACCCGCTTACTCGATCATAGGTGTAGGCAATGTCCATGGAGGAGATGCCCAGGTAGTGAATGAAGGGTGCGTAGTCGCTGCCAGCTCCCAGAGAGCCCAGGCTGCGGGAAGGAAGATGAGGTCGGGCTGGAGGGCGCTAGGTCAGTCCACCCGCCTGGGGCCCCAGTCTCGGCCTTGGGCTCACCTGGGGACCAGGCCGTACGCTGGACTGCTACGGTTGAAATACCGGATCCAGTTGTCGTAGATGCTGAGGCCGCCGGGGCCTGGTGCGAGGATCTGACCGGGAGGGGAATCTAGTCTCGGGACCAGCCCTCCCCAGGCCCAACATCCAGGAGGGGCGCTCCGCCCACCGAAGTCTCCAGTCTATACAGTGTTGCGTGCTCCACAAGGCCAGCCTCCGTCTAACCCGCCCCAGCCCCTCCAGCCCCTCCTCCTTCCACCTGTTTGGCTGCAGAGAAGATGACGCTCTGGACCGGGGGCGTCCCCTGCGCCCTCAGGGTGGTGTTGGCTGTGGGAGGATCCAAGAAACACTAAGGGCTGCAGCCCGTTCTTTCCCTCCTCTCCCCAACAGCCCAGCCGCCCCGCATACCAAACACCGAGATGTCCACGTTGATGTAGGCCACGGTGCGCTCCCGCAGCTTGCAGAAGAACTCCTGCGCGTGGGAGGGGTGCCGTCAGCCCGGCGGTGCCCCGCCCCAGAAGTCCCCTCCGCCGCCGACCCGGCGAGGCCCACTCACCTCCGTGAACTCCGTGGAGCCAATGAGCCCAAACTCCTCTGCCCCCCAGCTCGCAAACACGACTGATCTGCGGGGACGCCAGGTGCCTGGGGAGAATAAAGGGCTGGAGGGCTGGATTCCCCCGGATCTTGGGATGGCTTAGGGGGAAGATTGGGAACGCGGAGGGGAAGGAAGAATCAAAGCGGCGGGCAGACGGTGACGAGAGGTAGGTGCTGGCACCGCTGCAGCCAAGCCTTCCTGGAGGCTCCGTCCTCCTTTTCCAGCCCCCTCCTCTTCTGTGCCACTCCCCCAGCACTGCTCCCCGTGCCAGCCTCCCTGCCAGGTGGTTCCTGACCGAGGGCCCTGCCTCCCTCTGCTCCGTACAGGTGTGCTTTGAGAAGACCTCCTGACTCTCCACCTCCGATCTCTCTTCCGCACGTTCCGTGCAAGCCTTGGCATAACTTTCTTCACTTGGTGATATAATACAACCATGTTCTCCTTAGGGCATTATCCATATGTAGCCAATTCTTACAATAATGCTTTTAGGGAGAGACTGTGGTCTCCATTTCATAGTCGAGAACACTGAACCACCGAGAAGTTAAATGACTATGCCCAGGGTTACACAGCTGATGGGCATCAGAGCAAGGGTTCAGGTCCAGGGTCTGGCTCCATAGCCCAGGAGCTTGAGCAGTGCCCCACACTGCCTCCTAGCATCCTGCAGCCTGCCTTCCATCTCCGTTCTCTATGCCCACACTGCTCTCGCCACAGTCCCCAGCTACTTCCCAGAAGCCTCCGCGGTTCTGGCTTGTCCCCTCACCTTTTCCAGATTCCCCTTCACCCGATTCATGCTCCTGGGTGTGTTCCCAATCTCGCTGCCACTCAGTCCCTTTGATCATTCCTCATCTCTTTGTTGTAAATGAAATCTTTTTAAGTATAAAATGATCACATGCTTGCAATGACAAATTCCCAAACTTTTTCCTGCTGAAAATTCATCACCCCAACCTAATCAGACAAACCCAAACCGAGGAACATTCAAAATAATACCAGGATCACGAAAGGCAAAGAACATCTAAGGAACTGTTCCAGATTACACACGCAACTGCCACCTGGAGTGTGTGGTACTGGATCAGTTCTTGGACCAGGAAATTCCTTTGCTCTTAAGGTTATTGTAGGAACAATCGGCAAAATTGTTAATTTCCTGATTTCCTGATTCTGATCATCATACTCTGGTTGTGCAAGAAAATGTCCTTTTTTTTAAGGAAATATACAGTAATGTGTTTATGTGCAAAGGTGCAGCATTTCTGCATTGTTAAGCACTTCAGAAAAAAATATAAAGACAGGTCGAGCAAACATGGTAAAACAAACATTAATATTAGGAGTATCTGAGTAAAGGGTATATGAGGCTTTTTGGTATTATTTTTGCAACTCTTGTTAAGTCTGAAATTACATCAGAAATCAAACCCTTGAGCAGCAAAACAGAGAAGTTCCTGCCCTATAACAACTCAGCCTTTCTACACGAGTTTGCCCGCCTCCTGCTCCCTCTCACTGGATCTCAAGCACACCTATGGTTCCATATACCATTTATGCCGCCAACTCCCCGGTTTATCTCTGCAGTCTCTTTTCTGACCTGGACATCAGCACTTTCAACTGCCTGCTTGCCCACTCCCCGGGGCTGCTCAGACCAGAAATCAGAAACCCGGGAGCCCTCCACCCATGCTCTCCTTCACCTGTCACCAACAGACCCCAAGGTCTTCACACTGTCTGCTTCCCGCTGCCCCCACCCTGGTCCAAGCCCCACCATCCCTCCTGGCCCTGAGGATGAAAGACTGGTCCCTCAGCCTTACCTTTCCCCCCTGTAGCACAAGAAGCTGTTTAAAATGTGGACCCAATTATGTCGCCCTTTTGATTAAAACCCTTCACCATCTTTCCCACCCTTAAACTGAATTCCTCTGTTCCCAGCTGGGCTGTCAGGCCACGTGGCTTGGTTCTGGAGCTCTGTCACCTGGTCCAGCCCCTCCTTCCCGCCTGCTGTGCCCTCCACCAGCCGCCTCTATGGGGAGGCTTCCCTGAGTCCTGGCTTGCAGCTGGAAAGCCCCTTAGATATTTTTTATAGGATATATTCACAGTTGTCATCACATGCAGAAACTCCTAAGTGTTCACTGTGGCATCTCCAGTGCCTAGAACTCACCTGGCACACAGCAGGCAGGCGGGACACATTTGCCTCAGCTGGGCTGAAGCTCCTGAGAGCAGAGCCCAGGCACTGCCCTGCCCACGGCACCCAGCCTCCTTCCACTGGAGGGCCACAGGAGGCTCTCAGGAGCTGCTGGGCTCCTCCAGCAGAGCCAGGGCTGGTGTCCTGCCATGCCTGCCCCCAGGGTCCTGAGGCTCAGCACAAGGGGACAGGAGAGAAGAGAGAGGGGAGGTGGACCGGGATGCCCATGAGCTCAGGGAGTACCAGGGGAGGGGGCCGCCTCACCACTCTTCAGTAGGGTCCCCAGGACTCTAGAGAGTTCCAGGAGGACAGCAGTGCCACTGCTGGGGTCCACGGCTCCGTGTACCCAGCTGTCTCGGTGGTTTCCATAAAGTACGTAGCGGTCTGGTGGGAGGAGCAGAGAGTCAGAAACAGGTGGGGGTGGGGGACGGGGGTGGTCAGGGGCGTGCAGAGCGGGGCAGGGTCTTGGGGGTGCAGGCGCCAGGAGGGGGTGCTCACCAGGCTCCACAGCCCCACGGATGCTACCCAGGACATTGGAGGAGTTCCGCAGCTCCAGGCGGTTGTGGACGCTCACGTTCACCTGGCTGGGGGCAGTGAACAGGAAAAGAGTCTTGGCCCTGCCCACTTTGCCACCCTACCCAGGGCAGGGGAAACTGAGGCCCAGAGTAGAAGAGGACTTGGCAAGATCACTTGCCCAGAAGTGCTAGGAGGGGCAGCAAGGCTAGGACCCAGCACTCCTGGTTCCAATTCTCCTGTCCATTCACTCGCTCACTGAGTACCAACTGGATCCTTGGTGCATGCTGGTGTGCTGGGCTCTGGGCAGTGACTGAGACAAACAAGGACCCACCTCGGGGGCCGCCCCATCCTGAGTGAGAGAGACCATGGGGGAGGGGACAGCTGCAGCAGGCGAGGGGCCTGGGAGGACACTAGCAAGCTGACCTGGAAGAGGATACCCTGTGGCAGGTGGGGAGGTTAGTGCAGGCCAGGAATGGCAGGAGCAGGAGCGCAGGGAAGGGTGTTACCAGCAGAGGGAACAGCAAGGATAGAGGCGCTGATTTGGAAATGAGGTGGATATATTCAAGAGAGAGGTGGCAGGAGAGTGGAGGTCCAAGAGGAGGTGGGGGGCCCTAGAGGGCCTTGTGGGCTACCCAGTTGTTTCACTGGCTTCCCCAAAGACAAGTCTTTGGAATCATGGGAGGGGTTGGGAAAGAGAAGAAATGGAAAAGCCAGGCCCTCTGAGGAGAGGGGAAACCCAGGGTCAGGGAAGTATAACAAGGGAAGAAAAGAGAGGAGTTCGGGGAGGAGACATCTCACCTGTCCGCCGGGAATCTACCGTTAGGCTGGAAACCAGGGCCCAACCTGTAGTCACAGCCGAGTGCTCCCTGCCAGGAAACTGGAGCTGAGGCTCCCTGGAGGTTACTGGGGAGGAGGGAAAGGCCCTTTAGCAAATACGGGTGTGGAGGTTGAAGTGTGGGGGCGGTTGGAGGGCAGGCAGTAGGTCCCAGGGCACAAGCTCACCAGAGAAGGACTTTTGCATCCTCAAAGCCAATGGGCTGAGTGGGAATTGGGGGAAATCCAGGGGCTGCAGCAGGGTCCAGGCGGAAGGAGGAGGGTTTGGCTGGAAGGTAGGGAGTCAGGGGGTCCCCAAAATACTCATAGTAGGAGCCTCGCTCCACCCCCGAGGGAGGTAGGCGCCAGGAGTGAGGGAAGGTCTCGTTGGGCGAGCTCTGCCCATCGTTGATGTCAGCGGGGTCTGTGTATACCAGCACCCCAGCCACCCCATGCTTGGCGGCATTCACAGCCTGTGGGAGGCAAGGAGGCTGTATTTAGGGGCTCAGTAAGGAAAGGGCACGTCCTGTTCTGCTCCAACCTTCCCTCGCAGTGGAAGCCAGGACTGTTCTATCTGCCCACTGGCAGGCTGATGCTTGCACAAGCCATTTACCGTGGCACTGCTTGAGACAGCAGAGGACTCTTAGGCATAGGTAAGCCAATGCCTGTCAGTGGCGCTGGTTAATAAGCCCAGACATCCTGCAGTGGAACAGCATGCAGCTGCATGGAAGAGCAAGGATGTGCTTGTGTGCCTACGGTCACAGCAGCCAAGGGTGGGAGCAACCCCAGTGTCCATTGATGGATAAATGGGTAAGCAAAATGCGGTGTATAACATGCAAGGGACTATTACTGAGCCTTAAAAAGCAATGAAGTTCTGAGACAGCATTGATTTACCTTGAAAAAATTATGCGAATGAATAAGCCAGGCACAAAAAGACAAATATCGTATGATTCCTTTCATAGGAGATACCGAGAACAGGCAAATTCATAGAGACAGAAAGTCAAGCAGAGGTTACCCGGTGCTGGGGAGGAGGAAGGGGGAGCTTTTGTTTAATGGGCACAGGATTTCTCGTGGAATGATGAAAGAGTTCTGGAAATGGTGGTTGTACAATATTATGAATGTACTGAATGCCTCTGCATTGTACGCTTAAAAATGGTTCAGGTGGTACATTTGCTGTTACAGATGTTTTAGCGTAAGAAAAACAAAATGGTACATTACCAAAATAAAAAGAACAAGGACACAGTTTCTGTACCGATAGAGAATGGTCTGCAGGATGTATTAAGCTGACAAAAGCACAGCTCAGGACAGTAGAGACAGGAAGCTACTTTTATGTAAAAAGAGAGGGAAATATGAATATGTGTTCACATTCATATGTGCTTCCTCCAAAAGGCATCCCGGTCAGGTATTTCATGAACTAAAAGTGACTCCCTCTATGGAGGCCGGCATGGCGGGAGAACTTCTTCACTCTATACTTTTTCTTAAAACCAGAAATTCTATGATCTGCATAATTCCATCATACCTGTTCCCTTTTTCTTCTTTTCTTTCTTTCTTTCTCTTTTTTTCTGTCTGTCTCTTTGTTGTTTGTTTGTTTAGCAGCTCCTATCGTGGAACGTCCTTAAGCATTGTAACATAACCAGATTTACTATCCTAACCATTTCAGACGGTATAGTCGTGGCCTTAAGTGCATTCATGTCGTCGCACAGCCCTCACCACCGTCTCTCCAGACCTTTCATCCTGCAGATCTGAGACTCTGCACCCAATAAACAGTAACTCCCTATTCCCTCCTCTCACTCTATACTTTTTTATGTTTTTTTTTAAAAAGCACGTTTTAACCATCGACCTGCAGTACTTAGTCAAAACATTGAGTTGAAAAGAAGCAGGGGGCGGGGCAGTAGGAGGGATTTCTATTGAATATTCAGAACTACTTCACATAAGACTTAGACTCCCAGAATACCGAAACCAGTTTCCTCCATCGTTTTATTCCCTAAGGCCCAGAGAGGTTGGGGGAGGCATCCAGGGTCACACGGCTCATCAGCCTTAGAGCACAGACAGCTCCCCTCTGCCAGCCCAAGCCCAGGGCCGGGCCACCACTCTCTCCCCTTCCGCTCACCTCTCCTGTCCACTGCTGGACCCCCTCCCCACCCAACCCTCTGCATCCGAGGCTGCTGCTCACCTTGGCCCCACGCCCCGCACCCCCGAAGCGGGTCAGGGCAATGGTGCCTCCGAGTGTGATGCCCTGAGTCTGCAGCATCTTAAAGTCTTCCTCTGTGCCCCGATTAGCATAGACAAGGAGGCCCTAGTCCGGAGAGGAGGCGATCCTTAGAGCCAGGCCCAGGGATGACCAAGTGGGGAAAGGAGAGGGAAGCTGGGTGGCAAATAAGGGATTTAGAGTCTGTTTCCCCACCTCACTGAGAGAGCTTGTAAGCTCCCCAAGGATAGGGTCACAGGGTTTCCTCTGTGCCCAGGTACCCCGTATCAGGCCTGGCCTTGAGCAGGGGCCATTCATGTTTGTTGAATGACTGTGTGTTGGGGGAAAGGAGTAGCAATGGAGTGTGAAGGTGAGTAATTCTCAGGGGAGCTGAGCCCCAGTTTGAGGCCTCTGGGTCAGGATGGGAGGAGCTGGGGTGGAGCCAGGGGACCAGGCCATGGCAGTGGGGAGTGTTCCAGGCCCACCTGTGGGGTGCCCGGGGGAGCGTAGGCAGCATACGGTGGCACCACATCCGGGCCCCCCTGCTCCCCAGTCAGGTTCTCTTCGCTCTGGCGGCAGGAGAAGAGGATGTCCCCAGTGGGACCCACTGTGGGGAGGGCAGTGTCAGGGCTGGGCTGGCAGCAACCCCACCCCACAGGCATCCCAGGCCAGAGCAGGGCCTCACCGACAGCCACGCGGTTGGGCTGCTTCTGGTCAGGGAACGACAGCAGCACTTCGTAGGTGGCGGCCTCAGCCGAGTCCAGGCCAGACTCTGGATCCCGCCAGCGCTGCAGCAGCAGCTGCACCAGCGCCTCATCCCGGGGGCTGGAGGCCAGGTGCGGCTCCTGGGAGAGCTCCCTGCGCGGTGGGCAGGGGGCAGGGAGGCCCGGGGTTAGGGGAGGGCTGGGAGGAACCGCAGGGGCGGGTGGAAGGGCCTCACCTGAGGTTCTCCCGGATCCTGCTGGCATCCAGCTGTCCCAAGACGGTCTCGAGGATCTCCAGGTCCAGGTCCTGGGAGGCTGAGAGGCTGGGGGCTGGCGGGGCAGCCCCTTTGGGGATGGCAAAGTGGCCCAGGATGATCCCCAGCCCCAAGAGGGCAGCGGCCCCCAGCACCCCTACAAGGACCTTCACCCACTGCATCTTGTATAGTCTTGGCCAGCTGGTGTGGCTCCTTGTAGACGGGGTGTCAGGTCTAGTTAACCATTATCTCATGGGCGACCCTGCCCTTTGGCCCCCAGCTAACAGGGAGAGTAAGGGCGCATCCTGCAGGGAGGGCCAGGAGCTGTCGTCTCCCCCTCAGTTTATGTATCCTCCACACCTCTGGGGCATCAAGTCCACACGGGACACTGGGGACAGAGCTCATCTGGGTCTCCCCGTAAAACAGACGCCAGGCCTGGACTGGAACTCAGAGCCCCTGCATCCAGAGTGGGGCTGTGCCTATGCCTACCATTCCTATCTCTTGTTTCATCAGTGTCATTTGACCTTCAGCACATCCAGCCCCGGCTGCTAGAGCAGGTTTTGAGTTCAAATCCCATCCTTTCTAAACATAAGCTGTGTGACCTTGCACAATTCACTTCGCTTCTCTGAATCTGTTTTCTTAGCTGTAAAATGGGCATGAGAGAATTTAACTCATAAAACTGTGGTGCTGCGTTCATTAAATAAGTCCATATCTATAGAAATCTATA